TGCTGCCTCATTCGCCGTCGCGTCTCATTTCTCGGTCGCGCTCTCTCCGGCGTCAATGAATGGCAGAGCGAGGAGCCTCGTGGTGAGGCTGCGCGGGCTGCCGTTCAGCGCGACGGAGTCGGACATTAAAGCCTTCTTCGACGGGCTCGACATCGCGCCCGACGGCATCGTCCTGCAGCTTAACTACCAAGGTGATGGCATCGCTCGTTGCGCATCAATCCGCGTGGCGTACGCCGATCCTCACTCGTCATATTCATTTGCCTTTAGCTGTTCCGTGCCGTGCAACCGTGTATCGCTTGCATCTCATGTGCCTTCCTCTCGTCCTCTCGCATTCTCCCATCCATGCGTTCTCGCCATGCGACGGCAGGTCGAGCGACTGGCCAGGCCTTCGTTCGCTTCGCGGACGCGGAGAATGCGACCAAAGCCCTCGAGCGCAACAGGTGAGAGCATTCTCTCCCCGTATGCCATTGGCGCGCTTTGCGCTTTGCACGTTGAGATCTGCACAGAGCGTTGCTGCCCCTGTCTCACACCTATAACTGTGTTGCTTCCAGGCAGCACATCGGATCGCGCTATATCGAGGTTTTCAAGGGGCATTCAGCAGACATGGAGGTGCGTGCTCGCGGTTTTCCATCTCGCATGTCTGATTTCTGTCGTGCGCGCGTTCATCTGTAGACTAGCTGCTCTCCTATACCATGTCATATCCACGGTCCCCGCGAGCGGATAGTGCGGTGCTGTGCGGTTAGCCGGGATGGCGCAATGGAATGGAGTGGTGGCGTGGTGGCATGGCCTCGTGTGGATTGCGTTGCATGCGCCGTGGAATGCAGGGGGCCTTGCGGATGGCGGGCAGGGGCGGTGCTGCTGGTGCTGGTCCGGGGGCGGGGGCGCCTAATATGGGCATGGCGGGCATGGGCGGCAATATGGCGGCGGCAACATCTGGGCTGCTTGCGGGTGGTGCTGCGGGGGCTGGGGTGCCAGGAATGGCGGGCAACACGGACATGCGCTACAGCGGCGTCATCCGCATGCGCGGCATGCCCTATAGGTGCGCGCTCTGCCCTCCCCTTGCCCCACGTGCCATGCATGCTCTATCATCAATGTGCGCCCTTGCGCTACTGCCATGCGTTTCCTCCAGGTTCGTGCTGCGCACCACGCGTCCCGTCTGCGTTGTCTCTCCCTCTTCCGTTCCCAGCTTCCTGCACCCCAATCTTTTCCGCGCTCTCCTTGCCCCTCCCTCCCCGCGCTCCCCGCTCACCGCTCTGGCCCCGCTCTCCCGTACGCGGTGTGTGCGTGCGCGCAGCGCGACGTCGGCGGACATAGCGGCGTTCTTCAAGGGCATGCAGGTGGCGCACGACGGCATCTTCCTCTGCTCGCACCCCGACGGCCGCGCCACCGGCGAGGTGACCACCCCCGCCGCCTTGCACTGCACGCCCTTGCACTCAGATGGGTTCATAACAGTTCATGTCGGTTTATGTCAGTTCATATAGACTAGTGTTGGGTCATTTCGTTCATTTCCGGGCAGCAAAGCTTCTTTATCAGCGCGTCTGCCCGTGCTTCTCTCACACTCCTCCTTTCTTGCTTGCATGTCATGCGTGACGTGCATGTGTGGCGTGCATGTGTGGCGTGCATGTGTGGCGTGCATGTGTGGCGTGCATGCGTGGCGTGCATGCGTGGCGTGCATGTGTGGCGTGCATGCGTGGCGTGCATGTGTGGCGTGCATGTGTGGCGTGCATGCGTGGCGTGCATGTGTGGCGTGCATGTGTGGCGTGCGTGGGAGTCCTGTGTGGGCGGGCGGGCAGGCGTTTGTGGAGTTTGCGAACGAGGAGACGGCGGCGAGGGCGCTGCAGCTGCACCGGGAACCAATGGGCCATGTGCGCTCACACTCCCCCCCACTCCCTTGCTCCCCCCCGCTCGCTTGCTTCCTTTCTTCTCACGCGCGTCTTGCCTGCTTGCGTTTCCCGCATGCCATTCAACGCCCGCTCCTCGCTCTCTCGCCCCTTCTCGTCTGCCTTCCTGCCTTTGCTCCTCCGCCTCTGCCGCTCACCCCTCACCTCTTCCCCCATCTCCTCACTCTCCGCGCCCCCTCCACTCCCCGTGCGCCCCTTCCCCCGGCCTGTGCGCGCGGCAGCGGTACGTGGAGCTGTTCCGGAGCACCAAGGGGGAGATGATGGCGGCGGTGCAGCAGCGCATGTACTCCACGTTCCCGCCCGTCCCCGCCTTCATGGGCCCCGTGCGTCCCCTTGCCCCAAGCCCCCTTGCGCACTTGCCACCTTGCTCTTGCCCCCCTTGCACACACAACATGGCCCTCTTGCCCATCGCCCTTTGTGCGCATGCCCCCTTGTCACTTCAATCGCCATTGCCTACCAGGCAGGCTCAGGCACTTTTGTCCCACTCTCATGCCCCCTTTGCTTGTTTCAGCGCCACTCCCCGCCCATTTTCCCTTGCTTGTCGATGCCACTCCCCGCCCCTTCCCCGTTGCCATACCTGATTATCCTGCTCGCACTTCCACCTGCCACTCCGCTTCCCCATCCCTCCCTCCTCCCTCCCTTCTCCACCCCCTGTGTGGGCGGGTCTACGGGCAGATGCCTGGTATGATGGGCTTCGGAATGCCAAGCCTGGGCGCAGCCAATCTCGCCGCCATGCACATGGGCGCGGGCGGAATGGGGGGCGCGGGCGGAATGGGCGCAGGGGGGATGGGGGGCGGAGGCATGGGGGGGGCAGGAGGCCCGGGGGGCGGGATGGGCGCAGCGCAGGCAGCAGCAGCGGCGTCAGAGAACGTATGCATAAAGATGCGCGGGCTACCGTTCAGTGCAGGGCAGGAGGACATTCTGGCGTTTTTCGAGGGGTATGAATTGGTGGGGAACGGTGTGCACATCATGACGGGGCACAACGACCGGCCCACGGGAGAGGCGTTTGTGGAGTTTGCCTCGTCGGAGGAGGCGGGGAGGGCCATGGAGCGCCACCGGCAGCACATGGGGAATCGTTATATCGAGCTGTTCCGTGTCTCCAAGAGGTAGGTTTGGGGGGAGGGAGAGGTTGTGTTGGGGAGGGGATAGGATGTGAGGCGCCTCAAATGGCTGCATCGGCGGAGTAGGCGGGGAGGGCTATGGAGCGCCACCAACAACACATGGGAAATCGTTATATCGAGCTGTTCCGTGTCTCCAAGAGGTGGGTTGTGGGGGGTGAAGAGGTTGGGTTGGTTGGGGAGAGGTTGGGATGTGAGGCGGCCCATTTGGCTGCATTGCCGGAGGAGGCGGGGCGGGCTATGGAGCGCCACCAACAACACATGGGAAATCGTTATATCGAGCTGTTCCGTGTCTCCAAGACGTGGGTTGTGGGGGGTGAAGAGGTTGGGTTGGTTGGGGAGAGGTTGGGATGTGAGGCGGCCCATTTGGCTGCATTGCCGGAGGAGGGGGGGCGGGCTATGGAGCGCCACCAACAACACATGGGAAATCGTTATATCGAGCTGTTCCGTGTCTCCAAGAGGTGGGTTATGGGGGGTGAAGAGGTTGGGTTGGTTGGGGAGAGGTTGGGATGTGAGGCGGCCCATTTGGCTGCATTGCCGGAGGAGGCGGGGCGGGCTATGGAGCGCCACCGGGCTATGGGCATCCGATACATCGAGCTGTTCCGTGTCTCCAAGAGGTCCGGTGAGGGAAAGGAGAGAAGGGGTTGTGTTGGTGGGGCGGGGTTGCTTCTAGGGATTGGGCTCTGCGTTGTGTGGGTGCTTGTTGCTTGTGAGCACACGTGATACGGACCAGCCGTTTGGGTTTTTTGTTCCTGTTATGTGGACCTGGTGAGTCTGCTGGCATCACCTCCTGGGGCAATCGCTGTGCCTCATCTGCCTCATGTGCCTCCTGTGTCCCTTGTTCTGCCTTGTGGTGGTGCTGGGTGTGGCGAGCAGTGAGGCGCTGGTGGCGGTGCAAGGGGGGTCGTTGGCGGGGTTCAACATGGCGGGTGCATTGGACCCCAACATGCAGCTGCTGCTGCTGCAACAACAGGTCAGCACCGCCCTTCCACACCATCATCCCGTCCACCCCATCCTCTCCACCCCATCCCTCCACCCCATGAGTGACAGCAGCAGCTGGTGCTGCTGGTTCTGCTGCTGCAGCAGCAACACAATGTCAGGGCTACACACCTGCATCAACACATGCTCTGTGCTCTGTGCTCGTGACAAGCGCCCCTTGCGTCTCTTTGCCCTGGTGCCAGCACCTTTCATTCCGTGTGCGCCTTTGTGCTTGCACGCACCCCTTCACCCTCCTTTCCCCCCTTCCCCCCTTCCCCAACCCATCTTCCTGTCCACAGCAATTGCAGGCAGCAGCAGCAGCAGGGTCGTTTGGCATGGGGGGATGGGGGGGCGGCATGGGCATGGGAGGGGGGGGCGGAGACTTCTATGGGCGCCAGGGAGGGGGAGGAGGGGGCCAGGGCTATGACCCCTCTCAGCAGGTATATTTATTACCCCCTCTGCCTGCTCTACAAACTTCCACACGCTCTGCCTTGACTGCAGTTCATCCTCTCTATCCCTGTATCTTCAGTTACCTCTCTCCCCTGCGCCGCACACTGAGTAGTCGCTCATTCTTCTCTGTCTGTGCTGTGCTCCTGTGCATTCCACTCTTGTTTTGTCTCTCTGCTTCCTGTGAGCAGAACTAGGAGGAGATTCGCACACCTTTGACTGTGCCTCCTGCGCAGTCTGATACCTCCGTGTTCGCCCCATATGTCGGCCCATATATGAATTGAAAAGCTTATCCTTTCATGGCTCGGCTATTTTGTATCGAGCAGGCAGCTCAAGATGGCTCCACTGCTCCGCACTATCCCAAAATATATAGCTAATGCAAATGTGAAGTCACAGCAACCCATTTATGAGGCAAGCTCCAACCGAACCATGTCCTTCATCTGCTATGAAGATCTTCATTAGCATCCCTCCCCAACACAGTGCACCAGGAATGCATGATGCAGAGTCCAGAGCCACATCCTCCCATCTGCTTCCAGGCGTTTTTTGCGAACCTCCATTAGCAGTCCGCACCAACATAGTGCAGCAGGAAGGCATGCTCCAGAGCCACATCCTCCAGTTGCTCCCTGCCGCTGCAGGGTGTCATGTGGCTCCCCTTACTCTCACAGTAATCACTCTCCATCACCAACATAGTGCAGCAGGAAGGCATGCTCCAAAGCCACGTCCTCCAGTTGCTCCCTGCCGCTGCACGGTGGCCCCACTCAACCAACACACACCACCAGCGGCCGCTTCTTCTCACAGTGTTTGCTCTCCCCCCCCAACGTGGTGCAGCAGGAAGGCATGCTCCAAAGCCACATCTTCCATCTGCTCCCTGCCACTGCATGGTGCCACGTGCCCTCTGTCCCCCCACACGCGCACCAGTACAGGCCGCTCCCTCTCACAGTAGTCGCTCTCTGCTCTCACCTTGGCTGCCCACTTTAATGCCTCCCATGGGCCCACTCTGAGGGAAAAGGCAGGGGCAGAGGAGGGACAGGGGAGTGGGCAGGGTTGGAGAAGCATAGTGCATGTGAAACCAGCACAGGCGCAGGGTACTTGACCCCCAACTGCAAGTTCAGCATGAGGCAGAGCACTCACGGTTCAAAATTTTGTGGCAGAGAGTATTTTCACCTGGAGTTGTGGCAGAGAGCAGGGCGACAGGGTGCTTGACCCCTTGTTGCACGTTGAGCACGGGGCACAGCGGCTCACAGTGCACGGAATACAAGCCTAATATGACTCAGACGATCAACTTGGAGTGGTGCAGAGGAGCAGAGAGCAGGGCGACAGGGTGCTTGACCCCTTGTTGCATGTTCAGCGCAGGGCACAGCCTCTCAGTGCACGGAATACAAGTCTAATATGACTCAGACGATTGACCTGGAGTCATGAAGAGCAGCAGACAGCAGCGCAGCAGGGTACTTGACCCCTGGTTGCACGTTGAGCACGGGGCAGAGAGCTCTCAGGGCATGGAAGGGGGGGCCAGACAGACAACTCACCTTGAGTCGTGGAGAGCGGCAGACAGCAGGGCAGCAGGGTACTTGACCCGTTGCTGCACGTTCAGCACGGGGCAGAGAACTGTCAGGGCACGGAAGGAGGAGGCCAGACAGACAACTCACCTGGAGTCATGAAGAGCAGCAGACAGCAGGGCAGCAGGGTACTTGACCCCTTGCTGTACGTTCAGCACAGGGCAGAGCGCTCTCAGGGCATGGAAGGCCAAGATGAGTTCATAAAGCGCACCTGGAGTCGTGGAGAGCAGCAGAGAGCAGGGCAGCAGGGTACTTGACCCCTGGTTGCACGTTCAGCACGGGGGCAGAGAGCTCTCAGGGCATGGAAGGCGGAGGGGCAGGCGAGGGGGTCGCCCCACTCATGGCGGTCCAGTGCTGTGAGCGGCAGAGCGGGGTTGCTCATGGAGGTGAGGGCGTCCAGGAATGGCACCTGGACGAAGGTGGGGACGGGGGAAGAGGAGGTGAGGGTGCATAGGGAAGAGGGTCGCCCCACTCGTGGCGGTCTAGCGCTGTGAGCGGCAGGGCAGGGTTGCTCATTGAGGTGAGGGCGTCCAGGAATGGCACCTGGACGAGGGGTGGGGAGGGGGTGGGGAGGGGGTGGGCTGCATAGGGAAGAGGGTGGCTTCACTCGTGGCAGTCCAGAGCTGTGAGCGGCAGGGCGGGTTGCTCAAGGAGGTGAGGGCGTCGAGAAATGGCACCTGTGGCCGGGAGAGGGTGCGAGAGGAGGTGCGGGTTGGTGAGCGACAGCCTAGTGAGAGGTGGGGAGAGTGAGTGAGCGGCAGCACATGGATGGAAGAAAATCACGGATGGAACGAGGGGTGGGGGCAAAGCTAGGGCAGGAGGTACATAGTGCATGGTGGTGCGGGCGGGGTGAAACCAGAGAGGATAACAGGAAGATCAAATCAGATTAATAAAATCACACGAGTATATGTATATGTTGTTTCCAAGGTAGATGTGACCTTGGACCGACACGCTTCCGCTGCAGTCACACTCACATCCAGCACGATCGCTCGGAAGAGACCAGGATCAGTATTCACAGCAGCATCAACCAGAAACCCTCCTGCACTGCTCCCCCTCGCCCGCCCCTCGCCCCTCCCTGCCCACCCCTCCCCAATCAAATACTCAGCACACGCCCTCAAATCCCCCACCGCCCGCCCCTTCCTCTCCCCCCGCCCCGCCTCGTGCCATGCTCGCCCCAGCTCGCCCCCTCCTCTGGTGTGCGCTAGGGCAAGGACCCACCCGCGGTGCAGCAGAGGCAGGCGGTGGGGCACCCACTCGGCTGCCGTCACCTCCCCATACGCGCCGTACCCCTCTAGTAGCGCCGGGCCCTGGCTGTCTCTGTGCCTGCTGGTGTGGTGGATGAGGGTGAGCGGTATGGGTGGGCCATTGGGGGATGGTACCCAGAGGCGTTGACAGATGAGCCCGGGCACGCGGGAGAGGGGCAGGGGAGGGCTGGGGGGGTGGAGAGGTGGGGTTGATGGGGAGTGATTGCATGGGTGTGACTGCTGCTGCTGCTGCTGCTGCTGCTGCTGCTGCTGCTGCTGCTGCTGCTGCTGCTGCTGCTGCTGCTGCTGCTGCTGCTGCTGCTGCTGCTGCTGCTGCTGCTGCTGCTGCTGCTGCTGCTGCTGCTGCTGCTGCTGCTGCTGCTGCTGCTGCTGCTGCTGCTGCTGCTGCTGCTGTGCTGCTGCTGCTGCTGCTGCTGCTGGCTGCTGCTGTGCTGCTGCTGCTGCTGCTGCTGCTGCTGCTGCTGCGCTGCTGCTGCTGCTGCTGCTGCTGCTGCTGCTGCTGCTGCTGCTGCTGCTGCTGCTGCTGCTGCTGCTTGCTGCTGCTGCTGCTGCTGCTGCTGCTGCTGCTGCTGCTGCTGCTGCTGCTGCTGCTGCTGCTGCTGCTGCTGCTGCTGCTGCTGCTGCTGCTGCTGCTGCTGCTGCTGCTGCTGCTGCTGCTGCTGCTGCTGCTGCTGCTGCTGCTGCTGCTTGCTGCTGCTAGCTGCTGCTGCTGCTGCTGCTGCTGCTGCTGCTGCTGCTTGCTGCTGCTGCTGCTGCTGCTGCTGCTGCTGCTGCTGCCTGCTGCTGCTGCTGCTGCTGCTGCTGCTGCTGCTGCTGCTGCTGCTGCTGCTGCTGCTGCTGCTGCTGCTGCTGCTGCTGCTGCTGCTGCTGCTGCTGCTGCTGCTGCTGCTGCTGCTGCTGCTGCTGCTGCTGCTGCTGCTGCTGCTGCTGCTGCTGCTGCTGCTGCTGCTGCTGCTGCTGCTGCTGCTGCTGCTGCTGCTGCTGCTGCTGCTGCTGCTGCTGCTGCTGCTGCTGCTGCTGCTGCTGCTGCTGCTGCTGCTGCTGCTGCTGCTGGAGGAGGGGTTGGTGGCGGCAGTACGGCTCTTGGTGCAACACTGAGAGGGTGCCAGAGAGCATGTGCACCTCGCACCCGGCCTCAGGCATCTTGTGGCGCAAGTGAGTAAGAGGAAGGGAGGGTAGGGGGTGTGCGGAACGAATAGGGGGGTAGGAAAGACAGGGACGGAGAGGGAGGGGTGAGAGAGGAGGCTGGAGTGGCTGTGGTCATGGGAGAGGAAGAGAGAAGGGTTTAAAGGAGGGCTGGGGTGAGGAGCAAGAGTAGGCGTGGAGGAGGGAAGGAAGGAGAGACGAGTGGAAGGCTGTGGTAGTCGAGATGGTGGCATGATGGCATGGTGGCATGATGGCATGATGGCATGATAGCAGTGAGCACGCACAACAGGGAGCGACACCATGATGCGGAGAGAGGATGCATCAAAGTCCTGGTTGCCCCCTGCCACCACATGGCACACCCTCTCTGGCAGCGGTACTGCCCTCGCCCACACCTCCCTTCCCTCCTCCCCTCCACCTCTCGTGTTTTGAGTCGACTCAAAGCATCAACGTCCTGGTTACCCCCCGCCACCACATGGCACACCCTCTCTGGCAGCTGCACTGCGTTTGAGTCGACTCAAAAGCATGGCAACAGTGATCACTCACAACAGGGGACGACACCATGATGCGGAGAGTGGTAGCATGGTAGTCCTGGTTGCCCCCTGCCACCACATGGCACACGCTCTCCGGCAGCTGCACTGCCCTCGCCCACACCTCCACTTCCCTCCTCCCCTCCTCCTCTCCTCTCCACCCCTTCCCTCCCACACCACCCTCCTCTCTTCCCACTCCGCCCTCTGGTGAGAGGGGAAGGGGCAGCAGCAGCAGGTGCGGCAGGGAGTGCACGAGACAGTGCACGGCGAGGCAGTGTCGGAACACCTCTATGTCTGATATGACAATGTCTGATGGCCGGATGTCCCACCCTTTCACTCTGATCGCCAGGCTCTGGTGGGTTGAGGGGATGAGCAAATGAGGGCAGCAGTGCACAGGCAGGGGGAGGAAGGAGTGAGTGTGAGTGGAGAGAGAGGGAGAAAGGGGGCGACTCAAGAATGTGAGGTTCTCAGACGTCTCAACTGAAAACAGATGTATTGTCAAGAGGGAGACGGAGCGACTCTAAGGATGTGAAAAAGGAAGAGAAGGGCGATCAGAAAAGCAAAGATGCACACAATGCCACTCATGCGCCCGATGCACTGCACGCGCACTGCCATCCATATGCTCACTGTTCACCTGCCAGCTGTCAGCACGGTGGGCGGAATCAACTGGAGCCCTCACAATACGATACTCCCCCACCCTCCCCTCCTCCCCCCCACCTCCACCGCTATCACTGCCTATCTCCACACGCACTTCTCACCTGCCAGCTGTCAGCTCGGTGCGCTGACTCAACTGGAGCCCTCACAATGCGGTACTCCCCCACCCTCCCCTCCTCCCCTCCACGTCCTTCCCCACTGCCTCCCCCCACCTCCCCCCGCTGCCCCCTCCCTCCACCCTCCCTTTCCCTCACAATGCGGTACTCCCCCACCCTCCCCTCCTCCCCCCCAACGCCACTGCTATCACTCCCTACCCCCATCACCCCTTGCCTCTCCCTCCCTCCATCCTCCTCCTTCCTATCCCTCTCGCCCTCCCCTTTCCTATCCGCTCTCCCCCTCTCTCCGTTTCCCCCCTCGCCCTGCATGCAGCGGTTGGTGACAGCATAGAGCCACCCGTCATGGTGCTCCACAAACCACTGCTCGCCCTCCCGCCGCCGCTGCAGCAGCCAAGGGGGTGCTGTGGGGTGGTGCGCGTCTAACAGATGGACCTGAGGGGAGGGAGGGAGAGGGAAAGAGGGGAGGAGGAGGAGTGTAGGGAGGAAAGAGGGGCGCAAGTGAGAAGGGGCGTACAGGGTGACGGGTGCAGGTTAATGGACTGCGCATACAAGCACTCCCTGTGCATGTGTATATGTGCATGCGTGTGGGTGCATGAGACTGTGCATGGCATGTGTGTATGTCGATATGTGCAAGTACATGTGCGCATATGCATGTGCATGTGCATCCAAGTGCGCACCTGTGAAGAGATGCGGGTGTTGAGGTTGAGAGTGAGGTATCGCCAGTCCTTGGTGCGAGACACAGCCACCACCACCCCCTCCTCCTCACTCCGCAATACCTCCTCCTCCCCTCCCTCCGCGCCCTCCTCGCCCTCCTCCCCCCCCACCAGCATCCCTGCCTCCCCTTCCTGTGGAATGTGGACGCGCCTCCTCATCACCCTGTGCTGCACATGTCATGGCATGAACACCATGCTAAAAAACGCCACAGCACGATATGGAATGGCATCAGACATCCACACATGCTACATCCCAGAGCGCAACACCTGCTTTTGAGATGTCTAAACACTCGTTCCAGCGCTCACCGGTGCGACCGCAGTTGGTCATCCAGCTGGGTGTCGAGAACGTGCTGTGAGTGAGTCAGCCGCCCACTTTACTGTCGCCACTGCTGGGATGGGGTGGCACTACAGCACGTGCTGCGAGTCTGCCGCCTCTCTATGCATCTGCCCTCTCTCCCCCTCACCAATTCCACTCACTGGTGGGATCGGAGATTGTCATCCAGCTTCGTGTACAGCACGTGCTGCGAGTCTGCCGCCCACTCCACTGTCGCCACCGCAGGGATGGGCGCGCACAGCAGGCGTGAGGTGAAAGGCAGAGAGCGGGGGTGTGAGGGGAAGGGCAAGGAGTGGGGAGGTGGCGGGGAGGAGGGGAGGTGGAGGAGGAAGAGGGTGGGGGACTCGGAGGGCGAGAGGTCGAGGAGCAGTGCGAGCAGGGCGTGGCAGCGACTCACCTTGCACTCCACTAGCCTCACGTACCCTGGTGCAAAGCGGTGGGATGGGATGGGATGTGGCGCAGTGGGGTGAGGTGGGGAGGATTGGAGGGAATAGATGGGCCTGAGTAACGATGGTGTCACACCGATTGAGGCAGAGATGTGGGAGAAGCATGTGAAGGCTGGGGCTATTGGAGCAGGGAGAGTGCGCGGAATGGGGGCACACAAGCAAGGGTGGGTGGAGCACAAGCAGGCAGTAGCAGGGGGTGCAGTGAAGGCCACGAGGCATCACCATAATAGTCCGCCAGCTCGTTTAAATCCGCCAACACCTGCTCCCCTCGCTCCTCCACCCCTCGCTCCTCTGCCCTTTGCTCCCCCGCCACCCCTTGCCGCCCCATTTCCTCCCCCATTCGCTCCGCCCTTCTCTCACCCCTCCCTCCCTGCCACCCTCCCCCATCTCTCTCTGCTGTATGCTCCCCCTCCCCCATGTGCATGGCAGCGGGTGTGCGGAATAACACCGGCAGCTCCTGGCCGTCTGGCACCCGTGCTCCGTACAGCCTGGCGGGGTGGGGAGAGGGGGGAGAGGGTGGCGGCTTCTGACTTTTGAGTCGACTCAAAAGTCACCTCGCATGGCAGCGGGTGAGCGGAAGAGCACCGGCAGCTCCTGGCCGTCTGGCACCCGTGCTCCGTACAGCCTGGTGGGGTGGGGAGAGGGGGGGGGTGGGTGGGGTTAGAGGAGAAGCAACGACCTGTGCAATGTGGTGGTGGGGAGGGGGGCACAGGGGTTGTAAGGAGTGAAAAAGGGTTCGGATGATAGGCATGGGTGGCGCAGGGGAATTAGACTAGTGAACAAGCACCCACGCATGCACCCACGCATCCACCATCCCTCACATGCACCCACCAGGGGCCACACGGCTCAGGAGGCGCGTGGGAGGGCGGCGGCATGCTCCCCTCCATCTCCCCCACCACCTCGCGCTGCCACTCCCCCATCGTCCCCCATTCCCCTCCCCTCCTCCCACCCACCAAAGGCCACATGCCTCACACCCACTCACCAGGGGCCACATGCCTCACACCCACTCACCAGGGGCCACATGCCTCACACCCACTCACCAGGGGCCACATGCCTCACACCCACTCACCAGGGGCCACATGCCTCACGCCCACTCACCAGGGGCCACATGCCTCACACCCACTCACCAGGGCCCACATGCCTCACACCCACTCACCAGGGGCCACATGCCTCACACCCACTCACCAGGGGCCACATGCCTCACACCCACTCACCAGGGGCCACATGCCTCACACCCACTCACCAGGGCCCACATGCCTCACACCCACTCACCAGGGGCCACATGCCTCACACCCACTCACCAGGGGCCACATGCCTCACACCCACTCACCAGGGCCCACATGCCTCACACCCACTCACCAGGGGCCACATGCCTCACACCCACTCACCAGGGCCCACATGCCTCACACCCACTCACCAGGGGCCACATGCCTCACACCCACTCACCAGGGGCCACATGCCTCACACCCACTCACCAGGGGCCACATGCCTCACACCCACTCACCAGGGCCCACATGCCTCACACCCACTCACCAGGGGCCACATGCCTCACACCCACTCACCAGGGGCCACATGCCTCACACCCACTCACCAGGGGCCACATGCCTCACACCCACTCACCAGGGGCCACATGCCTCACACCCACTCACCAGGGCCCACATGCCTCACACCCACTCACCAGGGGCCACATGCCTCACACCCACTCACCAGGGGCCACATGCCTCACACCCACTCACCAGGGGCCACATGCCTCACACCCACTCACCAGGGCCCACATGCCTCACACCCACTCACCAGGGGCCACATGCCTCACACCCACTCACCAGGGCCCACATGCCTCACACCCACTCACCAGGGGCCACATGCCTCACACCCACTCACCAGGGGCCACATGCCTCACACCCACTCACCAGGGGCCACATGCCTCACACCCACTCACCAGGGGCCACATGCCTCACACCCACTCACCAGGGCCCACATGCCTCACACCCACTCACCAGGGGCCACATGCCTCACACCCACTCACCAGGGGCCACATGCCTCACACCCACTCACCAGGGCCCACATGCCTCACACCCACTCACCAGGGGCCACATGCCTCACACCCACTCACCAGGGCCCACATGCCTCACACCCACTCACCAGGGGCCCACATGCCTCACACCCACTCACCAGGGGCCACATGCCTCACACCCACTCACCAGGGGCCCACATGCCTCACACCCACTCACCAGGGGCCCACATGCCTCACACCCACTCACCAGGGCCCACATGCCTCACACCCACTCACCAGGGCCACATGCCTCACACCCACTCACCAGGGGCCACATGCCTCACACCCACTCACCAGGGGCCACATGCCTCACACCCACTCACCAGGGCCCACATGCCTCACACCCCACTCACCAGGGGCCACATGCCTCACACCCACTCACCAGGGGCCACATGCCTCACACCCACTCACCAGGGCCCACATGCCTCACACCCACTCACCAGGGGCCACATGCCTCACACCCACTCACCAGGGGCCACATGCCTCACACCCACTCACCAGGGCCCACATGCCTCACCCCCACTCACCAGGGGCCACATTCCCTCACACCCACTCACCAGGGGCCCACATGCCTCACACCCACTCACCAGGGGCCACATGCCTCACACCCACTCACCAGGGGCCACATGCCTCACACCCACTCACCAGGGGCCACATGCCTCACACCCACTCACCAGGGGCCACATGCCCTCACACCCACTCACCAGGGGCCACATGCCTCACACCCACTCACCAGGGGCCACATGCCTCACACCCACTCACCAGGGGCCACATGCCTCACACCCACTCACCAGGGCCCACATGCCTCACACCCACTCACCAGGGGCCACATGCCTCACACCCACTCACCAGGGCCCACATGCCTCGGGAGGCGCATGGGAGGGCGGCGGCATGCTCTCTTCCATCTCCGCCACCACCTCTCGCTGCCACTCTCCCATCGTCCGCCCCCCCACGCGCTCTGGTGCGCATGAGGGCGTGCAGATACGCGCGCTCGCGCTGCAGGTGGTGGCGCATGCGGGGGGAGTCCAGCTCGTGCATCCAGCTGACACGAAGGGCGGAGGCAGAGGGGGGCACGGGGAGGGGGGCATAGAGGCGTGGGGTTGCGCCATGAGGGCGTGCAGATACGCGCGCTCGCGCTGCAGGTGGTGGCGCATGCGGGGAGAGTCCAGCTCGTGCATCCAACTGATGCATGGGGGCCCCGTGGGGGGCATGGGGGCCATGGGGTGGCATGGGGTGCCATGGGGGGCATGGGGTGCCATGGGGAGCCATGGGGGGCATGGGGTGCCATGGGGTGCCATGGGGGGCATGGGGTGCCATGGGGTGCCATGGGGGGGCCATGGGGTGGCATGGGGTGGCATGGGGTGGCATGAGGTGGCATGGGGGGGCATGTGGTGGCATGTGGTGGCACGGGGTGGCATGGGGGGGCATGGGTGGTATGTGGTGACAGGGACTTGAGTTCTTAAACCCTCTCAGAGCTTCAGGGCAACGCGTGATAGGTCGCGTCTCTTGAGATCTCCCAGGAAAACGACCCAATGCGAAGAGCAGTGCGCGCACCTGTACCAGTCGACCCAGCTCTCCCCGTGCAGCTCCATCGTCGCCCTCTCCCTCCTCGCCTCGGGCGCGCTAACGCTGCGCGCGCCGCGCTCTTTCCCCCGCTCACCCCATCCCAACCACCGCGGTATCTGCAATCCGCGCCTCCCCCCACCCGCATTCCCCCCCTCCCTGCCCACCGTTCCCCTCTCCCCGCACGCCGACCCCCCTCCCCCGACTATCACCCCCCACGGCTCCCTAAGCGGATGCGTTGTTTCCGCGCCCCAATCCCCCAAGTTTCCGCTCCGCCAACACCTGCCAAGCGCCTCCGCCGAGATGCCCTCCTTCCGCGTGAGAAGGCGAAAGCGCGGCGGAAAATCGCGCCCCATGCGCGCATCAGCGGCGGAGCCTCCCCCCTCCCGCGGCAGCATTCCCCTCGGGAAATCCGCATGGGGCAGCCTGGGGAGGAGGCGCAAGAATCTCCTCCCATGCATGGTCGCGCGCAGCACTAGGCGCACTGTTGGCGGGACGCGCGGTTCATACGGCAGCAGGGGGAGTTTGCTCTGTGTGCGCGAAACAGAAGGTGATGGAGGGGAGAGCCGAATGCATGATTCGCTATTGAGTTGATCGTGGGCGATAGCTAATTGTGTATTTTGTTTTGGGAAAAAAATACAAATTTTGCTTTTTACTGGGAGATGAAGTTATATTGGTTTGCAGCGAACTAAAAGGTTGAGCCCGACAAGTTCTCTCAACGATGTGCATATATCGCGTACAGGGCCCAATTCGAGCGGGAAATGATCAAAGAGGGGCCGTACAGTGCCAGAGAGGTGACCAACCAGGGGCCGAGAGGCCCGGAACTGACCAAACCGCTGCGCAAGGGGGGATTAACAGAGAGGTTCGTCACGGCTTGCATTTTCGCTCACACCTCAATATTCCTTGGGATCTCGTAAATGATTCGTTTTTTCCACCTGGTAGCGTCGTTTCGCGAGCCAGGTAGCGCTACCGGCGGTACCGACGCAACAGGGAAATGTTAGGGCAGCCTAAAAAAACTAATATCAATAGGGAACCTGGACTCATTTTTGGGATGGATCAACCCTAAACACGGGAACCCGCCTGATGTTTCGGGTTGATGCCTCCCGAGTCGCATCCGTTTCCGAACGGGTTTTAATATTTACATCAGCTAAAGTGATGTATTTTTTTCGGAAAACGATTACGCATTTCATTTCTCAAAAATATAAATATGACGAAACCCACTTCCAGAGGAATGCGACGCAAGCTTCGTACTTGGCGGCGATCAAAACCTATGAAAACAACATTGAACCAAGTAAGTCGAGCTTAGTAATTTCCTTTAAATCTTGGTTCGAATTCTCGGCCCAACCACTTGGGCAGCCCCGGGGGTATATCCAACGGTTGGGATCAACCCGGCCCTAATTTTGTCACCTCCCTGCTATTGTTCGGCCCCTATTTGATCTTTTCCCAATTCGAGCTGTGTGAATGGTAGGTGGTTGCACTCTCTCTCACTTGCAGATCGAGTTGCACGTCAGCATACACTCCATCGTTCGTCATCACATGCCCCATTCCACGTCAGCTCACGATGATCCGTGCGTCAGCAGCACATCCCCCAGAGCGGGGAGCAGCACCGTTCCCCACCACCAAACCAAACACAATGGACGGAACTTGAGCAACGGCATTCCAGCTTCCAAGACTTGGCTGCATATGAGTGCAGAAAGGTTACTACCAGTCCGCTCCGCCGCACGCATTCTGCCACCAGAACATCGCCATACGACGCTGCATAGCGATGGAAGGAACCGTTCGGTCCGGTTCGGATTTCGATATAGTTTTGTTCGTTAGAGGCGTGCGGGCGGAGTGGGAGAGCGGTAATGTGGCGCGCCAGTGGCGGGAGAATCTTTCGCGCCACGTGGACGGCCTCCAGCGCCGCCTCCCGCAATTCCCGCTGCCGAGCATTGCGCGCCAAGCGCGCGCAGATCCCGCTTCCGCAAATGGCGCGGAACGCCCGCCGGGACTCAAGGATGTGGGGGTGCGCGCGACGGGGAACGCGCGTTCAGGCGGAGCGCAAGGGGGAGGAGCGGAGGGAAATGACTCGCGGGGGGACGAGGACGGCGCGGAAACTCGGAGAAACACCACGGGTGCGCCTACTGGCACCATTGCGCAGGCGGGGCAAGCGCGGAGCAGCAAGGCCGGGGGGGCGAGCGCGCGGAAGTGGGGGCGCGAGACGGTGAAGCAGCGCATGGAGCGGTGGCGCCGCGAGCGGGAGATGATGATGATGCGCGCGGCGGAGGAGGAGAGGCGGAAGGAGGAGGGGGAGGGGGAAGGGGAAGGGGGAGGCGGAAGTGGCGGTGGAGGAGCTGTATGTGGCGCGCAGCAGACACTACACTCCCAACGTGCTCACCTTCGGGTATGTCTCACCCCGTACCCCCTACCCCATGTCCCCAAGTCGTGAGCAGCAGGCACTACACGCCCAATGCACCCCCAATGCCGCCATTTTGCCCGCCCGAGGTCCCCATTCTGCCCCCAAAGGGACCCACTTTGCCCAACCAATGCCCGTTCGTCTCCCCCAAAGTGCTCCCACTCTCCCCTTGTCCCAGTCTACCCCCCCACTGTCCCCCACGCTTCACCCCTCTCCCACACCACCACTCCCCACTGCTCCTCCTCTCTTCTACACCACTTGCCCCCATTTGCCACCCATTGCCCCTATGCCCCCCAATCTCTCTCCCACGCGATAGATGGAGTATTGGGTGCTGCTCTCTGCGGGCGCTGCTCCCCATTACCCCTATACCCCTGCCTGTTCTGGGACATTTCGTAGCCCTCCACACACTGCCCCCCACCCCGCTTCTTCCCCCCTCCCCCTTATTGCCCATCCACTGCCTGGTGCAGGTATTCATTCAAGGAATGGACGGAGTACTGGGCGCTGCTCTCCACAGGCGAGCTCTACCTCGGCCTGCCCCACGGGGACCCGCGCCACTTCGACTTCCACCACGACCGCCGCACCAACCCGCACCGCTTTGTACCGCTCTCGCACTCCCACGGCCCGGCGCACGAGTTTGACTACGGCGGGTGCCAGGTGGCGCTGGCGCCAGGTCAGCAGGAGGTGCGGGTGGGCGGCGGCGATGTGGTGTTTAAGAGGGTCCAGCCGTGCGAGGCGGAGGAGGGGTGTCGGTTGGAAGGGAGGTTCGTTCACGCCGCGGCTCGGGACTTTGTGGATGCAGCAGAAGCTTCGGGGGTGCATGGTGGGACGACTGTGACTTTCCGAGGAGACGGGACGTTCAGCGTGCAGGGAGCAACGGGGATCTTGCCGTGTAAAGCAGGGGGTGTGAGCGTGGGGGAGGGAGCGGGGACGGGGATGGGGGCAGGGAGAGGGGTAGGGTCGGAGGGGAGGGAACAGGAGGTGGATGATGAGGAGAGGTAGGGGAGGGGGGAGTATGAGATAAGGGGGAAGGGCATTGAGTTGCGGTATGAAGGGGGACGCGTGGAGGATGCGTTCTTCTTTGAGTACCCGGGGTCGGGTGGTGGAGAGGTGAACATCAACGGCACCACGTACCACAGAGTGGTGGAGCAGGGTGGGGAGCAGTGACACCAGTTCTTGGTTTTATGTCGAGCGAAAGGTTGCAGGGCAGTGAAGTGAACATTAATGGCACCACGTACCATGGTGTGGTGGAGCAGGGTGGGGAGGAGTGACGCAGAGAAGAGGGGGAGGGGGGGAAGGGAGGGGGGAGCAGGGAAGTGATGCAGAACAGGTGCGGAGGAAGAGCAGGAGGGGGATGAGTGACACAGGGGTGTGAAGGAACAAGGTTGTGTGTGAAGGAAGCAAAACTGTGCGTACAGCACCCTTGGGAAACATGGAGCCTGTGTGTGTGTATGCCACATGTGGATGGCCCCTCTCGTCATAAGAGCAGGCCCTGTATTTATTAACTTATGGAAGACAGCTTGACTGGCACTGCAGCAGATAATTCTGGAAGGGAGGCTTGATACCCTATGTGCCTTTACCAAGCACCGCTTTTGCATTATTCAGATATCGGAACAAGCGCCCCATGCAAATCACACAGTAGTTTGAACTCCACCTGTTTCTGGCTTCACCAGTCCAGCCTGCGCTGTCTTCACCTGCACACCCCCATCCCTCTGCACCACCTCTGTCACCTGCACCTGCCCTGCCTGTGCTCCCACCTGCCCTTGTGGGGCATCTGTCTTGACCTGCCCCTGAGCACCACCTGTGTTGACCTGCGCTTGAAATGCTTGCCCTTGAACAGCCTGCTTTTGTGCTACCCCTGCCTGCCCTTGCCTGGGCCCCTCCTGCCCTTGACTTGCTTCCACCTGCTTTTGTGCTACCCCTGCCTGCCCTTGCTCTGGGCCCCTCCGCACGTTGCACGAGTTGCACGGGTACGGGCAGTCTATCAGCGCCGCCTCAAACCCATCTACGCCACCGTGCGTGCTGCTGGTGCTCTGTGCATCTGTGGTAGCGTCCACAGTTCGCAGCCACTTGCCCACAGCATGCATCAGCGTCTGCCAAGGAGGCGTGGGGGGCACATAAACGGAAACGCGAGTGAGGGGTGGGTGAGGGGTTGGTGACAGATGGGTGAGGGTGGGTGAGTGGTGGGTGAGTGGTGGAAGAGTGAGGAGGAAACCGACGCATGTGAAGTGGAATGGGGGAGGAGAGAGAGGTTGAGGTGGGGGTGGGTGGGACCTGGTTGAGCACGGTGAGTCGCAGCCAGTGGTCCTCGTAGTGGCTCGTGCAGTGGGTCAGGCACGAGAACAGAAACACCCCGTGCTGCTGCTGCACACCCAACTGCTCCCCTCCCCCGCCGGCTGCCGCGGGTGGCAGGAGGGGTGCCACAGTTGCTGTGACTGTGTCCCGCACGCCTGGGAGGAGGGGGTGAGGGAAGAGGGGTGAGAGGAGAAAGGGCATGGCAAATGGTAGAGTGAGGCAAATGGGATGGCAAACGGACGGGTTGAGGAGAACAAACGGGAAGGCAAATAACAGACAGAGGCAGGACAGTACGGAATGGTTGCACAAGTCACCCTGGTGGCTGCAGTGCAACCGTCACCTTGCAAGGTGGCGAGCTGTGATTGGTTGCATGTGTGCAGCTTCCTCAAGCAGCTGGCGATGAGTTCACCTGACGGGTCTGCCTCTGGTGGGGCGAGCGCATGCCGCAACTGACAGGAGCGCACGAGTGGGGGGAGTGGCGGGATGTGGTTCATAGTGCAGGAAATGGGTGAGCGGAACAGTGAGGAGGACGGAAAGAGAGGAAGTGTTGACGGGGTAGGGATGGGAAGAATGGGGGGGGCAACACCAATGATGCATGAGATGTGGGACAGGGAAGCGGGCATTCTTGCCGTGCAGAGCTAAAAGCAGTGTGCAGAACAATGATCCACAGTGGGCTTCAATGCAGCTGTGGCTATGAGGCACCTCAAGAATGCATGAGAGTTGATGCACATGGCACAGTTAAAAAGACCGGGGCATTGCAGGTTTGGGGGAGCAGCGTACGAGCCAGAGGTCGTAGTTGCTGTTGATGATGAACGTGGGCGTCTTGAGGAGGGGCAGTAGCTGTGCTGACATGAAACACTGCCACACAGCACAGGCACAGGGTGGGGCATGCGTATGGCTGTCGCAAAAAGTCCTTTGAGACGTCTCAAAAGTCCACATATCACAGCACATGTGACAGAAGGCAGAGCCCTAGAGTCGTATACGCAGCGCCACCACTGCTGTTAGTAGCACAGATGTTAGAAACAGAGCGCACCTGATAGTGGTCTTCAGGTGGACGAGAGGAGACGCAGGAAGCGGGAAGACTTCCAGTCACATTCTGCCACATATGCAGCCCAGAAGCATAGCGAGGCATGGTGAGGCTATGATGGCTTACGGATACCCAGGATGGCAGACAGGCACGCACTGTGATGTGGTTGCTTGCACATGTGATGACAAGCGTGCACTATGCCACGGAATGAGAGAGGGTTGAAGAGCACACGCACATGGATGGTGAGCACGGATCGGAAGAGCGTCTGAGCCGCCCTGCCGCCACTGATGTCTGGACTGTGACAGAAGAAGGGACAGCAGCGGGGTGGGGGTGAGAGAACAGAGGCATGTTACGCGCCAGATAATGGACATGAGAAGGCTGAAGGCGTATCAGCCAAGAGCGACGTACGGGCGAGGCAATGGGTGTGTGTGTGGATGTGGAGGAAGTGTCTCACAGGTCAAGAGGCCCGGGTCTGCAAGGCTCTTGAAGCGCCTCAAAAGTTTTGAGGAGCATCAAACAGCGTGGGAATGTGTGTGTGCGGGGAGGGGGGGGAGGAAGTGAGGGAAGTGGCTCACATGTCAAGGAAGAGGCCCGAGTCTGCAAGGCACTGCACGGATGCAGAGGGGGGCATGTGAGCGTGGCGGATGTAGTCGCAGTGTAGGTACACCACCAGGGCGCCCGCTGAACACCCCGATATAAGCACCTGGCGCGGCCAGGGGGATGGGAAGTTACGAAAGAACCCGATGACGGACAGACTTGGGCGGCAGGCAGGCACAGGTGGTTGGGATTGGCGCAGGGCACAAATGAAGCGAAGCGGGGGAGTGCGAGCTGTGATGTGGGTGGAGTGGAAGCATAGGTATTGGGAGTGACTGGGGCTTGTTGCAACGACGCCAGCTCCTGCTGCCCTCAGCTTCCACAGCACTCCACTGCAAACCCGCTCTGCACTGCCCTCTGCAAACCGTGTCTGCCCTGCCCTCCGCTCACCCGCTCTGCCCTCACCCCTCACCCGCTGTGCAGTGCCCATGTGGAATCTTGCTGTGAGGTGTGCGAGGAGGAAGTCGAGGATGGGCCGCCCGCGAGAGAAGAGCGGCACTCCCTGGGGAGAGGGGAGGGGAGGAAGGGGGGGATGTGCGAGGGGGGTGAAGGATGTGAGTATATGGGTCGACAGAAGTGGGTAGAAATTTATGGTCCGGGAGTGTTTGTTAATGCAGAGATACTGGAGAACGAAAAAGAGGAAGATGAAGCAGAAGGGAACAGAAATGAAGAGGAACGCAGCGACACAAGCTCCCTTCTCTCCTCTTTTACTTTGCTGCCCATTAGCTCTAGTGAAGAGCAAGAGGTCCATGGGGAGGTGGAAAGGGAGATGGTGGTGGTGGAAGAGGAGGTGGAGGATAAAGGGGTGGTAGAAGGTGTGGTGCCTCTTTATCCTCCACCTCCTCTTCCACCACCACCATCTCCCTTTCCACCTCCCCATGGACCTACTGCTCTCCACTAGAATCAATTAACAGCAAAGAAAAAGAGGAGAGAAGGGAGCTTGTGCTGAGTTCCTCTTCATTTCTGTTCCCATCTGCTTCATCTTCCTCTTTTTCGTCCTCCAATATCTCTGCATTAACAAACACTCCCGGACCATAAATTTCTATCACAGCCACGTCGTACGCAAGGGCTGCGTCTGCAGGGATGCAGGGTCCGACCACATGGCATGAAGTTATGGCATGAAACCATAGCATAATGTCATGCACTGCAGGGCAGGCTGTCAGACTCAATGCACAACACTGCTATTCGCCTATTCTGAGAGAGCACTTAATGTTGTGTGCACCTCACGACCTGCAAGGGCCACGTCCGTGTGCATCTCACCTCAAAGACCAGAGGGTCCTGCCTGTCACCAGAGAAGGACGCCCCATCGCAGTAAGGGAAGATGACCAGATTCCAGTCGTACAGGTCTGCAGGAAGGCTCCATGGAGTGGTGGAAAAGGCACAGGGCTTGCTAAAAATAAATCATCAGCAAAAATAGCCGCAGGGATGCTAACCAGGCTAGCATGCCTATTTTCTCTGAGCATGCTTGCTGTCGGCAGGCAGCACGTTTGGAAGGCGATGGGAGCTGCCCCACAGGAAGGAGCGGGCACGGCTCGGATCGGCCTACCCCAAATCACATGATATGGTACTGTTCTACTCTCAACTCACCCGGGTTGACATCGCCCTGGGCGCTGAGAATGCCGGGTGTGGGCAGCACGTCAGGGAAGTGCTTGGAGCTGCCCCACAGCGACGAGCTGCGGTTGTAGCAGTCCCAGGGGGACGTGCACCACGCTCCCGACTGCACAGAGCGGGGGACAGGGAGGGAGAGGGGGCAGGTTGTGGGGAAGCGGGGACCAGGGGGAAGCGGTGGGGAGATGGGGGGTGGCAGCAGGGAACACAGAGAGGGGAGGATACGTGGGAGGTGATACAGGAAGAAAATCGGGCATGAGCAGCACATCAGTTGAGCTGCCCCACAGCGACGAGCTGAGGTTGTAGCAATCCCACGGGGTCGTGCACCATGCGCCCGACTGCAGAGTGGGGAGCACGGAGGGGGGAAAAAGGGGGAGGGGTTTCGAGTCGACTCAATGCTTGACCCACAGCGATGCGCTGCGGTTGTAGCTGTCGCACAGGGACGTGCACCATGCTCCCGATTGCACCGGGGGGGAAGCACGGGGGGTTGGCCCGTAGGGAGGTGGGGCGAAAGCGGGGGAAGGGGGGGTGGGGGGACTTAGGTGGAGGTGGAAGTGAGGTATGAATGAGAAAGGGAGGATCTCAGGGGAGTGGATACACATGTCTGCATGTCCACATGTGTGCACGCTTATACATCTCACCCGGAAGTTGAGCAGCCATTTGTTAGCGCCGCTGCCATGGCCTCGCCGGTAGTAGAAGCCTGGCGCGGACCCGTCCAGACACACTGCCAGTGCCACGTGGTCGGGGGACGGGTGAGACGGAACGGCAAAATGTTCACCATGAGCACGAGTGGTATTGGACGTGAGATGTGGTGTCATGGGTACGGACGACTGCGAACGAAAGCACACGTCTTCTGAAATGAACAGTCATTCTGAATGCGATAGACTTCTGGTTGCTACAGCGTTGCATTTGAATGCTTCAGCGTCCTGAATGCTGGACCAGGGAGAGGGACGAAGCACAGTCGTTCATAAGCCAAGTGCAATAACTGCATCAATTCCTCCGCTCCAAGCCCCCTCCACGGCTCACGCCGTCCCATAACAGACACTACAACGGATCACGCGGACTACACCTTACTCCCACTCCTCACCCGCGCCATGCTTCTTCGCCTCTTCCACGATAAACAGCCGCAGTGACCTCTCTCGCGCTGCTTCGTCCTCTAGTACCGCGCGACGCGCCGCTCCTGGCCGCGGCGTGACAACTGCGCTTCGTGAATTCGGGGTTCCACCGTCACGAATCGTGACTCTATCGGCGCCATCAGTGACGGTGCTTCTATCGAATGTCGCGCTGGCGACGAGGAGCGATAGCAGAAGCGTGGCGAAGAATGGTGTGTTCGACAACAATGAACTGCAAACGAAAGGTACCATCGCTTGTGTGCTTGTGAAAGTCCGAGCAGTCAGGAGAGCCTTGGGAATTTCACACCAAAGAGCTCCGAAGTTCCATGTGCTCGTGCGCTTCACCTGAAGCCCAAAAAGTTTCGGAAATTCGAGCACAAAGAGAAAGAGCACAAATTAGAGCCCAAAAAGTTTCGGAAATACACCTCAATAGGATTTGAATAAGCGCCAATCATACATCAAGAAAGTGATGCACACCACTCTACCTTCAACGTCCGGCATGGAAGAAAGCTGTATGAATCGCATTCGTTGGCTCTCTTTTGCCTTCAACCTAGATAATTCAGAAAATATTATACATTAGTCTCTACGTTCTAACTATACATGGCTTACCATTGTGAGTGTGGTCTCATTACTACACGGTAGCCCTTTCTCTATACATGTGTGCTATGTGCATGCACAGCTGGATGTCCCTTCCATCTCCCCATCCCCCCCCATCCCTGGAACATCATCCACCACTTCTCCTCCTCTCGTTCCACAATGGGAGCCGAGGCATTCACCATCATCCAATGGTCCTCATCCAACAACTGCACCTTCTCTATCCCTTCCTCTCCTGTACTACACCCCACACTCTTCCCCTCCTTCCCCTCCTTCCCATCCGTCTCGCTCCCTCCCCCACCACTCCCCGTCACAGCAGCAGCTGCACTAGTGTTACTCTTGCCCTGCGAGTCCCCCTGCCCGGAGTGCAGCCCGCAGGACCCCACGTGGTGCGCGCTGGCGCGGGACCAGCGCAGCGACCAGGAGGAGGGCAGGCGGCGCAGCACGGAGGACCAGAGGGTCAGGTCCCAGTTGTAGTCGTCGTACAGGCAGAACGGCTGGGGGAACGAGGGGTTGGGCGGTTGGCAGGGATAGGGTGGGTGAGCGCCAGAAATGGGGTGGGTGGCTAGCAGGGATAGAGTGACTGGCAGAGAAGAATCAGGGGTCAATAGCAGAACAAACTGAGAGAGAATTGTGACTGAGAACAAACAAGCGACTTGGACTTACGATCAGGGCTCCGTCTCACCTTGGCCTGTGCGTGAATGAGCTCCCACACGCTGCGGTTAAACGCATACCCCACATTGCACATGCGCTCCGCTGCCAGCTCCCCTGGCTCGTCGTCCTGTATCGAGTGCACATCGGAGGGGGCGAGGTTGGCGGCGATGCAGTGGGGGCAGCGCGCGTGCTTGGCTAGGAGGAGCGCTTGCAGGTGGCGCAGGGCGTTGGGGAAGAGCAGATGGTCCTCCTCCACCCACACCACGTGCCCTCCATACCCCCGCGTCTCCTCCACGCCCCCCCACACCGCGTTCATCGCCCACCACCAGTGGTGCTGCAATGGGGGGAAGAGGGGAGGGCGGGGGAGCGGCACACGTGGACAGCGAGGGAGAGAGAGTGTAACGAAACAAGTACAACAAAGTCAGGATGCAGTAGGGGAGGCGGAGTGGGAGTGGTGCACATGGCATGGGGGAAGGCGGTAGAAAGAGTACAAGGATGAGGGAGATGTGCGAGGGGAGTGGACCCAGAGTGAGTACGCATACAGCAGCCAATCAGAGCCCCCTCACCTTAAGAGACAGCCTCCCCGGGTCTCTGAACGACCCGTATTGGTCTGCCTGACCCGTGCACTCCCCCCCTCGCGCGCCCTCCCCGCGCACCCCTGAGGCGCCTTGCGCTCTCCCCCGGCAGTCGGCGGGGGAGGCGGCGGGGAAGGAGGCGCTGAAGAGGTGCGGGGAGAGCGGGAAGTAGAGCTGCTTGACCGCGCAGAACGTGATTCCGCGCACCAGCGCGTGCATCTCGGGGTAGTACCCGTCGTGGCTGCGCGGGGAAAAGGAGGCGGGGCGGGGGAAGGTTGGGAGGGGGGGGGGGGGATTTGAGGGGAAGGGGAAGGTCGAGTGTTTATGAACTTCATAACTTTATGAACTTCAACTTCCCACGTTGAACGTGGGAACGACATGCACAAGCCTGAGCACAGTAACCGGTTTGATGCGGAGAATGGCGGCATTGCGAGTCGACTAGACATAGACGCACCTGACGATGAGCAGCGTGTCTTCGATGCCTTCCACTTTGCTCAGCGCCTCCAGCGTGCGTCGCAGGTACGCGGGGCGGTTGTGCACCAGCAGCACCATCACCACATCTGAGTCGCTTAACCGCTTCTTCCACGGACCTCGCGTTCCAGTAACATTAGTGTTGCTATCACTACTGCTGCCAGTAATAGCAATGCTACTGCTAGCCCGTTTCCCCTTCGCGCTTCGCCGCACTTGTGCGCGTAGCTTCGCCAGCAGCCCCATCCCGCCGCCGCTCTTCTCCGCGTTTCCCGCCGTCAAAGGCGCTCTCGCCGGCTGGCGATTCCACTCCTCGAGCCGCCGAGAGAGCGGCGAGGAAGGCGGCCACGGCTCGTGCGGGTTCATGCGACGCCACATGTCGAAGAACGATTGGGCTTCGCGTTCCTTCCTTCCGTTAAAAAGGTCGAGCAGTCTAGCTCCCGCGCGATCGTAATTCTCCTCCGTCTTCAAATCCATGTGCTCCACCTCATCCCGCATGGACTTCAGATTTTTCTCCATTTCCAAGTCGGCGCGATTGTGGTCTTCCGTCGCGGCGCGGATCGTTGAACCTCCGCGAGATGCGGCGTTCAGCGCCGCGAATCCACTTCGGAACAGCTCCTGGTTGAGGGCCCCGGCAGGTTCGCGTCTACTAGAAACGAGCCACGTGCCATCTTCTATCGCCACGTCATCAGATTCTGCCAGCTCTATCCCTAGTTTCGAAGCGGAGTAGCGAAACCAGGGCCATATTAGCCGCGGCACGCGCGCGAACCACCAGCGAGTTCGCAGCTTCGCTAGCTGCTCGTTGATTATTCGCAACAAATCGCATCGTCTCAGCCATTCGTCTACACTCTCGCGTAGTACGTCGCCCGCATCATCGCTCGTATCCTCGTTCGTGTCGCCAGTCTGGTCGCCAGAGTCAGAGTCCTTTGCGACAACCACTTCGTTCGTCGCAGGGGGGGCCCAGGCTCGCGGGAGGAGGCGAGCCGGGAGAAGAGACACGGGCGAAAATCCCCCAGAGGGCGACGCGGCATGGAAGAGAGCGAGCGCGAGGAGCGCTTGCGCGAGGAGCAGCAGGAGGAGACACGAGGAGGTACATGCGGGGGAGACATAGCGCCGGTAGTGCCGCGGAGAGATGAGTCCGCCCAGGCTTTGCGCGTTAACGGAAGGATGAACCGCAATTAAAGGCCTAGCGAGAGCTGCCGTACGAAGCGAGCCGAGTTGGCTGGGAATAAGGCGCGCAAGGAACGACATGAGTAGCGAGAGGATGCGCTGCAATCAGCGCACGAGCTGTCGGAGCTTTCTAGTAAGTCCAAGTCTCCTACAAAAGGCGTTCCGTAGAATATTAATTGGCTCGCGTCTGCTATACGTTGACGTGATGCTTGTTCGGTGGCCAGGCTCCAACGTCAGTGGTTTTGTTTCTGCGGTGTGACGGCAGCGAGCAGCAAGAGCAGCAGCAGGGACATCGACCGGGAGTGACTGTTCGAAGAAAAGTGAAACAGGTCGCGGAGTGAAGAGGGATGGAGAAGAGTGGAGAGTGATAATGGCTGCATCGCAGAGACTGGCGACAGGGCAGGCCGCTGGAGTTACTGCCTCGCCTCGCCGTCCTGTCTGAAATTTGCGACTGCTCTGCTCGTTTTCTGTGAAACGCGCAGTTCGCCGTTGAATGCGATGTGACGGGATGGAGCGACTCGTGTTTCCTCAATCCGACGGCGTAGAGAAAATTGATCGCGACTAATTTCGGGACGTATACATTCCCGCGTGGTGGCGAAACGCGCGAACAGAGGCGTGATGATCGGCCTTTCGAAAAGAAGGTTCTTGAGAGTCGCCGATATGCGCATTTTCTTATCATCCATGACATGCAGAATGTGCTTCGGATAAAACGACTCACATGTAACTTTCAAGAGCTGTACATCTTGGATATGTAAATGCATAACTCTATATCACGCCCATCACCCAATCCACCCCAACCTCTAAAAGAGCTAGGTGTGATTTTGAAACACCTAGGAATCAACGGAGCTGAACCATTTATGGACATCCTTGTATCTTCAGTTGTAATCACGACCTCCTCACCATCATCATTATGGTTCCACCAAGATTTGTTCTTATCGCAGCTGTTGGTCTTCCGCTCCCTCCCTGAGTGAAATCCACAATTGCCAAAGTGTCTTGCACTTGTTCTTGACCAGCGAATAGAAGATGCATGCGGCAACCGCTTCAACACAGAACCCGACATTGTAATATCCCAATTGTAGTCGTCAAAGAAGCAGAATGCCTGCGAGTTGTGTGCACACAAATAGAGATGCCGCGTTTGAACTAGCACCAGCAACAAGGAACGGAATGTGCATGAAGGATTGTAGAAAAGAGTAAAAATATAATGCATACCTCTGCTTGTTTGTGAATCAAATCCCACACAGTGCGGTTAAAGCAGTACCCAATGTTCCCCATGGTCTCCACAGAGAAAGTCCGAGGCCCACTGTCCTGCCACTCATGCACATCGGAGGGCGCGAGGTTGGCGGCGATGCAGTGGGGGCAGTTCGCGTGCTTGGCGTGGAGGAGCACTTGCAGGTGGCGCAGGGCGTTGGGGAAGAGCATATGGTCCTCCTCCACCCACACCACGTGCCCTCCATACCCCCGCGTCTCCGCCACGCCCCCCCACACCGCGTTCATCGCCCACCACCAGTGGTGCTGCAATGGGGAAGGGAGTGGGGGGCAAACGAGGGAGAGAGAGCCTGATGAGGAAGCAGGTAACATCAAATACAGTGTCAAAGCAGAAAAATGTGGTGACCAATCTCACCTTGAGAGATATTATCCGAGGGTCCCTGAACCTTCCAAACTGATCCACCTGTCCACTGCAATTGCCAACCCACTCCTTCCCTTCCTCCGGTCCCTCTCCTCCTCCTCCACCACCCCCTTCGTCACCTTCTGCTTCCCCCCAGGCGGACCTCACTCCTAGGCAGCCGGCCTTGGCAGTCGTCAGGGGAAGCTGCAGGGAAGGTGCGGTTGAAGAGGTGAGGGGAGAAGGGGAAGTAGATCTGCTTCACGGGGCAGAAGTCAATCGCCCTCACCATGGCGTCCATCTTGGGGTAGTACCCATCATGACTGCATGACAGAGAGATGAGCATGTGGGAAGGAGATAATGCATGTGAGATGAGGCTATAGTGGAATGGCAGAACAAGTGGTGGGAAATCCATGTGACAAAGACAGAAGCAGCATGCTCAGGAATTAAAAAGTTTCTTTTGAAGAAACGACTCGCACTCACCTTACAATGAGCACCTGCTGCACTCACCTTACAATGAGCACCTGCACTCACCTTACAATGAGCACCTGCACTCACCTTACAACGAGCAGCTGCACTCACCTTACAATGAGCACCTGCACTCACCTTACAATGAGCACCTGCACTCATCCTTACAATGACCACCTGCACTCACCTTACAATGAGCACCTGCACTCACCTTACAATGAGCACCTGCACTCACCTTACAACGAGCAACTGCACTCACCTTACAATGAGCACCTGCACTCACCTTACAATGAGCACCTGCACTCACCTTACAATGAGCAGCTGCACTCACCTTACAATGAGCACCTGCACTCACCTTACAATGAGCACCTGCACTCACCTTACAATGAGCAGCTACTGCACTCACCTTACAATGAGCACCTGCACTCACCTTACAATGAGCAGCACATCTCGAATGCCCTCCACGCGTCGCATGGCTGCGAGCGTCCGTCTGAGATACGCCGGCCGGTTGTGAACCAGCAGCACCATCACGATCTCATCGTCCCCAAGCCGCGCCTTGCTACTGTCTTGCGCGTCCTCTGCTCTTCGCTCATTGGCTGCGGAATCGTCACTCCGCCGGAACAGCTTGCGCACGTCCCGGCTTGGTTTCCGCGGAGTGCGAGGAGGCAACTCATTCTTTTTCGCGAGGCCAGAGGAAAGCGAATTCAGTGGCGGCCATGTCACCTGGGGGTTTGCGCGACGCCATGCGTTGAAAAATGCATTTGATTCTCGCTGCTTCTTCTGCCTTTCGAAGTCTAGAAGCTTCATCTGAAGCGCGTCAAGCTCGGATTGGTTCACATTGGTCATGGCGGCGATAGCGGCCCGAACCTCTAAGAGAAACTCACGCTTTGCAGGCAGATCCACTGGCGCAACAGGGACTGACCGAGTCTCGTTAGCCATCAGCGGGTCTGCTTCGCGAGCAATGGAGGTATTCCCTCTGACTAGAGTCGCACGGTTTCCGTCAGCCCATGCGACAAACGCGACCTTCTGCGAGCACGTTTTTCCCGAGTCGTCGCGTCGCAACTCGTCGTCGATGCGTCGCAGCATGTCGCTGCGAGCTGTCGTAAGCACCTCGCGGCGTGCGAGCTCTTCCAGAGAGAAGAGCTGCGGGTTCATGAATGCGTCGACTGCTTCTGCCTCAGGGAATGCCGATCCACCACTTTCCTCCTCTACCTCGCTCGGCACGCGTCCTCCCTCTGAGAAATCCAAGGAATTCGATTCATGTATCTCGTTTCGCGAAGCGAGAAAGGAGAGTTCGTCTGTTCTCAAGTCAGTCGTCGTGCAAAGTAACCGCACGGGGATTTGAGGAAGGAGGTTGAAGAAGAGAATGGCGATGACGCTGTTTACGAGGAGAAGGCACGCGATGACGTTTCGCGCGGTGCTGATGGTGCGATGGCTGCGGGGAACGAGAGGTGCCAGATGAGCCACGGTAGCCATTGGATCTCTCCCTGACAACCATGCCACAATGCTCGTAGGCGGAACTACCTACACGGGACTTAGACACAAGCCGGCTGACGTCAAAGGGATAATTCTAGTCACCGAAAAAGGCATGGCGTCGATAGACTGCCTGCTGTTCTGTGCCTGGCCGAACACCAAAGAAAAGCGCGAAGAATCCAGTTTGCGAATGGTGGAGTCAGGCGGTGGTGGTGATGGCTGAATCGAGCGGCGACTTGGCATTTGCGTGTGCTGTGGAATATGCAATGTACCGTAGCAAATGCTACACCCTCTTTCTCGCCATACTGACGTCCGCTATACCGACTTCCAGAGTGAAAAAGCTCGGTTGAGGTTGGTTGATTTAGGTTTTGGTATGGTTTATTTGGGCAAATCGAATAGGACAAGGCCAGCCTGCCAGTTACGCGCGGGTCAGTGTAGCGAGAAACAGGGTGTAGCAGCTTTACTTTAGCTGCACAACAGGTCTAGGAATGATAATCATGATAACGATTCTGCACTAGGATGGAACCAACACCTTTCCTGGTAGTAGTTGCAGCTATGAGCCATTATGCAGCTCGTGTGAATCTGGATTATGGGTGTGACTGGCCTTTTGCAGACTGGATACACACGCTACGATAAGTTAGAATGCCACTATGTTAGATACAGGTACATACAGACACGGTATCACTACAGAATCTCACCCTTGATGCCCTTCAAATAGGCTCCCTATCTGCTCGTTCACCTGTTGCGGCGTGTGCCTTATATGTTTGGCTTGATGCCGCAGAGTGGCACCGTGTGTTTTGTAAAATAGGGTGTACAGTGATAGCACCCTGTACCGCACTGCCTGGTGTAGCTCCTGTTGCAGAGGGCCAGGGTTGACCATCCAAGTTCGCTGAACCCTGCACGCCTCTTCAAACAATGCCGAGAATTGCTTGAATATTTCCTGCAAGTTGCAATCACGAGCAACAGCATTGAACAAAACAGTGAGACAAATTTTATTAGTGAGCATGCAAGCAGGGCGTATACAGGATGAAGAATGCATGCAGTAAGCCAAATGCAACCACCCCAAGCAAGCCCTTGGGAGTACCTTGAGGGAACCATTGGGATTATTATAAGAAAGCCTTGGGATTACCTTGAGGGAGCCCTTGGGGTTGAGGAAGGAGGTGGTGGGAACCTCTCTGAGCGGTGCCACCACGCGGTTCCACGCCACTTTCAGGTACTCGTTCGCCTGCTGCGCCCTTGGGATTACCTTGAGGGCGGCCTCGGGATTACCTTGAGGGAGCCCTTGGGGTTGAGGAAGGAGGTGGTGGGAACCTCTCTGAGCGGCGCCACCACGCGGTTCCACGCCACTTTCAGGTACTCGTTCGCCTGCTGCTGTGCCGTGTCTGCCCGGTCCCTGATCCAGTCGTCCCCCACCAGCATGCGCAGCTCACAGCCTTTCACCTGTATTGTGTGTGTGTGATGGGAAGGCAGGAGGAAATAAAGGAGAAAAGAGGGATGAGTTGACTGAAGCGTCATGTCCCAATCCGACCTGATCCAGTCGTCCCCCACCAGCATGCGCAGCTCACACCCCTTCACCTGCGCAGTACAGGAGGAGAGGAGAGGATGAAAGAGAGACGTCTGACTTTAGGAATACACAGGCCACCCTGATGTGGTCGCTTGCCTGCTGCTGCACTGTGTCTGCCCGGTCCCTGATCCAGTCGTCCCCCACCAGCATGCGCAGCTCACACCCCTTCACCTGTATTGTGTGTGTGTGATGGGGAGGGGGGAGAGAATGGAGCAGAGGCATGAGATGACTTCAGAGTCACGTCTGACCTGATCCAGCCGGCCCCATCAGCATGGGACAGCTCACAGCTCTTCACCGTGTGTGCACCCTACTCTCCCAGACTCCCAGCTTATCTGCAATGCCCTACAATGCACTGCTGCACGTTCTTCACCTGTCAGGCGTCTCAAAAGCCGTCTCTTTACCTTGCGTGCGATGTACTGCACGTTGTTCATCATGAAAAAATGCGCCAGCCCTGCATCCCGGTACGTCAGCGCCTTCCCCAGAAGCTTCGCCTCCAACACCTTGAGAATCCCCCGAATCTTCCGTCCCACCTCCCGATACTCCTCCTGCGGCTCCCCCCAGTACCGCTTCCCATCCTCCCCCACCACTCCGCCCTCCTCCCCCTCCTCCTCCCCCTGCACCTCCTCCTCCTCAAACTCCTCCTCCTCCTCCTCGTCCGACCTCAGCCGAAGCAGCTTCGGCACCGGCACCACCACCGCGTTCCCACTGCTGCTATACAGCTTATTAATAGTGTCACTGTATTCAAAGAGCAAGCCCAGGTAGTTGACAACGTAGCTGGTGAGCCCGTGCACGGAGCCGGCGGGAGGGGGCCGGCTGTCCTCCTGCTCTATGTTTCGCTCGAAGTCAGCGAGAATGCCTCTCACTGCCACGCCCACGTAGCTCAGCACGACCGATAGCTCGTTTCGCACGCTCCGGCACGCGCCGTTGCCTGTAGGGATTGGCGGAGGGAGGGGGTGTAAGGAGAGGGGGAGGGAGGAAAAGGCGGGGGAGGGGGAGTGGGGGTTCAGGTTCTGAGATGTCTTGAAGTCAGCGAGGATGCCTCTCACGGTAACGCCCACATAGCTCAGCACCACTGACAGCTCGTTGCGCACACTGCAACACGGCCCATTGCCTGGAGAAGGTGGAATGGGGGGCGAAGCGACAGAAAAAGGGGGTTGCTGTTGGGAGAGCACAGACAGAAAATCCAATCTACCAACACATGGTAACCAGACTGAACCACATGGCTAGTCCTAGTGCCGTACCGCACACAACCGCGTTGAAATCCGGCTGCAGCTCCTGCAGCGTCTCGTAGATGTCGAGCATGGCGAAGAGGCGCTCAGGCGCCTTGTGCCCCGCCGCAAAGGCCTCCACGAAGTCAAACAGCCGCCCCATGCTGCCCTTTGCCGTCTCCGCAAAGCACTGCTCGCTGTCCTGCAAAAGGGGCAGATGGGGGGCGATGGAGAGAGCAACAGATTGAAAACAAGGGCAAGCAATCATTCTCGCTGTCCTGCCTTTCACTGTCTCCGCGACACACAGCTCGCCGCTGTTCAAGGGGAGGTGGGAACGGGAGGGGGCAGGGTATGGGGGGAGAATGGGGGAGGGAAGTGGAAGAAGCAGCAGGCGAACATGAGAGGGGATAGAGGACGAGAGCTAACAAGCATAGCTCGTCCGTCACTGTCTCTGGAGAGCACAGATCGCGAGGGATAAATAACCACACAGCGAACCACCTCCACCGCATCCAACCCACCTCCACCCATCCAACCCACCTCGACGGTGTCAAAGACCCGTTCACAGAGCTTCCTCTCAGCGGCGAGCAGCACGCGCACGCCCCTTCGCGCATACGCCTTCCACAGGTCCACCCGCGCTGCCAGCTCATCCCAGTCGAGTGTCGGCACCAGCCGAGGGTCGAAGCGACCCGCTGCCAGCTGCTTCAGGGATTCCTCTAGCACCGCCTGTGGGTGGGAGGGATGGAGGGAGGGAGGGAGGGAGGGAGGGAGGGAGGGAGGGAGGGAGGGTGGGAGGGAGGGAGGGAGGGCAGGGAGGGGGGAAGGGGAGGAGCGGAAATTATGGGTTGACAGAAGGCACACGCATAGCTGCCGCGCGTACGCCTTCCACAGGTCTATACGCGTTGCCAGCTGGCTCCTCCCACTCGAGCGTCGGCACCAGCCGAGGGTCAAACCGCCCTGCTGCCAGCTGCTTCAGGGATTCCTCTAGCACCGCCTGTGGGTGGGAGGGATGGAGAGGAGGAGAGAGACGGGGGAGGAGAGAGAACGGGGAGAGTGAGGGATGAAGGGGTAGGAGAGAGACGGGCGAAGAAAGAGGTTGGAAAAACTTGTGATTTGAGTCAAACCCTGATGCTGAAGAAACAGCTCCCACTCTTCCCTCGCTGCTCCCACTCTTCCCTCGCTGCTCCCACTCTTCCCACTGCTCCCACTCTTCCCTCGCTCGCTCCCAACCTGTTATTCTCCCCTCGGCCTACCTCACGCCCGCTTTGCTCATTCCGACTCGCCCTACCTTGCGCACGGTGCGGTAGTTCCGCCTGAGCGAGGGGGAGAGCCCCGCGCGCGCAGCCACGCGCGCAATGGCGTGGAGGCGCCACACGGCGGGCTCGGGGAGGAAGGAGGGCGCGCGGTCGAGCGCGGAGACCGCGAGGGACGCGGACGAGGGGGAGGAGGAGGGGGAAGAGGACGCGACGGGGGTGGCGGCCGCGGAGGGGGAGAGCGGCGCGGAGGAGCGCGGGGGCTTGGATACGCGCTTGGCGGCCTCGTTGACCTGCGGGCGGTGGGGGAAGGGCGCGCGGACGGCGGGGAAGGAGGGGAGAGCACTGAGATACGCGGTTGAAAAAATGGGAAAAGAATATAACTGGTGTAAAAGATAATGAACCTGTACGGGCAATGGCTCTTGTATTTCAGTAACGCGTCTGTCCTGCGTACCCAGGCGTCACAACAAGGTAAAGACGTACCCGAGTTTAAAGACGTATCAGAAAATCACGGCAAGGTAAAGACGTACCCGATCGGGCGGCACGGGGTGGCTCTCAGCGAGCAGCACGTGCAGAAAGCCCTCCTCGAGCCGCGGCACGACGTTGTTCAGCATCGCCTTCGCCGACTCGCGCACGAAGGCCATCCCGGGCGGCACGCCGGGCATGTTGGCGGCGTCGATGAGATCGAAGAGGCGCTCGACGGCTTCGAGATACGCGCGCACGTCGACGACCGACGCGTCCCATATGGCGGTCCCCGCGCCGCCGGAGGAGGACGAGCGCGGGATTGAGGAGGCGGAGGAGGAAGCAGAGTGCTGCGCGGGTTGCCCATGCCACCCGCCGAGGACGGCTATGGAGGACTCTAGGGTTTCGAGCGGGGATGTGTACGCGTGCGCGTGCGCGTGCGCCGCTCGCGACGAGTCACGCATGGCGGGCAGATAAGCGGAGTCGGCGGCGGGACAGCGGAAGAGTTGATCACGGGGAGTTCACTAAGCGCGCAAAGGTGACGCTAACAACTAGCTTAGTTCGTTGAGAATGCTAAGTTCGTTGAGGATGCTAAGTTCGTTGAGAATGCCAAGTTACGTTGAGAATGCACGCTAACAACTAGCACAGTAAGATGGGGTACGGCAGCGAAATCAGGCTGGTCTAAGATGAGGTGTGCTTGTGAAATGAATACGGCAGCGACTAGTGAAACGGCAAGTGACATGAATACGGCCGTGGTACATTGGGCTCACAATCGATGCTTGAGGCTCGAGCCCACATTGGAGGTTTCGGGTAACCCGAATTCCCATACGGAAATTGGGCTTCCCAAATTTGGAATTGAGCTTCCCGCTCGAGCGTGGGGCTCGAGCCTTGGATACGAGTTCGCTTCGCGAATGTGTGTCGTCTTCCACTCGTCATTCCCACTGTAGCGCGTGCTTCAACAAAAATTGGAAACGAGGGTAACCATGTTTTGTATATGCCACTTCAGGATTCCCTATCGCTAGTCAGACTTCGCAAACACAAACAAGAGGCTCGAGCCAGGCTCGATGTATTTTCCAGAGTATCATTCACCTGGACATTGAGCTCAGGCTCGAGCCTACCATAGAATTTCACCAAGTGTACCACGTCCTAATAGGCTGAAGGGCAATGGGAAGGGAGAAGGTGGTGGTGGTGTTTCCAGTGTGCGGAGAGAGGATGATTTCGAGGGCACTTGGATGGGCTGACGTCCTCGCTGTTAGCACTACAGAAAATATTTCATATTGTTAAGAGATATTTCTAGTTCTACTGCTTATATACGCACACAATCTGCAAGGAAAGGAGTCAATACTGAGTCTAAGCACACGTTGGTAGTGACCCAGCACTCCACATCTGCACGGAAAGAAAACAATGGAGCAGAGAAAGCGGCTGTTGTGAGGTCTCAAGATGCAAAAACAGAGCTTCAAGACGATGGGATAACATGTATATAATGGATTGAAGGTATGTCGGTACGGTACCTGCGCCAGGCGTGGAAGTTGGCGTATTTGACGGGGTCCTCGGCAGCCGCCACTATGGTGTGCCGCAGTTCGTCCCGATGCATTGAATCGGCGTTCAGGAACGAATCTGGAGGGGCAAAGCTGTCTATGTCCGGCGCCCCATAGTACACCGGCACTGTACCTGCAGGGGGGGTTGGGGGAAGGGGAGGAGTGGGGGGGAGTGGTGAGGTTCATGGGAACTGAAGGGGTAGATACGATGAAGCGGCGAGAATGATTAGAGAGCATATTGACTATGAATCCAGCGACCGGAGCACGTTTCACTGGACATGCACAATGCATGCGCCGTGTGCGTGCATGTGCATACATGTCATGTGTGTGAAATTCGCCAGCAGGTTTCCACTATCCTCATCTCACCTGCTTCTAACGCATGGAAGAATTTCTCAGTCACGAAGCCGCGCTCCTCGCGTGACTCTATAACGAGGTTGAACAGGTAGTGTGACTGTACGCAGTGTAAGTGGTCCCACCAGTCCTTGTGCCCCCCGCCCCGCATCCCCACCCCTGCATCCTCCTCCTCCTCCCAGCTCTCCTCACTCCTCCCCCACACTCCCCCCCCTCCTGTGCGAATTCCTCTCATGGGCCTCCTTGCAATCTCAGCTTCCTGCCGAGCCTCCTCTGCTGCCTCCTTACCACCATTGTCATCACCACCACCTCCTCCTCCTCCTCCTCCTCCTCCTCCTCCTCCTCCTCCTCCTCCTCCTCCTCCTCCTCCTCCTCCTCCTCCCCCATCCCCTCCTGCCTCTCCTCCCGATGCTCCCTTCCCCCTCCCTCTCTGTCCTGCTGCTGCTGCTGCAGACTCACCCTCGCGCGTGCCCGTGCTCCCACCTTGGCCCGTCTTGTTGCGCGCGTGCCCGCCATCCAGGTTCGCCCTCTGACCATGTGCCCCGAAATATCTGAACACGGCAAGCGAGGTGGACTTGGATTCGACTCGAAATGGGAGGAGAAAGTACACTAATTGCACACAGCACGTACAGGGAGCGCGAAGGCAGCACAGCTAGTGAAACACAAACTGCTGCTTTGTGCCGCATGCTACACAGAAGGCATGCTGTAGGTGTGCAAAGCACGGCACGTACTGGCACATGCTGTAGGTGCCTCCTCCTCCCGCATGTTGTTGCTGGTGCAACTGCCAGTGCTGTGCACTGCATGTCACACACTACACAGCCCTCTAATCGGAACCCATACAGGCACATGCTGAGGGCATACAGGACGTACTGGCACATGCTATAGGTGTCCAGCACGTCTGCCTCCTCCTCCTTCATGTTGTTGCTGCGGCTGCCTATGCTGTGCGCCATGCGCCTCATCAGTGCTCCAATGCGCTCGCGCCAGCTGGACGGGCGAGATGCTGCGTGGATGAGAGGCGGTGACTGGGACACGCAGGGATTGGGGGGTGGATGGGATGATGGGTGGATGGGATGGTAGGATGATGGGAGGATGGGATGTTGGGATGATGGGAGGATGGGATGATGAGATTATGAGACAAAGGATGTGTCGTGAGCAGGCTTCATAGGGAAATGTGCAACCCGCAAGAGAAAGCGACGCCATGCCATCCCATGATACGCCCCATGTCATGCCACCCCATACCGTGTTCCCATGCCATGCACGCCCCATGCCACGCACGCCCCATGCCACGCACGCCCCATGCCATGGCCCCATGCGCACCTTTCGCTTGACGCCAGACACATGGCGGTTGCGATCGGCATGCTCCAGCTGCCCCGCATACGTCACCTGCACATCTGCACCCGCTCCATACCCCACCATCACGTCCGCCCCAACCCTGCTGCCCCTGCTGCCCCTATCACTGCCATTACTGTTACCACTGCTGCTGCCAGTGCTGCCACTACCACGACCATCGGCACTATGCCCTGGCCGCCCTTCCCCGCCCCCATGCCCCTCCATGTCCATTTGCACCACTAGGGGCCTGCCTCCCGCCCCTGTGCTGCTCGGGTGGTTTGGAATATCTCGGGGTAATTCGCCCTCGAAAAGCAGCGCGTGTGGGGAGGGGGAGAGGGTCGGGGAGCGGGAGAAGGAGCAGGAGAGGTGGCAGGGGCAGGTGTAGAGACCGTCTAGCCAATCAGGGATTGACGGGGAGGAAACCACCTGGATTGGGGAGGGATGGATGGAGATGAGCAGAGCGGAGAACAACGAAATGATGGATGTGGTGTGACGGGAAGAGCATATGAGATGGGGAGAATCTGGAGTATAAATCAATGGAGCCTTGGAAGCATGTGGATGCAGGACTGGAGGATGCATGGAAAGGGCACTGCACAGCATACATTCATGTGGAATGTTTGTAGCTTGAGATTCCACATGGCAGGATACATGCATGCATTGCATGTGGCAGAGCACCTGAATGGCGACATGAGGCAACTTGAGAGCAGAGCACGGCAGGGAAGAAGCATCCTGGAAGCTGCTGCTCTGGGGCCACGTGTCGTTCTGGTACTGGGCGATGAGATCTGAGGTGGAAGCAAAGCGGGGCGCACCCAGCCAGCAGCACACGTGCGAGGGAGTGGTAATCTGAGTCATGGCACCTTGGTGGCTGCGTGAATGGTAACTTCGTGCCCAGTACGAGATAATGGCTGCTCTGCATGAGACGAATCACTGCCTGCATGGAGTTCACATGTCGGAACGTGCGAAATCGGTGTGCAGCAACGGGAATCCCCCCAAAGCTGGACAATGGGCGCGGATTTACGGACGCCGAACCTGCGTGCTTGGTTCGGAAGGCGGCACATCCGACAGCCTTGTCCCACGCCGCCCACGCCTCGTCCATGTCCATCGCTCTGCCGAGCCACGACTCCTTGCGTCGTGCTACGGTGCCGAACCTCACCCGGAGCTCCGGGTCCGACAGCTCCGGCGGGCCACGTGGCAGGTCGAGACTGGCGCCGTCGATCGCATCTGCTTCGGAATCGTAGATATCGATGCGCGGATCGGGTTCTGGAGGGAGACGCGTGAGCGAAGGAATAGGCATGTCTTTATTAGTATGCCATTTGAGACGCGTCGCGGCGAACTCACGTCCGAATCGCAGCAGCGACCCGAGGAGGCGCTCCGACCGCGCCGGGTGCGCGGAGGAGAGGAGCAGGAGCACGCCGAGCAATGCGGCGGCTCTTGCGGCGGGAATCCCGGCAGCAGCATGGGTCCATGTTCTCATGACTGTTAGCACGCTGCAGGCCCGATGTCATGAGGACGCGTCATCGCGTGCTCGCTAGCTGACACGTGGCACGCATGAAAACAGTAGAATGCTTTACGTAAGTAGATTCCGCAGCAAAAGTGCAACGGGTCAGGCACGGATTGGGTAGCACTCGGACAGCAGCGGCAGAATCGTGGGGTGGGGACCCAAAAGTACAGATTCTCATTCAGAGGTGAATTTGTTCGTTACTTCTCATGACTGTGATCGGATTCGTGACCTTGCAGATCCCTGATCGCACATTAGGCTATTAGTTACTGACTCGCTTTCGGGCATCCTAGTTGCCACATCCGATTGCATCGCACATTTTGCATCGCACTAGTCGCGTCGCCCGTGATTGTGCGGCTATTCTTCGTTGTCCGCCCGTCGCAGCACGAGCTGCCATGCGCTTTTCGCCAGTCCCCATCGCCGGCGCGCGTTGATCCGCCGCCGCCATGCCGCCACGCGCGCAGTCCCCCCGCCCTGCCAGCACCGTCCCCCCATCCGCGCCCCCGCTCTTCTCCGCGCGCCCCTTCCTGCTCGGCGCGGCCGTCGCGCTGCTGCTCTCGCAGGCCGCGCTCCTCGCGCGCCTCCACCCGCCCGCCGCGCCGCTTCTCCGCGCCGCTGGTGCGGGCGGCTCGGCGGGGGATGTCAGCAGCCCTGGGAATTCGGGTGACCGTGAGGCAGCTGTGGAGTCGCAGGGCGACGGCAGTCAGTCGCAGGGCGATGGCGATCAGTCGCAGTCGCAGGAGATGGCAGTGCTGCGGAATGTGACAGAGCTGGCGCAATGGGCTGCGGAAATCGCGGACGCGCTGAGGGCAGTGTTCCCCGAGATGATGGAGTGAGCGGGAGGGGGAAGGAGGGGAGGGGGGGTTTGGGGGCGGGAGGGCGAGTGCGAGCAGAAAAGAGGCAGTGGAGTGGAGCAGTTGGCATTGTGTAACACCCCGTTTTGAGGCGCCTCAAAACTATGGTGTAACACGCCCTCCCAACCCCTCTAGGCTTTCTTGACGCGTGGCTTTCAGTTGCCATGCCACTTCGGTTCGGCTGACCATCGGTCACTTTTCCGCCATGCAGGTCACGGGACTCGTTCATACAGCACCTCCTGGAGCCCTACCAACCACCGCCTCCTCAAGGTCGCCCCCATGCTGCTCTATGTCGTCATGCCTTTCCCTGCCGTGCCATGCCATGCGATACCTTGCCATGCTGTGCCATGCCATCACATGTACTGGGCACCGTTGGGTGACATGCCATCAGTCCACTCTTTCCTCTGTTCGTCTCTCAATACGTCACTAAACTCCCACTGCTCTAGCTACACCTGCCATCCTCACTCTCATCCCTCCTCTCCCTTCTTCCCATCCCTCCCCCCCTTCTCCTCCACCTTCACCAACCCCTCACCCCCCTCCCCTCTCCCTGCATGCGTGCAGATACACCTGCCCCAGCTGCCACCTGTGCCATACCGCAGCAGAAGGACCGTGACAGCCGAGTGCATGCAGCCATGGCGCGCAGCATAGAGGCCCTTGCCATCGCCCTCGCCTGCTCCCACCCCGCCTCCCATGCACCCCATGCCCCCAATGCCTCTCAGTCCGCCCATCCATCCCCCGCCCCTGACCCCTCTCTCGCCGCCCTCTCCCTCCCACGCTCCTTCCGCCACACCCACTGCTCTGCTGCCACTGCGCTGCTCCCAACGCCACTGCCCATTGACACCACACAAACAAGCAGCAGCAGCAGCACTGCTACACAAGGCCGCAAGCTTGACCCCGTTGACCCCGTTGACCGTGTTGACCCTGTTAACAGCACTGACCCCATGGACCGAGTTGACCGCATTGACCCATATGATGCTGCTGGCCGTGCCAGGCTGGCTCGAGTGCTTCTCGCCCTCCACCAGTCATCCTCCTCCACGTGGCTCCCTCCCTGGCTCTCCCACCTCCTGCCCACGTGGCTGCTTCCCATTGGCCGCAGCACAGCTCCCTCCCGGCACAGCTATTGGCTGGGCAAGCTGGCAGAAGAATGGGTGGCACAGGGGGGAGGGGTAGGGGGAGGGGGGGTAGCAGGAGGGGGAGGCGGAGCAACAAGGGCGATTGAGCTTGGGGTGGAAGGGAGGGTTGCAGTGGGGCTGGGACAGAGCAGTCAGAATAGTGAAGGCAGTCAGGGCAATCACGGCAGGCAAGCGGTGCATGGCAGGAGGTCAGGAGCAAGCAGGGGGAGTGGGTGGTGGGGCGCCATGTGGAACAGCAGGGCGAGTGCAGGAAAGGGCACAAAGAGTAGGGAAGGCAGGGGGGTTGGGGATGGGAGAGGCAGGGAGGGCGAGGGACGGCAGTGGAAGTACTTCCTCTCAGCCATGGCGTTCAACCGTGCTGCCGCTGCTGCTCCCTCTGCTGGCAGTGGCACTGAGAGGTGCCAGGCTGCGCTGTTTGCCATCTTCCAGGTGTGCGCCCTCCCGTGGCTCTTTCAAGATGTCTCACAAGGGCTTCCGTTGCCCACCCTCGCACACTCCATTGCCACTGGATTGGGTGCCGTCGTTGTGGCACCAGTGTAACAAATGGTGTAAACTGTGTTTTATCAGTATTTTCCACTCCCCCATATACCCCGCTCCTCCTTACTCCCACCCTTCCCCCCTGCCCCCTCTCCCACTTGTTGCAGTGGATGGAGTACATGCGCTATGCGGGCACGGAGCACGTGTATTGGTACGACTGTGCCTTTATGTGTGCCCCTCCTTCCTCCCCCTACCCACTCTTTCCCCACCAGTGGATGGAGTACATGCGCTATGCAGGCGTAGAGCACATCTACTGGTACCACTGCACTGCATCAGTTAGCTCTCCTCTCCCCTCCACCTTTTCCTCCTTCCTACCCACCCTCTCCTCATGCAGTGGATGGAGTACATGCGCTACGCGGGCACAGAGCACGTGTTCTGGTACGACTGTGCTGCCAGCGACGCAGAGAGCCAGGCGGCCGCCCTCTCGGTGTACGTGCGGGCAGGGCTGCTCACGTACCACCGCCTGCACCAGATAGCGCCTCCCCCTGCTGGCGCCGACTACCACTTTGACCAGGACTCCTCGCTCTCGCACTTCCTGCAAGTGAGGAGGGCGGACCGCGGGGGAAAGGGTAAAGGTGGGGGGAGGGAGTGACTAAAACGGGGGAGGGGAATGGGGAAGGAACAAATATCTTCACTCTCACACTTGCTCCATGTAAGATTCTCTTGCTTTTCTTGGTCACTCAGCCAATTATGCTGTCCTGTCCTCCCACTAACCAGTCCTGCCCCCCACCTCTCCAATCTGACTCTCTCCCCCACCCTCCCAGCACCACCGCCACGAGTCCAAGTGGGTGGCGTTTGCTGACGTGGACGAGTACATCTTCATGCCGCCCGACACCCACCCAGGCTTCCTCACGCGCCTCCTGCTGCGCCGCCCATGCGCCGCCCAACACCCTGCTCCTGGTGGTGCTGGCGGTACAGGAAGAGGGAGAGAGGAAGAGGAGGGAGGGGAGGGGAAGCAGCATGAGGCAACACAGGTGAAAGCACCGTCCCTCACACCTGCACCACCATGTGCTACATGCATGCACCATGTGCAGCCTCAACACCCCCCATGCATTCACGTCTCGAGTTTCGTGTCATCTCAGAACCCTTCGTGGTTTGCAGCTTCACCATCCTCTTGCATTTTTTATCCTGTTGCTCCCCATCCTCCCCTACCCCCCCCCCCCACCTCTTCCTTCCTCACCCCCCAGGTGCTGCTATACAACCAGTTCTTCATAGGCTACCCTCGCCCTGCCCCCGCGCGCCTCACTATAGAGCGATTCATCCACCGTCCACACCGTCCGCCCGACCACCATGACCGCCTGCGGGGCAAGCTGCTGCTACAGCCGGCGGCTGCCCTCGGGTTCCTCTCCCATGCCCCCCACCGTGCTATCATGCACTCCGGAGAGACCATAGTGGCTGATACTGGGTTCATTCGTGTGAATCACTACTGGGGTGATAGGGGGCTATCGGGGAATGCGAGTGAGAGGGAGAGGGAGGAGGTGGAGGATGGGTCGGTGGATGATAGGAGCATGCAGGTTGTAGCGGATGTGATTAAAAGGAGGTTGAAATGGGTGGTGCCGGTACTGCCGGTGCTGTGTGAGAGGGAGGCTGTGGTTGGTGCTATGATGGAAGCTCAGAGGTTGGCAGATGTGCTGCTGCAAGCTGTGCAGATGGAAAATGGATGATAAATGACATCATCTGATACCACTTCGCAAATGTGCCCTTCATTTGTGTTAGGTAATGTTCCAAATGCACTTTTGTGTTTGCAGATTATCTGATCGCTAGTGTTGCACAAGCTGTAATTGAGTACAATACCAGTGCACGGCATGTTTTTTTAACGCGATCCCAGGCTGAACAGAGAGAGTCCCGACCGAGGTCCCATGTTCTCCGAAAACTTCACCATTTTCCGCGCTAAACTCCCGATATTTGTAATGGACTGGCAGCAAGTCCTTCCTGAGCTTTGAACCGTATTCAAATAACATGACTGGCATGGCTTTCTCAGGGCTCGTCCATCGTTTTGACATGTCAAAATCGGTAGTGTCAATCCAGATTCTGACACTCAGCAACATTTTCCAGGTACAGCGATTAAACCTCACCGCGTTTTTATACCAGCCACTGTTTAATCCAGCCTCATCCGGTCTGGGCCTTTCGGGTACCCAAATTCTCAGGGTGTGCTTTCTTTCATTTCCCTGCTCGACAGTCGAGAAACGCATGCCATTGGTGCAAGCCATATATATGTCCGTCAAGCCTTCTGGGCCATAACTTTGCACAGACATTGAACTCCTGTATTTTGCTGCCCAAAAGCCATTGCCTGACTTGCAGGAATACGGTTGGTGAAACATCCGGGAATGGTTACTCTGCATTCTCAACCTGGAACCACTTCACATCCGATTTCATCCTAAAGAACCATGTCCAGCCCATTTATCGTCCGAGCTTCATGATCGTGAACTACTTGTCCGCGCCATTAGTGCCCGGGATTTTAAGCATGGATAGAAGGGACAACTGATGGCTCACACGCCCCACCCCATCCCCATTTTCTGCCGGATACGCACACACAGAATCTCACAACCAATCACGTCAGGAAAGCTGCCCGAACAGCAACTGCTGACCTTACATCTTGTCATCCGTGTCGTCGTCAGACGCACACGTCAGCCCACCCTGGTGTCACTGACCGAAAGGGACCTTTTGGGCAGCAATTCTCGAGTCGCGTGGATGGACAACCCTCGTAAGTTGGCGAAACGACAAGCAGAATGAATCTCCTGGTGGCAGCACGTTACCCGTCATTATGTGGGGGGCAGAGGCAAGATGGAGAAGAGAGGAGAGGAGATGCGAGAGCAGCAGGCTTGCAGAACAGAGAGGGAACTGAAGTGTAGGGGAAAGGGGCACCTAGAAGAAGGGATCACAGCAGAGTGTGCGTTGGGGAGCGAAAGAGCAGAGAGCTACAGCAGCGAGGAATAGTGAGTTCCTTGAGGGTTGACGACAGGCGTTCGGTTTCACAGACTCGCGACGATAGATCTCAACCTCAACTGAAACGTCAGTACGGTTTCCCTCTTTTGTCTCTCGTTTTTCTCTACCACCCAACACGTCACTGACGTTTAGTAGAAAAAGGTTTGTTCCGACGCGCATTATCTAGGAGTTGCATTACCTGTGCACGCTCGTGCCGTCCGAACGCAGTATCCAGTCCATCCTCGCCGCCAGCACAGCCACGAGACTTACTTCAACCAATCCCGTCCTCGTCGCATGATCTAGCGCACACATGGCGCCGACGCTAGCGAAGCGATGGCAGCGCATGTTCTCGTCGTCGCACGCCGGCAATCGGTCGCCCGGCGACCAGCACCACGACGACCAGCCGTGCGCGCCGCCATGGGCTAACCACCCGCCGCCACTTGGTCGCCGCTCGAGTTTACCGGATCGCGGGTACACGTCGCCGCACCAAGCGCCGTCGCAGCACCACCAGGCATCGCCGCACCACAAGGCGTCGCCGCACCACCAAGCGTCGCCGCACCACCAAGCGTCGCCGCACCACCAGCAGTCGCCGCACCACTCGATGCATAGCGCGTCGCCGCAACACCCGCTTCAGCACCAACCCCAACACCTGCAGCAGCAGCGCGGTTTGAAGCACAGCACGTCCCGCACCTCGCTCGACAGCGCGGACGACGACCGGCCGCCCGGCGCGAACGGCGCGGGCGGCGCGGAAATGGTGACGGTGAAGCTGGCGAAGTCCGATTGGCTAGAAATAGTTAACGCGCTCGAATCGGCTTCCAGCAGGTGAGAGCAGGAACTTACACGCTTCTCCCCGAGTCATGCGCGATTGATAAAGCATGCGGTGTGGCAGCAGCAAATGCGAAGCTGGAAGCTCTTCCAACCCTAAGTTCACCCATCCCCTGCCGGGGCGTCATGAGGCAAATAACTAGACAAAGCCAGCCGTTTGACTTGAGTCGACTCAAAAGTCACATCCTAACTAGGCAAAGCCCCTCCGTCCCTCTCCAACCCCTCATTTCGTTCCGTTCCGCCATGCGCGCCCCCATCCGTTCCCCCATCCGCCCCCATGCGCGCGCGTCCCTCCAGGTGCGAGAACTGCGGGGAGACGTCTCCGTCCGCGCCCCCCGCCGTGTCGCTGCCCGCCACGCAGCGCCTCTTCGCGCAGCTCAAGGCGCGCAGCAACGGCCCTCCCGGCGGCGTCGCGAACGAAGACGTGCTCGGGCCGCTCTCGGCGCTGCGCTCGCAGTCGTCGCGCGAGGGTATCGGCATCGGCGGCGGCGTGGGCGGCGCGGCCGCCAGCTCGACCGGCTCGCCGTACGGGCTGACGTCCAGCGACAGCGCGTCGACGTCGTCCCGGCGGCGTTCGCTGAACCTTCCGCGCGCGCGCGAGCTCGAGCCGGATCTGCCGTCCAGCGGCCCACTCGGCCACATCCAGCCGCGCGACGTGTTCGGCGCCGCCGGGAATCACGGCGCGGGTTGCGGGCCCAACTGCCACGCGGACGCGCACGGCATGCACGGAGCGCACTCGGAGCTGGGCCCCATGGCGTGCCCGCACCTCGCGGCCATGGGCAACAACGCGGGGGCCTTCGGGGGATCGTCGTTCGGGGCGCGAAGCATCCAGCAAGCTTCCGCCATGGCTCCCACCGCCTACAGCTGCGTCGAGTCGATGATCGGCGGCATGGGCGGCGGGTTCGGCGGAGGCGTAGGGATGGATAGATTCGGAGGAGTTTCCGCTTCCGCCATGGTAGCCGCGTCGGGCGTGAGCGCGGGCGGAGGCAGCGGGTTTTCGAACGCGGGTTTCTCGATGGGCGGGTTTTCGAGCGCGGGGTTTTCGAACGCGGGGATGTCGAGCGTGGGGCGCATGGGCGTGAGCCCGTCGGAGATCCTCAACCGCAAGCTGCTGACCATCATCACCAAGGCGCACGACCTCTTCTCCAAAGACCAGGTGAGCAGGCGGGGGATGCGTGGGGAGGGCACGCGGAAAGGGGAGGGCAGGCGGAGAGGGGAGGGGACGCGGATTGGGGGGGAAGGGGATGGCAGGATCACTCGATCATCACCACTGTGCACGGCCTCTTCCCCTATGGACCAAGCGAGCGTCGCGCGGAGGGAGTGGGGGGGAGCCGCGGAGGGGCGGGGCGGGCGAGGGGGAGGGGAAGACGGACGGGGCCTGGCATGGAAACAATGTTCAATAGGGAATAAATGAACGTGGGAGTAATGCACCTCATAATCGCACAACCGAACAAGCACGTGAGGCACAGAGGGGAAAAGGGAGAATGGAGGGGAAGGGAGGAATCAGGAAGCAGGATTGGGGGCTGGGGCTGGGGAAAAGGAAACGGAGGAGGAGAGAGTGGGTAAGGCGTTGGAGAAAGGGCGACCTTGGTGCGTGGGACAGCCTTAGGAACGAAATTAAAGATCACGTCGGAGGTAACGGTAGGGGGGAAAGGCAGGCACGGCGGAGGGTGAGGAAAATAACTCCATACGCGTCCCCCTGCCCCTCCTCCTCGCGCCCCTCTGGTCCGCGTCCATTCGCATCCCCGCCCGACCCTCTTCCGCCTGGTTGTCCGCAATCAGCGGCGAGGTGCGGCAATACGTGCTGGCGCTACTGTTTTGGAGTCAGTTGGAGGATTCACTTTGGAGCCATAACCTGGCGCACCTCTCTCCCCCTCCCACCTCCCCCTCGCTGCCCTCGTCCATTCCCGCTTCCGTCGCCCTGGACGCCCAACCCTTCACCCCACCCCCCCATCCCTGGGTCCCCCTCCCTCCCAACAGTGGCGCAAGGCCAGCAAGGGGGAGCAATCTGCTGACGCAGCTGCCTCCCTTCCCCTCCCCTCCCCTCTCACCTTCCTCACACCCTTTTCCCCCCAACTTCCCCTCCCCTCTTTCTCCTTTCCGCGCAAGCAAGGTGGGCGACTACCTGCTGGCGCAGCTGCCTTCTCCTCCGCACTCACCTACCCGCACCCCCTATTCGACCCCCCCCCCTTCTGTCTCCGCGCAGTCCCCCAACGGCAGCAAGGTGGGAGACTACCTGCTGGCGCAGCTGCCTTCTCCTCCGCACTCACCTACCCGCACCCCCTATTCGACCCCCCCCCCCCTTCTCTCTCCGCGCAGTCCCCCAACGGCAGCAAGGTGGGAGACTACCTGCTGGCGCAGCTGCCTTCTCCTCCGCACTCACCTACCCGCACCCCCTATTCGACCCCCCCCCCCCTTCTCTCTCCACGCAGTCCCCCAACGGCAGCAAGGTGGGAGACTACCTGCTGGCGTAGCTGCCTTCTCCTCCGCACTCACCTACCCGCACCCCCTATTCGACCCCCCCCCCCTTCTCTCTCCGCGCAGTCCCCCAACGGCAGCAAGGTGGGAGACTACCTGCTGGCGCAGCTGCCTTCTCCTCCGCACTCACCTACCCGCACCCCCTATTCGACCCCCCCCCCTTCTCTCTCCGCGCAGTCCCCCAACGGCAGCAAGGTGGGAGACTACCTGCTGGCGCAGCTGCCTTCTCCTCCGCACTCACCTACCCGCACCCCCTATTCGACCCCCCCCCCCTTCTCTCTCCGCGCAGTCCCCCAACGGCAGCAAGGTGGGAGACTACCTGCTGGCGCAGCTGCCTTCTCCTCCGCACTCACCTACCCGCACCCCCTATTCGACCCCCCCCCCTTCTCTCTCCGCGCAGTCCCCCAACGGCAGCAAGGTGGGAGACTACCTGCTGGCGCAGCTGCTGGATCTCACCAAGTCCAAGTTCGGATTCGTGGCCAGCGCACTCAAGAAGCCCGAAGGCACCTACTACCTCAAGGTGCGGGTGGAAAGGGGCTGGAGGGGGTGAAAGCACCTTGTACCTTCAGGTCGGGAGGAGGGGGATGGGGAGGGGAGGGTAGGGCAGGTCCAAGCTCGGATTTGTGGCGAGCGCGCTCAAAAAGGTTGAAGCGACCTATTCTCAGTGGAAGGCAGGCGCGTGCTGCTCTATAGTGAGCGGGTTTAAGGGTGAGAGCAGGAGGAGCACGGCTAGTGGGTTGTGACGAGGAGGAAGGGACACGAGAAGCATTATAGAGTCGCGGCTGGAAGCCTGAGGGGGTTGACCGCGGCGCCGTATTGCCGCATGGGAATTCAAGGCAGTACCCACGCCCACACGCTCGGATTGGGGATTGATTCTTGAGAGACTTAGAAGTAGTTACCCTCATTGATGAGCAATTGGACATGTTCTGGGACTGCAACGCAAGGCAGTGGGTACATGATGCTGGTCTAGGGTTAGTGAGTGCGAGTGTGAGTGTGAGTGTGAGGTTGGACAGGAGCAGCATGGTAGCACAACTGAATTTGTGAGGCGCATAAAGTAACTGCTCTGATTTAGGGTTACTGAGTGCGGACAGGCGCAGCACGTTGGCGCATGTCCAAGTGCGGACCTGCAGACCTTCGTACCCGTGCTGCCCTTCCAGCTGTGGCGGATGGCGTGAACGAGCGCAGCAGCTATCAATGAGCTAAATATGGGGAGTGGGGAATGGGGAATGGGTGGGAAGGGTTCCGGAGGAAGGGAGCTGCCTCCCCTGGCCGCGGGATCTACCGCTGTGATGAGACGACTTCTGAAGTGCCTAACAAATCGTCTCTACCCCACCTCACCACCCCTTTCAATCCTCTCCTCCCACCCCCTCCCCCTTCCCGCCTCCACCCTTCCACCTCTTCCCTCCCCAACGTCCAGACGCACGGCATCACCAACTTCGCATGGACGAGGGAGCTGCGCCTATGGTACGCCGAGAACGCCCCCTCCGGCCTGGTCTTTTCCAACATGGACACGCTCTTTGGCCGCGTCGTCACCACGGCCGATGTCGTCATTTCCAACGACGTCCCCAACGATCCAAGAGCGGTGGGCGTGCCGCCCGGCCACCAGCGCGTGTCCACCTTCCTGGGAGTGCCTCTCTTTTCTGGAGCCGAGCTGGTGGGCATGTTTGCGGTGGCGAATCGCAAGGAGGGGTACGAGGAGACGCTGCTCATGGAGATCCAGCCCATGACTAAGACCGTCGCGCAGATCGTCGGCGCGCTGCAGGAGAGACGGCGCGAGCGCGAGGAGCAGGAGCGGCTGAGAGCGATGCTGAAGGGCACGGGGGATGCGATTCTGGGCGTGGATGACATGGGCGGGATCAGCTCGCTGAACCGCGCGGCGCGGCTGCTGTTTGGGTTCACGGACACCGAGGGGCTGGGTGACAGCAGTGGCAGGGCGTTCGGGCAGGCGGAGGTGCTGCCGGAGAATCTGCACGTCGCGGATCTCTTCATTAGTGTGGACGGCCGAGATGACTTCGCCGACCAGGGTGAGATGCCGCCCCAAGCACTTGTCGTTTTTTGCTACATTTCTGCCAACCTGACAACCTGTGTGTTCCCGGCTCCTCGCACCCTCTCCTCTCCCCTCTTCCCCTCCCAAGTCTACCCCATAGCCCTGCTCTTGGGCTGTCCAGTCATCAATCTGTACCTTGGGAACCGCTGGGTGTGGTTTAGTACCAACGCCCCTATCAACCGCATTCACCCTCTGTCTGCCACTGCAGGTCTGGAGGTGTTTGTGTGTGACGGCCTCAGGATGCCCGCCATTGGTCGGCGCATTCTGGGCGGCACACTGCTGCTGGAAATGATGCTGTCGCGCGGCAGCAACCCCGACGTGGCCTACGTCATCACTGCCCGAGAGCTTAAGAACAGTGGTCTGGGCGGCACGCCTACGATTGGTTCGGGCAGCAACAGCCTTGCGAGAACGGGCAGCAAGGGAGGACCCACGTTCTTTGAGCCTGCGAATATGCCCGGAGGAGATGAGTGATCGAATGGGTGAGTGCGTGTTCAGTTCTCACAGGTTGGAGGCTTCCTGATATATCATACGAACAGAACAGAGGTTTACTTAGTCAAAAGGGGTTCTCCTACGAGCTGCTCTCAGTGGGTTGTGTAACTTATGAATGACTTCTAGGGAAGCCCATGTTCCATATGTATGCATACCATCTGCGTGATTGCCTATTGTGAAGCTGACTATAGATGTACTGAAATGCAGGTATAATTGCATATGTAGCCAAACACTGAGTTTTGAAATCTTCTAGCTGTAATATCCAGCGCAAGTGTGCCTTCGGAAGGTGTACCAGTGTAACAGTTTTCGCCGCTCGTCAATTTCATTTTTCAAATGTTCAATGATTCAAAGAACCTTGAGCCCGAGGAAAGGTTCCGTGGTTCAATTCTTGAGTAGTTAGGAAAGCGTCGCACTTTGGCTGAAACATCTCTCCAGTTTGTTCCAGCTGTTCCGCTTGACAATTGTTTGGCAGGCGTTAAAAGTGGCTCTTAGTTGACAGATGTTTTTAGATCACAACACTCGAACGCGCCGTCAACATTCGGGCCTCGATTTCTGATTTGTCCCCTGCGCAGCCAACCCAGCCCCTCAAACATTTCGCCCCTCTAACACGACTCGAGCCCGCATAGTTGCTGTTGGCGTGGTTCCTGGCTTCTATTTCCACCAACAGCTGGAGAAGTCAGAATGTTAGGCTAGGGTTTCGCGTCCCACTGACGCTCTTGGGGATACAGGCCACTACGCGGTAACTAGCGTGATTGAAGGACGAAGTTGGACAAAAAATATTTGAGCGGTAGCAATAGGTACACTAACTCGGTCTTCATTACGCAGGCTAAAGATATCCGAAGTGCGTCAGGAATAACAACGCTTCGAGCGCAAAACTGGCCAGAGCTGATCGTTTCCAGTGTCTAGCTTGTTCAGCGCACGTCCTACTTAGCAGGGTGCTTGCGTCTCTCTTCAATCTCAGCCTCGCGAGTCCCTAGCCCTTATCGTCATCAATAAAAAAGTAGGTAGTTTTTTATTTTTGCAACGTTCACTCTTTCGCAGCCTACCCTCTGCCAGCAATCGTCGAAACTTTTCAACGGGTAGAAAATAAAAATTGTAATGGATGACCCAAGCCAGCATTTCCCGCCTGGCTCGCTGCCTGAAGGCGAGCCGGCGCCAGCACAGGCGGTAGCGGAGGGCATGGAAGACGCGGAGAACCTTCTCGACGACATGCTCGAGGCGGCCGAAGCTGCGCGGCACGAGACTGAGCTGACGCTGGCGCCGCAGGCGCCCGACGAGAATGAGCCGTTTGTGACTGTGGCGGGTGTGACTGCAGGCGATGTGCCGGAAGGAGTGGTCGAAGAAACTGTGACTTATCACGGTGTGACTGAAGGAAAGGTGCCTGAAGCGGAAGCAGGTGAAGGCGAGGGGTTTGATCTGAATATGGATGCTGGTGGGGGTGGAGGCGGTGCGGCGGCGGTTATGATAGCCGAGGGCACAGCAGCTGAAGCCGAACCAGGGACCGGACCAGAAACCGATCCTGGTTCGGGTTTGGGTGTTGCCGAGCCTGAGAGTCTGCCGGTCGGGACTGAGGAGCAGGCTCGGGAGACTATTGGCGAATACCAAGAGGCGGGCGGAGAGGGCGGGGATGGTCATATAATGCAGCAGGCTATGGCGGGTGCTTATGGGGAGGGAGGCATGGTCGAGGGGGAGCAGCAGAGAGCTGACGTGGAAATGGCTGAAGCAGCGGAAGGAACTCATCCGGAGGGGGCTTATATCGAGCAACCAGTGCAGTACGAAAGTGTACAGCAGCAGGAGCACGTGAGCGCAGAGCAGGCAGACGCAGCAGAGCAAGCGCAGATGGCACCTACCCCAGATGAGCCTGCTGTCGCTGCGCCAGCAACCAGCTGTAGCTGAGCAGGAGGCAGGTGAGGTCTGGCAGGGCGAGGCTGTAGCACAGGCCGAACCGGCTGTAGCAGGGTACGTACATGGTGAAGGGCCCGCTGTAGCTGGGTATGAGGCGGCTTTCCCTGGCCAGGAGGCGGCTGTTGTTGAAGCTGGCGGAGCTGAGACGGCAGAGGGGCAGGTTGTAGCACCGGCTGATGTGGGCGAAATGGTTACCACTGCTGCTGTTGGCGAAGGAGAGGTGGTTACAGGAACGACCGAGGGTGGCATGGGTGCAGAGAACTTCGTGCAAGGCGAGGAGGGAATGGCGCCAGGCGAGGGGGGAATGGCGACAACAGCAGAAGCGCAAGGGACGGTGGCAGAGGGAGAGGGGGCGGCGGGGTATTCCCAAGGCATGGGGGCAGTTTCTGAGGGACAGCATGGGGAGGAGGCAGCAGTGCTTGGCGCGCACGGAGAAGGCGGAGGGGGAGGGGGCGAGTATGCTGATGCGCACATGGAAGCGGGAGGGGAAGGGGGAGAAGGTGGCGCGCTAGTGCCTGTTGCAGGGCAGGCGGAAGCAGGAGCACCAGCAGGCGGGGAAGGGGGAGAAGCACCTGGGGCCGAAGGGGCAGCGGCAGCAGCAGCGGAGGCAGCGGCAGCAGAAGCAGCAGCGGAGGTGGCGGCGCACATAGAGGCGGCGGAGAGGGTGGTGGTGCAGTCGCAGCTGCCGCAGCCCCCACCGTGCCCCGCTGTGGGGAACGTGGCGGTGCTGCCCATGCTGCTGGACCAGATCGAGGCGCACATCCTCTTCTACGGCCGCATCTTGTGAGTGCTGGACCGGGTGCTGAACCTGGGTGCCTTGCTGTGCTGCCACTGGGTACTCGAAGTCGTCTTGCCCTTTTATATTCACATCCCTGGCCCGCATCCTGTGCCCCCATCCCCCGCTGTCGTCTGGTTGGCAGTCGCAAGGAGCAGTTGGAGGAGGAGCTGCGCGCGCTGGTGTTCGCCACGGTGCCCTCTCACCTCGGCTCGTCCACTCCTTCCCCTCATCCCTTGCCCCCGTTCCCCATCCCCATCCCCCACTGCTGCATGTCCCTACTCCCATCTCTCCCGGCAGTCGCAAGGAGCCATTGGAGGAGGAGCTGCGGGCGCTGGTGTTTGCCACGGTGCCGTCGCACCTCGCCTCGCCCGACCACCACCGCTGGCTCGAGATCGCCGACGCCTGGCGCCGCCGCAGAGAGGCCGCCCCTGCCGCCCTCCTCCTGGACGGCGGCGGGGCGGCAGCGGGCGGCGGCGGGTATGTGTCCCCAGATGGTGTGAGGGGCCGGGGGCGGGGCAGGGGGAGGGGCAGGGGGCGCAGGGGGAGGAGGGGGAGCATGCATGCGTTTGGGTATGGCGGAAGCAGGGGGGAGGGAGGGTACGGGGGGTACGGGGGGTATGGGGGGAGCGGGGGATTTGAGGGGTATGGGATGGGGGAGATGGGAGGGGGGATGGGTGGGGAGGGCGGAGTGATGGTGCCGAGCGGGTATGGCGAATACCCCATGCACATGGGCGCGGATGGCATGCCCATGCCCATGGACGCCCATGCCATGGCCATGGGCATGGGGGGCATGGGGGGCATGGGGCAGTTAGCGCTGGGGAGCGGGGAGCCATGGGTGTTTGACGATGAGGGGTGGGACGCCCCTGGGATTGCCATCCGCGGGCGCGGCAGGGGCAGGGGGCGCGGCAGGGGGCGCGGGCGGGGGAGGGGGAGGGGGCGCGGGCGCAGCTGGCACCTGGTGGGGGTGGAAATCGTCCCGTCGTACGGGTCCGATGGGGAGGAGATGGGCGCAGAGGGGGAGGAGAGGGCGGGGGGCGCAGGGGGGGGCGCAGCAGGGGGAGGAGCATCTATGGGCACACGGCCGGTAGTGGCATGGGCGGAAGTGTGGCCGGGGAAGCTGGAGGAGCTGGTGGATCGGAAGGACCATGCTGGGGTGGCTGCCGCCCAGGTCATGACGGCCGCTGTGGTGGCCCGGGCGGCATCGGCAGCGGTGCGGGCGGCAGCAGAGGCGGTGACGGTGTTTAAGGAGAGGGCGGTGGCTGCTGCCTGGGCGGAGAAGCAGGGGGGTGCGGGGGCGAACGGGGCGCATGGGGGGCATGGGGGGTATGGGGGGCACGGGGGGTATGGCGTGCATGGGGGGAATGGGGCGTATGGAGGGTATGGAGCAGGTGCCACGTGGCAGGATGCCACTGGCGCAGGATCTCCCTTTGCGGAGTTCCCCTGGGCGCCTGAGCCCCCCCTCCCCCTGACGTCCGTGGCTAGTGTGGCGCGGGGCAGGGGGAGGGGCAGGGGGAGGGGTCGGGGGAGGGGGAGGGGCCGGGGGAAGGGCAGCAGGGGCGGGGGGCGTGGCAGGAGCTATTACTACAGCGCGTATGATATGGAGGAGGAAGAGGAGGAGGTGGAGGAGGAAGACGAGGGGGACGAGTTTCTGGCGTATGGAGGGGTGGAGGAGGTGGGCGGGTATGGGGAGGAGGGGGGGAGTGTGTTGGGCAAGAGGGGGAGGGGGAGGGCGAGTGAGGGGCAGGAGCTGGAACACACAATGCGGCGTGCTGTGGGGTTCCTGGAGGGCAGAGGAGGGGAGGAGGAGGAAGAGGAGGAGGTAGTGGTGGTGGAGGATGAGGAGGGGGAGGATGAGGAGGAGGAGGAGAGGAGGGTGTGGGGGTTGAAGCTGCCGCACAGGTTCCACGTGGGCACGCCCGTGGAGGTGAGCAGCACGCCCGTGGAGGTGAGCAGCAGTGGTTGCGAGAGATCGTGTATGGCAATCATAAAACAATGCACGCTGCTGGTGGTGAGTGGCAGTCGTTGCGAGCGATTCAGTAACGAGGTGATGCATTGGAGGCCGGTGCGACATGGTGCTACACGCACCCCCTTCCCACTCCCCACATGTCTAGTTGTCGGTACTGGCATCTGTCTGTCTGCACACGCATGCTCCTCCTCCTCTTTTCTCTCTGTCTCCTCGCCTCCTTGTCTCCTCGCCTCCTTGTCTCCTCGCCTCCTTGTCTCCTCGCCTCCTTGTCTCCTCGCCTCCTTGTCTCCTCGCCTCCTTGTCTCCTCGCCTCCTTGTCTCCTCGCCTCCTTGTCTCCTCGCCTCCTTGTCTCCTCGCCTCCTTGTCTCCTCGCCTCCTTGTCTCCTCGCCTCCTTGTCTCCTCGCCTCCTTGTCTCCTCGCCTCCTTGTCTCCTCGCCTCCTTGTCTCCTCGCCTCCTTGTCTCCTCGCCTCCTTGTCTCCTCGCCTCCTTGTCTCCTCGCCTCCTTGTCTCCTCGCCTCCTTGTCTCCTCGCCTCCTTGTCTCCTCGCCTCCTTGTCTCCTCGCCTCCTTGTCTCCTCGCCTCCTTGTCTCCTCGCCTCCTTGTCTCCTCGCCTCCTTGTCTCCTCGCCTCCTTGTCTCCTCGCCTCCTTGTCTCCTCGCCTCCTTGTCTCCTCGCCTCCTTGTCTCCTCGCCTCCTTGTCTCCTCGCCTCCTTGTCTCCTCGCCTCTTGTCTCCTCGCCTCCGTGTCTCCTCGCCTCCTTGTCCTCCTCGCCTCCTTGTCTCCTCGCCTCCTTGTCTCCTCGCCTCCTTGTCTCCTCGCCTCCTTGTCTCCTCGCCTCCTTGTCTCCTCGCCTCCTTGTCTCCTCGCCTCCTTGTCTCCTCGCCTCCTTGTCTCCTCCGCCTCCTTGTCTCCCTCCTCGCCTCCTTGTCTCCTCTCCTCCTTGTCTCCTCGCCTCCTTGTCTCCTCGCCTCCTTGTCTCCTCGCCTCCTTGTCTCCTCGCCTCATTGTCTTCTCGCCTCCTTGTCTCCTCGCCTCCTTGTCTCCTCGCCTCCTTGTCTCCTCGCACTCCTTGTCTCCTCGCCTCCTTGTCTCCTCGCTCCTTGTCTCCTCGCCTCCTTGTCTCCTCGCCTCCTTGTCTCCTCGCCTCCTTGTCTCCTCGCCTCCTTGTCTCCTCGCCTCCTTGTCTCCTCGCCTCCTTGTCTCCTCGCCTCCTTGTCTCCTCGCCTCCTTGTCTCCTCGCCTCCTTGTCTCCTCGCCTCCTTGTCTCCTCGCCTCTTGTCTCCTCGCCTCCTTGTCTCCTCGCCTCCTTGTCTCCTCGCCTCCTTGTCTCCTCGCCTCCTTGTCTCCTCGCCTCCTTGTCTCCTCGCCTCCTTGTCTCCTCGCCTCCTTGTCTCCTCGCCTCCTTGTCTCCTCGCCTCCTTGTCTCCTCGCCTCCTTGTCTCCTCGCCTCCTTGTCTCCTCGCCTCCTTGTCTCCTCGCCTCCTTGTCTCCTCGCCTCCTTGTCTCCTCGCCTCCTTGTCTCCTCGCCTCCTGTGTCTCCTCGCCTCCTTGTCTCCTCGCCTCCTTGTCTCCTCGCCTCCTTGTCTCCTCGCCTCCTTGTCTCCTCGCCTCCTTGTCTCCTCGCCTCCTTGTCTCCTCGCCTCCTTGTCTCCTCGCCTCCTTGTCTCCTCGCCTCCTTGTCTCCTCGCCTCCTTGTCTCCTCGCCTCCTTGTCTCCTCGCCTCCTTGTCTCCTCGCCTCCTTGTCTCCTCGCCTCCTTGTCTCCTCGCCTCCTTGTCTCCTCGCCTCCTTGTCTCCTCGCCTCCTTGTCTCCTCGCCTCCTTGTCTCCTCGCCTCCTTGTCTCCTCGCCTCCTTGTCTCCTCGCCTCCTTGTCTCCTCGCCTCCTTGTCTCCTCGCCTCCTTGTCTCCTCGCCTCCTTGTCTCCTCGCCTCTTGCTCCTCCCTCTTGTCTCCTCGCCTCCTTGTCTCCTCGCCTCCTTGTCTCCTCGCCTCCTTGTCTCCTCGCCTCCTTGTCTCCTCGCCTCCTTGTCTCCTCGCCTCCTTGTCTCCTCGCCTCCTTGTCTCCTCGCCTCCTTGTCTCCTCGCCTCCTTGTCTCCTCGCCTCCTTGTCTCCTCGCCTCCTTGTCTCCTCGCCTCCTTGTCTCCTCGCCTCCTTGTCTCCTCGCCTCCTTGTCTCCTCGCCTCCTTGTCTCCTCGCCTCCTTGTCTCCTCGCCTCCTTTGTCTCCTCGCCTCCTTGTCTCCTCGCCTCCTTGTCTCCTCGCCTCCTTGTCTCCTCCTCCTGTCTCTCGCCCTTGTCTCCTCGCCTCCTTGTCTCCTCGCCTCCTTGTCTCCTCGCCTCCTTGTCTCCTCGCCTCCTTGTCTCCTCGCCTCCTTGTCTCCTCGCCTCCTTGTCTCCTCGCCTCCTTGTCTCCTCGCCTCCTTGTCTCCTCGCCTCCTTGTCTCCTCGCCTCCTTGTCTCCTCGCCTCCTTGTCTCCTCGCCTCCTTGTCTCCTCGCCTCCTTGTCTCCTCGCCTCCTTGTCTCCTCGCCTCCTTGTCTCCTCGCCTCCTTGTCTCCTCGCCTCCTTGTCTCCTCGCCTCCTTGTCTCCTCGCCTCCTTGTCTCCTCGCCTCCTTGTCTCCTCGCCTCCTTGTCTCCTCGCCTCCTTGTCTCCTCGCCTCCTTGTCTCCTCGCCTCCTTGTCTCCTCGCCTCCTTGTCTCCTCGCCTCCTTGTCTCCTCGCCTCCTTGTCTCCTCGCCTCCTTGTCTCCTCGCCTCCTTGTCTCCTCGCCTCCTTGTCTCCTCGCCTCCTTGTCTCCTCGCCTCCTTGTCTCCTCGCCTCCTTGTCTCCTCGCCTCCTTGTCTCCTCGCCTCCTTGTCTCCTCGCCTCCTTGTCTCCTCGCCTCCTTGTCTCCTCGCCTCCTTGTCTCCTCGCCTCCTTGTCTCCTCGCCTCCTTGTCTCCTCGCCTCCTTGTCTCCTCGCCTCCTTGTCTCCTCGCCTCCTTGTCTCCTCGCCTCCTTGTCTCCTCGCCTCCTTGTCTCCTCGCCTCCTTGTCTCCTCGCCTCCTTGTCTCCTCGCCTCCTTGTCTCCTCGCCTCCTTGTCTCCTCGCCTCCTTGTCTCCTCGCCTCCTTGTCTCCTCGCCTCCTTGTCTCCTCGCCTCCTTGTCTCCTCGCCTCCTTGTCTCCTCGCCTCCTTGTCTCCTCGCCTCCTTGTCTCCTCGCCTCCTTGTCTCCTCGCCTCCTTGTCTCCTCGCCTCCTTGTCTCCTCGCCTCCTTGTCTCCTCGCCTCCTTGTCTCCTCGCCTCCTTGTCTCCTCGCCTCCTTGTCTCCTCCTCGCCTCCTTGTCTCCTCGCCTCCTTGTCTCCTCGCCTCCTTGTCCTCCTCGCCTCCTTGTCTCCTCGCCTCCTTGTCTCCTCGCCTCCTTGTCTCCTCGCCTCCTTGTCTCCTCGCCTCCTTGTCTCCTCGCCTCCTTGTCTCACTCGCCTCCTTGTCTCCTCGCCTCCTTGTCTCCTCGCCTCCTTGTCTCCTCGCCTCCTTGTCTCCTCGCCTCTTGTCTCCTCGCCTCCTTGTCTCCTCGCCTCCTTGTCTCCTCGCCTCCTTGTCTCCTCGCCTCCTTGTCTCCTCGCCTCCTTGTCTCCTCGCCTCCTTGTCTCCTCGCCTCCTTGTCTCCTCGCCTCCTTGTCTCCTCGCCTCCTTGTCTCCTCGCCTCCTTGTCTCCTCGCCTCCTTGTCTCCTCGCCTCCTTGTCTCCTAGCCTCCTTGTCTCCTCGCCTCCTTGTCTCCTCGCCTCCGTGTCTCCTCGCCTCCTTGTCTCCTCGCCTCCTTGTCTCCTCGCCTCCTTGTCTCCTCGCCTCCTTGTCTCCTCGCCTCCTTGTCTCCTCGCCTCCTTGTCTCCTCGCCTCCTTGTCTCCTCGCCTCCTTGTCTCCTCGCCTCCTTGTCTCCTCGCCTCCTTGTCTCCTCGCCTCCTTGTCTCCTCGCCTCCTTGTCTCCTCGCCTCCTTGTCTCCTCGCCTCCTTGTCTCCTCGCCTCCTTGTCTCCTCGCCTCCTTGTCTCCTACGCCTCCTTGTCTCCTCGCGCTCCTTGTCTCCTCGCCTCCTTGTCTCCTCGCCTCCTTGTCCTCCTCGCCTCCTTGTCTCCTCGCCTCCTTGTCTCCTCGCCTCCTTGTCTCCTCGCCTCCTTGTCTCCTCGCCTCCTTGTCTCCTCGCTCCTTGTCTCCTCGCCTCCTTGTCTCCTCGCCTCCTTGTCTCCTCGCCTCCTTGTCTCCTCGCCTCCTTGTCTCCTCGCCTCCTTGTCTCCTCGCCTCCTTGTCTCCTCGCCTCCTTGTCTCCTCGCCTCCTTGTCTCCTCGCCTCCTTGTCTCCTCGCCTCCTTGTCTCCTCGCCTCCTTGTCTCCTCGCCTCCTTGTCTCCTCGCCTCCTTGTCTCCTCGCCTCCTTGTCTCCTCGCCTCCTTGTCTCCTCGCCTCCTTGTCTCCTCGCCTCCTTGTCTCCTCGCCTCCTTGTCTCCTCGCCTCCTTGTCTCCTCGCCTTCCTTGTCTCCTCGCCTCCTTGTCTCCTCGCCTCCTTGTCTCCTCGCCTCCTTGTCTCCTCGCCTCCTTGTCTCCTCGCCTCCTTGTCTCCTCGCCTCCTTGTCTCCTCGCCTCCTTGTCTCCTCGCCTCCTTGTCTCCTCGCCTCCTTGTCTCCTCGCCTCCTTGTCTCCTCGCCTCCTTGTCTCCTCGCCTCCTTGTCTCCTCGCCTCCTTGTCTCTCGCCTCCTTGTCTCCTCGCCTCCTTGTCTCCTCGCCTCCTTGTCTCCTCGCCTCCTTGTCTCCTCGCCTCCTTGGTCTCCTGCCTCCTTGTCTCCTCGCCTCCTTGTCTCCTCGCCTCCTTGTCTCCTCGCCTCCTTGTCTCCTCGCCTCCTTGTCTCCCTCGCCTCCTTGTCTCCTCGCCTCCTTGTCTCCTCGCCTCCTTGTCTCCTCGCCTCCTTGTCTCCTCGCCTCCTTGTCTCCTCGCCTCCTTGTCTCCTCGCCTCCTTGTCTCCTCGCCTCCTTGTCTCCTCGCCTCCTTGTCTCCTCGCCTCCTTGTCTCCTCGCCTCCTTGTCTCCTCGCCTCCTTGTCTCCTCGCCTCCTTGTCTCCTCGCCTCCTTGTCTCCTCGCCTCCTTGTCTCCTCGCCTCCTTGTCTCCTCGCCTCCTTGTCTCCTCGCCTTCCTTGTCTCCTCCGCCTCCTTGTCTCCTCGCCTCCTTGTCCTCCTCGCCTCCTTGTCTCCTCGCCTCCTTGTCTCCTCGCCTCCTTGTCTCCTCGCCTCCTTGTCTCCTCGCCTCTTGTCTCCTCGCCTCCTTGTCTCCTCGCCTCCTTGTCTCCTCGCCTCCTTGTCTCCTCGCCTCCTTGTCTCCTCGCCTCCTTGTCTCCTCGCCTCCTTGTCTCCTCGCCTCCTTGTCTCCTCGCCTCCTTGTCTCCTCGCCTCCTTGTCTCCTCGCCTCCTTGTCTCCTCGCCTCCTTGTCTCCTCGCCTCCTTGTCTCCTCGCCTCCTTGTCTCTCGCTCCTTGTCTCCTCGCCTCCTTGTCTCCTCGCCTCCTTGTCTCCTCGCCTCCTTGTCTCCTCGCCTCCTTGTCTCCTCGCCTCCTTGTCTCCTCGCCTCCTTGTCTCCTCGCCTCCTTGTCTCTCGCCTCCGTGTCTCCTCGCCTCTTGTCTCCTCGCCTCCTTGTCTCCTCGCCTCCTTGTCTCCTCGCCTCCTTGTCTCCTCGCCTCCTTGTCTCCTCGCCTCCTCGCTCCTGTCTCCTCGCCTCCTTGTCTCCTCGCCTCCTTGTCTCCTCGCCTCCTTGTCTCCTCGCCTCCTTGTCCTCCTCGCCTCCTTGTCATCCTCGCCTCCTTGTCTCCTCGCCTCCTGGTCTCCTCGCCTCCTTGTCATCCTCGCCTCCTTGTCTCCCCTTCCTCGCCTCCTTGTCTCCTCGCCTCCTTGTCTCCTCGCCTCCTTGTCCTCCTCGCCTCCTTGTCCTCCTCAGCCTCCTTGTCTCCTCGCCCTCCTTGTCTCCTCGCCTCCTTGTCCTCCTCGCCTCCTTGTCTCCTCGCCTCCTTGTCTCCTCGCCTCCTTGTCTCCTCGCCTCCTTGTCTCCTCGCCTCCTTGTCTCCTCGCCTCCTTGTCTCCTCGCCTCCTTGTCTCCTCGCCTCCTTGTCTCCTCGCCTCCTTGTCTCCTCGCCTCCTTGTCTCCTCGCCTCCTTGTCTCCTCGCCTCCTTGTCTCCTCGCCTCCTTGTCTCCTCGCCTCCTTGTCTCCTCGCCTCCTTGTCTCCTCGCCTCCTTGTCTCCTCGCCTCCTTGTCTCCTCGCCTCCTTGTCTCCTCGCCTCCTTGTCTCCTCGCCTCCTTGTCTCCTCGCCTCCTTGTCTCCTCGCCTCCTTGTCTCCTCCTCGCCTCCTTGTCTCCTCGCCTCCTTGTCTCCTCGCCTCCTTGTCTCCTCGCCTCCTTGTCTCCTCGCCTCCTTGTCTCCTCGCCTCCTTGTCTCCTCGCCTCCTTGTCTCCTCGCCTCCTTGTCTCCTCGCCTCCTTGTCTCCTCGCCTCCTTGTCTCCTCGCCTCCTTGTCTCCTCGCCTCCTTGTCTCCTCGCCTCCTTGTCTCCTCGCCTCCTTGTCTCCTCGCCTCCTTGTCTCCTCGCCTCCTTGTCTCCTCGCCTCCTTGTCTCCTCGCCTCCTTGTCTCCTCGCCTCCTTGTCTCCTCGCCTCCTTGTCTCCTCGCCTCCTTGTCTCCTCGCCTCCTTGTCTCCTCGCCTCCTTGTCTCCTCGCCTCCTTGTCTCCTCGCCTCCTTGTCTCCTCGCCTCCTTGTCTCCTCGCCTCCTTGTCTCCTCGCCTCCTTGTCTCCTCGCCTCCTTGTCTCCTCGCCTCCTTGTCTCCTCGCCTCCTTGTCTCCTCGCCTCCTTGTCTCCTCGCCTCCTTGTCTCCTCGCCTCCTTGTCTCCTCGCCTCCTTGTCTCCTCGCCTCCTTGTCTCCTCGCCTCCTTGTCTCCTCGCCTCCTTGTCTCCTCGCCTCCTCCGTGTCTCCTCGCCTCCTTGTCTCCTCGCCTCCTTGTCTCCTCGCCTCCTTGTCTCCTCGCCTCCTTGTCTCCTCGCCTTCCTGTCTCCTCGCCTCCTTGTCTCCTCGCCTCCTTGTCTCCTCGCCTCCTTGTCTCCTCGCCTCCTTGTCTCCTCGCCTCCTTGTCTCCTCGCCTCCTTGTCTCCTCGCCTCCTTGTCTCCTCGCCTCCTTGTCTCCTCGCCTCCTTGTCTCCTCGCCTCCTTGTCTCCTCGCCTCCTTGTCTCCTCGCCTCCTTGTCTCCTCGCCTCCTTGTTCCTCGCTCGGGCCCTCCGCCTCTTTCTCCTCGCCTCCTTGTCTCCTCGCCTCCTTGTCTCCTCGCCTCCTTGTCTCCTCGCCTCCTTGTCTCCTCGCCTCCTTGTCTCCTCGCCTCCTTGTCTCCTCGCCTCCTTGTCTCCTCGCCTCCTTGTCTCTCGCTCTTGTCTCCCTCCTCTTGTCTCCCTCGCCTCCTTGTCTCCTCGCCTCCTTGTCTCCTCGCCTCCTTGTCTCCTCGCCTCCTTGTCTCCCTCGCCTCCTTGTATCCTCGCCTCCTTGTCTCCTCGCCTCCTTGTCTCCTCGCCTCCTTGTCTCCTCGCCTCCTTGTCTCCTCGCCTCCTTGTCTCCTCGCCTCCTTGTCTCCTCGCCTCCTTGTCTCCTCGCCTCCTTGTCTCCTCGCCTCCTTGTCTCCTCGCCTCCTTGTCTCCTCGCCTCCTTGTCTCCTCGCCTCCTTGTCTCCTCGCCTCCTTGTCTCCTCGCCTCCTTGTCTCCTCGCCTCCTTGTCTCCTCGCCTCCTTGTCTCCTCGCCTCCTTGTCTCCTCGCCTCCTTGTCTCCTCGCCTCCTTGTCTCCTCGCCTCCTTGTCTCCTCGCCTCCTTGTCTCCTCGCCTCCTTGTCTCCTCGCCTCCTTGTCTCCTCGCCTCCTTGTCTCCTCGCCTCCTTGTCTCCTCGCCTCCTTGTCTCCTCGCCTCCTTGTCTCCTCGCCTCCTTGTCTCCTCGCCTCCTTGTCTCCTCGCCTCCTTGTCTCCTCGCCTCCTTGTCTCCTCGCCTCCTTGTCTCCTCGCCTCCTTGTCTCCTCGCCTCCTTGTCTCCTCGCCTCCTTGTCTCCTCGCCTCCTTGTCTCCTCGCCTCCTTGTCTCCTCGCCTCCTTGTCTCCTCGCCTCCTTGTCTCCTCGCCTCCTTGTCTCCTCGCCTCCTTGTCTCCTCGCCTCCTTGTCTCCTCGCCTCCTTGTCTCCTCGCCTCCTTGTCTCCTCGCCTCCTTGTCTCCTCGCCTCCTTGTCTCCTCGCCTCCTTGTCTCCTCGCCTCCTCTTGTCTCCTCCGCGCCTCCTTGTCTCCTCGCCTCCTTGTCTCCTCGCCTCCTTGTCTCCTCGCCTCCTTGTCTCCTCGCCTCCTTGTCTCCTTCGTCCTCCTTGTCCTCCTCTGTCCTTCGCTCCTTGTCTCCTCGCCTCCTTGTCTCCTCGCCTCCTTGCTCTCCTCGCCTCCTTGTCTCCTCGCCTCCTTGTCTCCTCGCCTCTTGTCTCTCGCCTCCTTGTCTCCCCTCGTCCTCCTCGCCTCCTTGTCTCCTCGCCTCCTTGTCTCCTCGCCTCCTTGTCTCCTCGCCTCCTTGTCTCCTCGCCTCCTTGTCTCCTCGCCTCCTTGTCTCCTCGCCTCCTTGTCTCCTCGCCTCCTTGTCTCCTCGCCTCCTTGTCTCCTTCGCCTCCTTGTCTCCTCGCCTCCTTGTCTCCTCGCCTCCTTGTCTCCTCGCCTCCTTGTCTCCTAGCCTCCTGTGTCTCCTCGCCTCCTTGTCTCCTCGCCTCTGTCTCCTCGCTCCTGTCTCCTCGCCTCCTTGTCTCCTCGCCTCCTTGTCTCCTCGCCTCCTTGTCTCCTCGCCTCCTTGTCTCCTCCTCGCCTCCTTGTCTCCTCGCATCCTGTCTCCTCGCCTCCTTGTCTCCTCGCCTCTTGCTCTCGCCTCCTTGTCTATCGCCTCCTTGTCTCCTCGCCTCCTTGTCTCCCTCGCCTCCTTGTCTCCTCGCCTCCTGTCTCCTCGCCTCCTTGTCTCCTCGCCTCCTTGTCTCCTCGCCTCCTTGTCTCCTCGCCTCCTTGTCTCCTCGCCTCCTTGTCTCCTCGCCTCCTTGTCTCCTCGCCTCCTTGTCTCCTCGCCTCCTTGTCTCCTCGCCTCCTTGTCTCCTCGCCTCCTTGTCTCCTCGCCTCCTTGTCTCCTCGCCTTCCTTGTCTCCTCGCCTCCTTGTCTCCTCGCACTCCTTGTCTCCTCGCCTCCTTGTTCTCCTCGCCTCCTTGTCTCCTCGCCTCCTTGTCCTCGCCTCCTTGTCTCCTCGCCTCCTGTCTCCTCGCCTCCTTGTCTCCTCGCCTCCTTGTCTCCTCGCCTCCTTGTCTCCTCGCCTCCTTGTCTCCTCGCCTCCTTGTCTCCTCGCCTCCTTGTCTCCTCGCCTCCTTGTCTCCTCGCCTCCTTGTCTCCTCGCCTCCTTGTCTCCTCGCCTCCTTGTCTCCTCGCCTCCTTGTCTCCTCGCCTCCTTGTCTCCTCGCCTCCTTGTCTCCTCGCCTCCTTGTCCTCCTCGCCTCCTTGTCTCCTCGCCTCCTTGTCTCCTCGCCTCCTTGTCTCCTCGCTCCTTGTCTCCTCGCCTCCTTGTCTCCTCGCCTCCTTGTCTCCTCGCCTCCTTGTCTCCTCGCCTCCTTGTCTCCTCGCCTCCTTGTCTCCTCGCCTCCTTGTCTCCTCGCCTCCTGTCCCTCAGCCTCCTTGTCTCCTCGCCTCCTTGTCTCCTCGCCTCCTTGTCTCCTCGCCTCCTTGTCTCCTCGCCTCCTGGTCTCCTCCCTCCTTGTCTCCTCGCCTCCTTGTCTCCTCGCCTCCTTGTCTCGCTCGCCTCCTTGTCTCCTCGCCTCCTTGTCTCCTCGCCTCCTTGTCTCCTCGCCTCCTTGTCTCCTCGCCTCCTTGTCTCCTCGCCTCCTTGTCTCCTCGCCTCCTTGTCTCCTCGCCTCATTTCCCTTGTCTCCTCGCCTCCTTGTCTCCTCGCCTCCTTGTCTCCTCGCCTCCTTGTCTCCTCGCCTCCTTGTCTCCTCGCCTCCTTGTCTCCTCGCCTCCTTGTCTCCTCGCCTCCTTGTCTCCTCGCCTCCTTGTCTCCTCGCCTCCTTGTCTCCTCGCCTCCTTGTCTCCTCGCCTCCTTGTCTCCTCGCCTCCTTGTCTCCTCGCCTCCTTGTCTCCTCGCCTCCTTGTCTCCTCGCCTCCTTGTCTCCTCGCCTCCTTGTCTCCTCGCCTCCTTGTCTCCGTCGCCTCGCCTCCTTGTCTCCTCGCCTCCTTGTCTCCTCGCCTCCTTGTCTCCTCGCCTCCTTGTCTCCTCGCCTCCTTGTCTCCTCGCCTCCTTGTCTCCTCGCCTCCTTGTCTCCTCGCCTCCTTGTCTCCTCGCCTCCTTGTCTCCTCGCCTCCTTGTCTCCTCGCCTCCTTGTCTCCTCGCCTCCTTGTCTCCTCGCCTCCTTGTCTCCTCGCCTCCTTGTCTCCTCGCCTCCTTGTCTCCTCGCCTCCTTGTCTCCTCGCCTCCTTGTCTCCTCGCCTCCTTGTCTCCTCGCCTCCTTGTCTCCTCGCCTCCTTGTCTCCTCGCCTCCTTGTCTCCTCGCCTCCTTGTCTCCTCGCCTCCTTGTCTCCTCGCCTCCTTGTCTCCTCGCCTCCTTGTCTCCTCGCCTCCTTGTCTCCTCGCCTCCTTGTCTCCTCGCCTCCTTGTCTCCTCGCCTCCTTGTCTCCTCGCCTCCTTGTCTCCTCGCCTCCTTGTCTCCTCGCCTCCTTGTCTCCTCGCCTCCTTGTCTCCTCGCCTCCTTGTCTCCTCGCCTCCTTGTCTCCTCGCCTCCTTGTCTCCTCGCCTCCTTGTCTCCTCGCCTCCTTGTCTCCTCGCCTCCTTGTCTCCTCGCCTCCTTGTCTCCTCGCCTCCTTGTCTCCTCGCCTCCTTGTCTCCTCGCCTCCTTGTCTCCTCGCCTCCTTGTCTCCTCGCCTCCTTGTCTCCTCGCCTCCTTGTCTCCTCGCCTCCTTGTCTCCTCGCCTCCTTGTCTCCTCGCCTCCTTGTCTCCTCGCCTCCTTGTCTCCTCGCCTCCTTGTCTCCTCGCCTCCTTGTCTCCTCGCCTCCTTGTCTCCTCGCCTCCTTGTCTCCTCGCCTCCTTGTCTCCTCGCCTCCTTGTCTCCTCGCCTCCTTGTCTCCTCGCCTCCTTGTCTCCTCGCCTCCTTGTCTCCTCGCCTCCTTGTCTCCTCGCCTCCTTGTCTCCTCGCCTCCTTGTCTCCTCGCCTCCTTGTCTCCTCGCCTCCTTGTCTCCTCGCCTCCTTGTCTCCTCGCCTCCTTGTCTCCTCGCCTCCTTGTCTCCTCGCCTCCTTGTCTCCTCGCCTCCTTGTCTCCTCGCCTCCTTGTCTCCTCGCCTCCTTGTCTCCTCGCCTCCTTGTCTCCTCGCCTCCTTGTCTCCTCGCCTCCTTGTCTCCTCGCCTCCTTGTCTCCTCGCCTCCTTGTCTCCTCGCCTCCTTGTCTCCTCGCCTCCTTGTCTCCTCGCCTCCTTGTCTCCTCGCCTCCTTGTCTCCTCGCCTCCTTGTCTCCTCGCCTCCTTGTCTCCTCGCCTCCTTGTCTCCTCGCCTCCTTGTCTCCTCGCCTCCTTGTCTCCTCGCCTCCTTGTCTCCTCGCCTCCTTGTCTCCTCGCCTCCTTGTCTCCTCGCCTCCTTGTCTCCTCGCCTCCTTGTCTCCTCGCCTCCTTGTCTCCTCGCCTCCTTGTCTCCTCGCCTCCTTGTCTCCTCGCCTCCTTGTCTCCTCGCCTCCTTGTCTCCTCGCCTCCTTGTCTCCTCGCCTCCTTGTCTCCTCGCCTCCTTGTCTCCTCGCCTCCTTGTCTCCTCGCCTCCTTGTCTCCTCGCCTCCTTGTCTCCTCGCCTCCTTGTCTCCTCGCCTCCTTGTCTCCTCGCCTCCTTGTCTCCTCGCCTCCTTGTCTCCTCGCCTCCTTGTCTCCTCGCCTCCTTGTCTCCTCGCCTCCTTGTCTCCTCGCCTCCTTGTCTCCTCGCCTCCTTGTCTCCTCGCCTCCTTGTCTCCTCGCCTCCTTGTCTCCTCGCCTCCTTGTCTCCTCGCCTCCTTGTCTCCTCGCCTCCTTGTCTCCTCGCCTCCTTGTCTCCTCGCCTCCTTGTCTCCTCGCCTCCTTGTCTCCTCGCCTCCTTGTCTCCTCGCCTCCTTGTCTCCTCGCCTCCTTGTCTCCTCGCCTCCTTGTCTCCTCGCTCCTCGCCTCCTTGTCTCCTCGCCTCCTTGTCTCCTCGCCTCCTTGTCTCCTCGCCTCCTTGTCTCCTCGCCTCCTTGTCTCCTCGCCTCCTTGTCTCCTCGCCTCCTTGTCTCCTCGCCTCCTTGTCTCCTCGCCTCCTTGTCTCCTCGCCTCCTTGTCTCCTCGCCTCCTTGTCTCCTCGCCTCCTTGTCTCCTCGCCTCCTTGTCTCCTCGCCTCCTTGTCTCCTCGCCTCCTTGTCTCCTCGCCTCCTTGTCTCCTCGCCTCCTTGTCTCCTCGCCTCCTTGTCTCCTCGCCTCCTTGTCTCCTCGCCTCCTTGTCTCCTCGCCTCCTTGTCTCCTCGCCTCCTTGTCTCCTCGCCTCCTTGTCTCCTCGCCTCCTTGTCTCCTCGCCTCCTTGTCTCCTCGCCTCCTTGTCTCCTCGCCTCCTTGTCTCCTCGCCTCCTTGTCTCCTCGCCTCCTTGTCTCCTCGCCTCCTTGTCTCCTCGCCTCCTTGTCTCCTCGCCTCCTTGTCTCCTCGCCTCCTTGTCTCCTCGCCTCCTTGTCTCCATCGCCTCCTTGTCTCCGTCGCCTCCTTGTCTCCTCGCCTCCTTGTCTCCTCGCCTCCTTGTCTCCTCGCCTCCATTTGTCTCCTAAGCCTCCTTGTCTCCTCGCCTCCTTGTCTCCTCGCCTCCTTGTCTCCTCGCCTCCTTGTCTCCTCGCCTCCTTGTCTCCTCGCCTCCTTGTCTCCTCGCCTCCTTGTCTCCTCGCCTCCTTGTCTCCTCGCCTCCTTGTCTCCTCGCCTCCTTGTCTCCTCGCCTCCTTGTCTCCTCGCTCCTTGTCTCCTCGCCTCCTTGTCTCCTCGCCTCCTTGTCTCCTCGCCTCCTTGTCTCCTCGCCTCCTTGTCTCCTCGCCTCCTTGTCTCCTCGCCTCCTTGTCTCCTCGCCTCCTTGTCTCCTCGCCTCCTTGTCTCCTCGCCTCCTTGTCTCCTCGCCTCCTTGTCTCCTCGCCTCCTTGTCTCCTCCTCGCCTCCTTGTCTCCTCGCTCTCCTTGTCTCCTCGCCTCCTTGTCCTCCTCGCCTCCTTGTCTCCTCGCCTCCTTGTCTCCTCTCCTCCTTGTCTCCTCGCCTCCTTGTCTCCTCGCCTCCTTGTCTCCTCGCCTCCTTGTCTCCTCGCCTCCTTGTCTCCTCGCCTCCTTGTCTCCTCGCCTCCTTGTCTCCTCGCCTCCTTGTCTCCTCGCCTCCTTGTCTCCTCGCCTCCTTGTCTCCCTCCTCTCCTTGTCTCCTCGCCTCCTTGTCTCCTCGCCTCCTTGTCTCCTCGCCTCCTTGTCTCCTCGCCTCCTTGTCTCCTCGACCTCCTTGTCTCCTCGCCTCCTTGTCTCCTCGCCTCCTTGTCTCCTCGCCTCCTTGTCTCCTCGCCTCCTTGTCTCCTCGCCTCCTTGTCTCCTCGCCTCCTTGTCTCCTCGCCTCCTTGTCTCCTCGCCTCCTTGTCTCCTCGCCTCCTTGTCTCCTCGCCTCCTTGTCTCCTCGCCTCCTTGTCTCCTCGCCTCCTTGTCTCCTCGCCTCCTTGTCTCCTCCGCCTCCTTGTCTCCCTCGCCTCCTTGTCTCCTCGCCTCCTTGTCTCCTCGCCTCCTTGTCTCCTCGCCTCCTTGTCTCCTCGCCTCCTTGTCTCCTCGCCTCCTTGTCTCCTCGCCTCCTTGTCTCCTCGCCTCCTTGTCTCCTCGCCTCCTTGTCTCCTCGCCTCCTTGTCTCCTCGCCTCCTTGTCTCCTCGCCTCCTTGTCTCCTCGCCTCCTTGTCTCCTCGCCTCCTTGTCTCCTCGCCTCCTTGTCTCCTCGCCTCCTTGTCTCCTCGCCTCCTTGTCTCCTCGCCTCCTTGTCTCCTCGCCTCCTTGTCTCCTCGCCTCCTTGTCTCCTCGCCTCCTTGTCTCCTCGCCTCCTTGTCTCCTCGCCTCCTTGTCTCCTCGCCTCCTTGTCTCCTCGCCTCCTTGTCTCCTCGCCTCCTTGTCTCCTCGCCTCCTTGTCTCCTCGCCTCCTTGTCTCCTCGCCTCCTTGTCTCCTCGCCTCCTTGTCTCCTCGCCTCCTTGTCTCCTCGCCTCCTTGTCTCCTCGCCTCCTTGTCTCCTCGCCTCCTTGTCTCCTCGCCTCCTTGTCTCCTCGCCTCCTTGTCTCCTCGCCTCCTTGTCTCCTCGCCTCCTTGTCTCTCCTCGCCTCCTTGTCTCCTCGCCTCCTTGTCTCCTCGCCTCCTGGTCTCCTCGCCTCCGTGTCTCCTCGCCTCCTTGTCTCTCGCCTCCTTGTCTCCTCGCCTCCTTGTCTCCTTCGCCTCCTTGTCTCCTCGCCTCCTTGTCTCCTCGCCTACCTTGTCTCCTCGCCTCCTTGTCTCCTCGCCTCCTTGTCTCCTCGCCTCCTTGTCTCCTCGCCTCCTTGTCTTCCTCGACTCCTTGTCTCCCTCCCCCCGCTCGCCTCCTTGTCTCCATCGCCTCCTTGTCTCCTCGCCTCCTTGTCTCCTCGCCTCCTTGTCTCCTCGCCTCCTTGTCTCCTCGCCTCCTTGTCTCCTCGCCTCCTTGTCTCCTCGCCTCCTTGTCTCCTCGCCTCCTTGTCTCCTCGCCTCCTTGTCTCTCGCCTCCTTGTCTTCCTCGCCTCCTGTCTCCTCGCCTCCTTGTCTCCTCGCCTCCTTGTCTCCTCGCCTCCTTGTCTCCTCGCCTCCTTGTCTCCTCGCCTCCTTGTCTCCTCGCCTCCTTGTCTCCTCGCCTCCTTGTCTCCTCGCCTCCTTGTCTCCTCGCCTCCTTGTCTCCTCGCCTCCTTGTCTCCTCGCCTCCTTGTCTCCTCGCCTCCTTGTCTCCTCGCCTCCTTGTCTCCTCGCCTCCTTGTCTCCTCGCCTCCTTGTCTCCTCGCCTCCTTGTCTCCTCGCCTCCTTGTCTCCTCGCCTCCTTGTCTCCTCGCCTCCTTGTCTCCTCGCCTCCTTGTCTCCTCGCCTCCTTGTCTCCTCGCCTCCTTGTCTCCTCGCCTCCTTGTCTCCTCGCCTCCTTGTCTCCTCGCCTCCTTGTCTCCTCGCCTCCTTGTCTCCTCGCCTCCTTGTCTCCTCGCCTCCTTGTCTCCTCGCCTCCTTGTCTCCTCGCCTCCTTGTCTCCTCGCCTCCTTGTCTCCTCGCCTCCTTGTCTCCTCGCCTCCTTGTCTCCTCGCCTCCTTGTCTCCTCGCCTCCTTGTCTCCTCGCCTCCTTGTCTCCTCGCCTCCTTGTCTCCTCGCCTCCTTGTCTCCTTCGCCTCCTTGTCTCCTCGCCTCCTTGTCTCCTCGCCTCCTTGTCTCCTCGCCTCCTTGTCTCCTCGCCTCCTTGTCTCCTCGCCTCCTTGTCTCCTCGCCTCCTTGTCTCCTCGCCCTTCCTCCCTCCTTGTCTCCTCGCCTCCTTGTCCTCCTCGCCTCCTTGTCTCCTCGCCTCCTTGTCTCCTCGCCTCCTTGTCTCCTCGCCTCCTTGTCTCCTCGCCTCCTTGTCTCCTCGCCTCCTTGTCTCCTCGCCTCCTTGTCTCCTCGCCTCCTTGTCTCCTCGCCTCCTTGTTCTCCTTCGCCTCCTTGTCTCCTCCTCGCCTCCTTGTCTCCTCGCCTCCTTGTCTCCTCGCCTCCTTGTCTCCTCGCCTCCTTGTCTCTCTCGCCTCCTTGTCCTCCTCGCCTCCTTGTCTCCTCGCCTCCTTGTCTCCTCGCCTCCTTGTCTCCTCGCCTCCTTGTCTCCTCGCCTCCTTGTCTCCTCGCCTCCTTGTCTCCTCGCCTCCTTGTCTCCTCGCCTCCTTGTCTCCTCGCCTCCTTGTCTCCTCGCCTCCTTGTCTCCTCGCCTCCTTGTCTCCTCGCCTCCTTGTCTCCTCGCCTCCTTGTCTCCTCGCCTCCTTGTCTCCTCGCCTCCTTGTCTCCTCGCCTCCTTGTCTCCTCGCCTCCTTGTCTCCTCGCCTCCTTGTCTCCCTCGCCTCCTTGTCTCCTCGCCTCCTTGTCTCCTCGCCTCCTTGTCTCCTCGCCTCCTTGTCTCCTCGCCTCCTTGTCTCCTCGCCTCCTTGTCTCCTCGCCTCCTTGTCTCCTCGCCTCCTTGTCTCCTCGCCTCCTTGTCTCCTCGCCTCCTTGTCTCCTCGCCTCCTTGTCTCCTCGCCTCCTTGTCTCCTCGCCTCCTTGTCTCCTCGCCTCCTTGTCTCCTCGCCTCCTTGTCTCCTCGCCTCCTTGTCTCCTCGCCTCCTTGTCTCCTCGCCTCCTTGTCTCCTCGCCTCCTTGTCTCCTCGCCTCCTTGTCTCCTCGCCTCCTTGTCTCCTCGCCTCCTTGTCTCCTCGCCTCCTTGTCTCCTCGCCTCCTTGTCTCCTCGCCTCCTTGTCTCCTCGCCTCCTTGTCTCCTCGCCTCCTTGTCTCCTCGCCTCCTTGTCTCCTCGCCTCCTTGTCTCCTCGCCTCCTTGTCTCCTCGCCTCCTTGTCTCCTCGCCTCCTTGTCTCCTCGCCTCCTTGTCTCCTCGCCTCCTTGTCTCCTCGCCTCCTTGTCTCCTCGCCTCCTTGTCTCCTCGCCTCCTTGTCTCCTCGCCTCCTTGTCTCCTCGCCTCCTTGTCTCCTCGCCTCCTTGTCTCCTCGCCTCCTTGTCTCCTCGCCTCCTTGTCTCCTCGCCTCCTTGTCTCCTCGCCTCCTTGTCTCCTCGCCTCCTTGTCTCCTCGCCTCCTTGTCTCCTCGCCTCCTTGTCTCCTCGCCTCCTTGTCTCCTCGCCTCCTTGTCTCCTCGCCTCCTTGTCTCCTCGCCTCCTTGTCTCCTCGCCTCCTTGTCTCCTCGCCTCCTTGTCTCCTCGCCTCCTTGTCTCCTCGCCTCCTTGTCTCCTCGCCTCCTTGTCTCCTCGCCTCCTTGTCTCCATCGCCATCCTTGTCTCCCTCGCCTCCTTGTCTCCTCGCCTCCTTGTCTCCCTCGCCTCCTTGTCTCCTCGCCTCCTGGTCTCCTCGCCTCCTTGTCTCCTCGCCTCCTTGTCTCCTCGCCTCCTTGTCTCCTCGCCTCCTTGTCTCCTCGCCTCCTTGTCTCCTCGCCTCCTTGTCTCCTCGCCTCCTTGTCTCCTCGCCTCCTTGTCTCCTCGCCTCCTTGTCTCCTCGCCTCCTTGTCTCCTCGCCTCCTTGTCTCCTCGCCTCCTTGTCTCCTCGCCTCCTTGTCTCCTCGCCTCCTTGTCTCCTCGCCTCCTTGTCTCCTCGCCTCCTTGTCTCCTCGCCTCCTTGTCTCCTCGCCTCCTTGTCTCCTCGCCTCCTTGTCTCCTCGCCTCCTTGTCTCCTCGCCTCCTTGTCTCCTCGCCTCCTTGTCTCCTCGCCTCCTTGTCTCCTCGCCTCCTTGTCTCCTCGCCTCCTTGTCTCCTCGCCTCCTTGTCTCCTCGCCTCCTTGTCTCCTCGCCTCCTTGTCTCCTCGCCTCCTTGTCTCCTCGCCTCCTTGTCTCCTCGCCTCCTTGTCTCCTCGCCTCCTTGTCTCCTCGCCTCCTTGTCTCCTCGCCTCCTTGTCTCCTCGCCTCCTTGTCTCCTCGCCTCCTTGTCTCCTCGCCTCCTTGTCTCCTCGCCTCCTTGTCTCCTCGCCTCCTTGTCTCCTCGCCTCCTTGTCTCCTCGCCTCCTTGTCTCCTCGCCTCCTTGTCTCCTCGCCTCCTTGTCTCCTCGCCTCCTTGTCTCCTCGCCTCCTTGTCTCCTCGCCTCCTTGTCTCCTCGCCTCCTTGTCTCCTCGCCTCCTTGTCTCCTCGCCTCCTTGTCTCCTCGCCTCCTTGTCTCCTCGCCTCCTTGTCTCCTCGCCTCCTTGTCCTCCTCGCCTCCTTGTCTCCTCGCCTCCTTGTCTCCTCGCCTCCTTGTCTCCTCGCCTCCTGTCTCCTCGCCTCCTTGTCTCCTCGCCTCCTTGTCTCCTCGCCTCCTTGTCTCCTCGCCTCCTTGTCTCCTCGCCTCCTTGTCTCCTCGCCTCCTTGTCTCCTCGCCTCCTTGTCTCCTCGCCTCCTTGTCTCCTCGCCTCCTTGTCTCCTCGCCTCCTTGTCTCCTCGCCTCCTTGTCTCCTCTGCCTCCTTGTCTCCTCCTCTTGGCCTCCTTGTCTCCTCGCCTCCTTGTCTCCTCGCCTCCTTGTCTCCTCGCCTCCTTGTCTCCTCGCCTCCTTGTCTCCTCGCCTCCTTGTCTCCTCGCCTCCTTGTCTCCTCGCCTCCTTGTCTCCTCGCCTCCTTGTCTCCTCGCCTCCTTGTCTCCTCGCCTCCTTGTCTCCTCGCCTCCTTGTCTCCTCGCCTCCTTGTCTCCTCGCCTCCTTGTCCTCCTCGCCTCCTTGTCTCCTCGCCTCCTTGTCTCCTCGCCTCCTTGTCTCCTCGCCTCCTTGTCTCCTCGCCTCCTTGTCTCCTCGCCTCCTTGTCTCCTCGCCTCCTTGTCTCCTCGCCTCCTTGTCTCCTCGCCTCCTTGTCTCCTCGCCTCCTTGTCTCCTCGCCTCCTTGTCTCCTCGCCTCCTTGTCTCCTCGCCTCCTTGTCTCCTCGCCTCCTTGTCTCCTCGCCTCCTTGTCTCCTCGCCTCCTTGTCTCCTCGCCTCCTTGTCTCCTCGCCTCCTTGTCTCCTCGCCTCCTTGTCTCCTCGCCTCCTTGTCTCCTCGCCTCCTTGTCTCCTCGCCTCCTTGTCTCCTCGCCTCCTTGTCTCCTCGCCTCCTTGTCTCCTCGCCTCCTTGTCTCCTCGCCTCCTTGTCTCCTCGCCTCCTTGTCTCCTCGCCTCCTTGTCTCCTCGCCTCCTTGTCTCCTCGCCTCCTTGTCTCCTCGCCTCCTTGTCTCCTCGCCTCCTTGTCTCCTCGCCTCCTTGTCTCCTCGCCTCCTTGTCTCCTCGCCTCCTTGTCTCCTCGCCTCCTTGTCTCCTCGCCTCCTTGTCTCCTCGCCTCCTTGTCTCCTCGCCTCCTTGTCTCCTCGCCTCCTTGTCTCCTCGCCTCCTTGTCTCCTCGCCTCCTTGTCTCCTCGCCTCCTTGTCTCCTCGCCTCCTTGTCTCCTCGCCTCCTTGTCTCCTCGCCTCCTTGTCTCCTCGCCTCCTTGTCTCCTCGCCTCCTTGTCTCCTCGCCTCCTTGTCTCCTCGCCTCCTTGTCTCCTCGCCTCCTTGTCTCCTCGCCTCCTTGTCTCCTCGCCTCCTTGTCTCCTCGCCTCCTTGTCTCCTCGCCTCCTTGTCTCCTCGCCTCCTTGTCTCCTCGCCTCCTTGTCTCCTCGCCTCCTTGTCTCCTCGCCTCCTTGTCTCCTCGCCTCCTTGTCTCCTCGCCTCCTTGTCTCCTCGCCTCCTTGTCTCCTCGCCTCCTTGTCTCCTCGCCTCCTTGTCTCCTCGCCTCCTTGTCTCCTCGCCTCCTTGTCTCCTCGCCTCTCTGTCTCCTCGCCTCCTTGTCTCCTCGCCTCCTTGTCTCCTCGCCTCCTTGTCTCCTCGCCTCCTTGTCTCCTCGCCTCCTTGTCTCCTCGCCTCCTTGTCTCCTCGCCTCCTTGTCTCCTCGCCTCCTCTCTGTGTGTCCGTGCCATGGTGTGCACAGGTGGCGTCCAACGAGGAGGGCCTGAGGGGCAGCTGGTTCACGGGCACGGTGCTGCAGCTCGACGCACGGCGGGCACTCGTCCGATACGACCAGCTGCTGGACGATGCTGGTGAGATGTGATTGCAACGCTGGTGAGATGTGATTGCAACGCTGGTGAGATGTGATTGCAACGCTGGTGAGATGTGATTGCAACGCTGGTGAGATGTGATTGCAACGCTGGTGAGATGTGATTGCAACGCTGGTGAGATGTGATTGCAACGCTGGTGAGATGTGATTGCAACGCTGGTGAGATGTGTTTGCAACGCTGGTGAGATGTGATTGCAACGCTGGTGAGATGTGATTGCAACGCTGGTGAGATGTGATTGCAACGCTGGTGAGATGTGATTGCAACGCTGGTGAGATGTGATTGCAACGCTGGTGAGATGTGATTGCAACGCTGGTGAGATGTGATTGCAACGCTGGTGAGATGTGATTGCAACGCTGGTGAGATGTGATTGCAACGCTGGTGAGGATCAATGTGCCCTCTGCTCACCCTGTTGCTCGTGATCCCTTCCCCCCCATCACTCTCTCCGTGCATGTATCTGCTCCTCTCCCGCTTCCTCATCCACCTTATATTCCTTTCACTCAACCATCCTGCTTCAACTCCCTGCCCTCGCTCATCCCCTCCCCCCCACCCAACCCCCACCCATTGCTACCGACATGGCAACCGTCAGGCACCTACCATTTGGAGGAGTGGGTCTCTACCGCGCCCCCTCCCCCCGCCCCCTCCTCCTCCGCCTCTCCCCATCCCAACCACCTCGTTTCTGGCGTTCCCCCTCCCCCTCCCCCGCACCTCCCCCCGGGGGGAGAGCCGCAGCGCTGCCTGCGCCCTGCCAGGCCCCCCTATGCGGGGGCGGGGGCGGTGGGGCGCAGGGGGAGGGGCAGCGGGGGCGGGGGGAAGAGGCGCAGGGGAGGGGGAGGGGTGGGGTGGAGCGTGGGCGACCATGTGGATGCATGGGTGGATGACGGGTGAGTGGGGAGGAATGGGGGAGGAATGGGGGAGGAATGGGGGATGAATGAGGGGGGAGTGGGGGTGAGTGGGGTGAACTTGGGATGAGTGAAAGGGTGAGTGAGGGGGTGAGTGGGAGCTATACGCTTGATTGCATGCGTGGATGAGTGATTTCGGCCTTGAATGTGTTACTTCTGCTGCACTTCCCGTCCCTCTCACTTTCACATGCCGTTCCTCCCTCCCTCCTGTCATTACCTATCGCACTAACAAATTTGTAACGTTTACCTACCTCTGCATGCTCTCTTCTTTCAACCTCATCCTCTGCTGTCCCTCGCGCCCTCTCTGTATTCCCCACCTCCCTCCATCTCTCCCCTCTACCGTCCACCTCCTTGCTTCCCCACTCACGCCCTGTCCATCCACTTATCCAATGCTGCATGTCGTGTCCTTCTGCCCTCCCCTCCCTGGCAGGTGGTGGGAGGGGGTGATAACAGCGCTGCCCGACGATCCAGCAGCCAGCATGGCCACTGTCGAGTTCCCAGGTCAGTGCCGCCCGTCTCTTTAACTCTCTCGCTAATGCAGGACCAATGGTCTTTGTGGGCCCTCCGCTCCTTGCTGCTGTCCCCCCTCGCTCCACACGCCCCTTCTTCCTCCTTTCCTCATCCCCTCATTCCCCTTGTTCGCCACCATTCCCCCGTTCCCCCTGTTCCCCTCGTTCGCCCCATCGCCCCCCACCCCAGGGTACGGGGAGATGGCGCAGAAGCAGCTGACGTGGCAGCAGCTGCGGCCATCGATGGTGTTTGATGGGCGGGAGAGGGAGTGGGTGATGGTGCGCGCGCAGGCCGTGGGGGAGGGGGAGGGGGTGGAGGAGGGGGAAGGGGAGGAGGAAGATGATGAGGTGGAGGAGGTGGTGCCTGCTCCCATGGCACATGTCAGGGTGAGAGTGTGTGATGTATGATGGGCGATGGTTGGTGGTGGCGACGGGTGTGCGCGATGTGCCATGGGTCGTGGGTAGTGGGTGACGGGCGATGAGTAACTAGCTGCTGGCGCTGTCCCTGTTGATAGACACTGCTGCACCCTAGTTGCTCGTTTGCTCCTCGTTGCCCCCACTCGCCCTCTGTGTGCCTCTTGCATCGCTGCCCATGCACCCCTCTGCACGCATACTCACTGTCCATCTGAAGCTTGTTCCCACCACCGGATCGCCAATAATACACAGAATATATCATCTCATAAAATCCTCATCATATTTCTACTTCCCCCCCACCCCTCCCCACTCCAACCCCCCAACCCTGCGTTTCTCCCCACCTTTCCTCCCCCTGTTCCCCCCACTCTTTCCCTCCCCTTATCTCTCCCCCCCATATTCTCCTCTTTCCTCCCCACGTTTCTCCCCCCTCCCCCTGCCTGCAGGACCCGGCACTGCCGCGTCCGAGGGGGCGGCCCCCCTTGCATGGCAGGGGAAGGGGCCGGGCCAGGGGCAGGGGCAGAGGCAGGGGCAGGGGGCGAGGGAGAGCGCGAGGCAGGGGGAGGGTCCCCTGGTACTGAAGGTACGTCATCTTTTGTTGGATAGAAATTTATATTCTGCACAGCCCCTTAGAACTCTAATTATCACATGCAGTTTTGCATTTATTCACACTGTAAAGTCCAATTTCTGCCTTATCTCTTCTACTCTGTCATCCCTCTTTCAGATAACGCCCAGTATCCTTAATGGCTGGGCCAATGAGAGCCATGGCAGACTAACACCAAGTGGGGTAGCTGGTTTTGAACTGCAAGTAAGCGTAGTGTCCACATGGGTTTGACTAATTGCTTCCTAATTTACGTAGTCTAAGATATACTCGACTTTGCTATTCTGTTATTCTGTTTCTATTTGTGGTTGGTAATGTTTCAATGTGTGTGCTTTTGTGCTGCTCCCCTAGTGTTTGGCTATTAGTCTAAACATTATATATCTAGTAATGAAGCAACGAACCAGTCTACAATGTGTATCCCTCCGCAGTGCCTTGGGCTTGGGCATGATAACAGCAGTTGGATTCGAGTCAAGGGAGGCTCTGTGAGACCTGCACCCAGCGCCTGCGCCAGAATCCCTCAGGGCGGGAAACATTTCGAACTTGAGTTTGAAAATGAGCGCGGTCAGCTCTCTGCGACGCTTTTCAAATTGAAACTCAGGGGTTCAAGACCGCACCGCATTTCGCAATGCTTCAGGCGACGGCCAGCTGCGACGATCGAGCGGGGCCAACCCGAGACGCGGATCATTGTGCCCGCGCCAACCGCTTTATCCACCGTTCACCCGCTCCTTCGTCCCTTTCTTTGATCGTGAGTCGTCCGATCTACCCTGTGTTCCTCGCCACTGCTAGGCTCCATCTCGCCGTGCGATTTGAACATCCGGCAATTTGCTTTCTTGAGTCGCGACCAAATGCTTGCGCCAAAACAACATACCGTTCTGTCACCTATTTGACCAGGTAGAGCCGATAGTACGAGTAACGAGAGCCGATTCGAGTCCTTCCGTCTACGAAGCACATCTTATGAAAACCGAGAGGTTGACTCAATTCTGCTGGTTCATCCCATTCACTCGCAGCACCACCTCGGTGCATCCCCTAGCACAGCGCTTCCTCGTTCCAGACTAGCTCTTAGCTTCGAGAAGCCCTGCAATCTTCAAGTCAGAGTAAATCTGCAATCTTCAAGTCTAAACCCAGAGACTCTTCGTCGTTCCTTTTCGTCAACCGTCATGCGACGGAGATTGAGCAGCATGGCTCGGAGGTCCACGATCCGAGCGTTCTTCTGCCTTGCCCTCGCGCTTACCGCGTCGGCCCTTGTGATCGATCCCACGGACCCGTCGTCCCTAGGTATTGACGTTAACCACCTACACTCTCCAGTGACTTGTATTACCCTCGACCCTCGAGCACGGATGACTGAATTATTTCAATTAAAAGCCTCCAAGTCTAGTTCGGATATCCTCTTCTCCCCTCCACTCTGTTTTTCCTCCCTCTCTTTCATCCGACCCGCCTTTCTCCGCGTGCTTCGCGCTTCCAATCTGACCCGCCTTCCAATGTCCTCTTGCGTGGTTGGTGCGCGGAATGGCAGGGCAACTGGAGGCGATGCAGCAGCTGAAGCTTGGCTTCGAGGGGAGCAAGCCCGCTGCGCTCGCCACGTGGACCACCAGCGACCCCTGCGACGGCACGTGGGTCGGCGTCACGTGCGCGCGGCCCGGCGTCGTCACAAGACTGTAAGTACAAAAGAACGTGCTTCAAACTTCATTCGCACGCTTCGTTTTTGTTTGCAGGTTTCTCCTTTTGTGTGCATGCTCCGTGTATATCCGTCGCATTCTCATCACCACGCACTCCTTCCTGCTTCTCCCCACCCGATCTTCACCCTGCTCGTCTCCTTGCGACGCGCAGCGATTTGTGCGACATGGGCATCGCAGGCGCGCTGTCGCCGTTCATCGGCAACCTCACGGGGCTGCTGCAGCTGCGGCTGTGCAACAACCAGATCGCCGGGCAGATTCCTCCCGAGCTTGGCAAGCTGTACTCGGTACAAGAAGTCGAGCTACAGGACAATAAATTCACGGGCGAGCTGCCTACCGAGCTAGGCGGCATGGCGACTTGCACGCACCTGTACCTCTACGGGAACAATCTCTCTGGCGCCATCCCTGCCGCTCTTAAAGCCGTCACTTACCTCAAGCTGGGTCCCGGAAATCGTTTTTGCAGCACGGTTCCCGGCTCGCTGTGCGCTGGCGCGTCGGCGGAGCCGCTCCCCGCAACTCCCGCTCCGGTGGAGGACTCCGCGGATGAGACGGGAAGCCTCCCTCCGCTGATCACCGCGCCACTCCCCAACTGTCCGCCGTGTGCCGGGGACGATTTGCCGGGGCTCGAGGACGGGTGCACGTGCGCCAAGCCGTCGCTGCTCAAGATTCGTTTCAAGGACCTGGACTTCGCGGCTTATAACGCGAATCAGGAGGACGTGCTGCTTGGCGAGTTGTCCCGCGCGCTGCAGCTGGAGCCACGTCAGCTGATGGTGATTGGGCGCGAGCCGGGCAGCGTGATCCTGTACCTGGCGGTGCTGCCGGTGAATGGTTTGGCGCTGGATGCGCGGCAGGAGGCGAAGCTGGTGGACGCCGTCACGGGCCACCGCGTCATTCTCTCCAAGGCCTTCAGAGACTACGAAGTCCTCGGTACGGTCACGCGCTCCCCATTTTCATGATGTTATGAATCAGATGGAGCTCTAACGTTGGTTGCTTTCGCATTCCATGCGTTGTTTACGCGTCGTGCATCTAAGCGCCGCTTCCTTTCTGTTCTAAGCATCCGTCGAGTTCCTCATTCCTCCTGCTCCGTCCTTTCAGGAGCGCCCGGTCTCGCGTTCAAGCCGTCGCAAGAGTCGCAGAACGCCGACGCCGAGTCGTCCTCCGCGTCTTCCGGCGCATCTTCCGGCCTCAGCACTGGAGCCATCATCGGCATCGTCGTCGCGTCGCTCGCGGCCGCGCTGGTTATCGCGGCGCTCTTCTGCCAGCTGCTGACGTGGCGCCGCGACAGGAACGCCGCGCGCCGCGCTGATGTGGAGAACTCACGGATGGCCAAGGTGCTGACGGGCAGCATCGAGGCGCCGTACAGGCCGCACGGGAAGAACTGTGAGTAAAACGATTCGTGACTGGAACGGGTAGAGCCCCATTGCTGTTGCTCTCGCCACACCATCTTTCTCGCTCCCTCCGCCTACCTCTCTCCTTCTCACGTCAACTTCCCCTCTTCTCCGCCCTCCCCCCTTCGGCCTTTCCCCCTCCGCTTCCGCCAGCCATCTGGGGAAGGTGGGGTTTGCCACGTGGCAGCCCCTTCCCGCCCGTGAAGCCGTCGATCTCGGGAGGCAACTCGTTCAACGAGCCCGCGCTCTCCTTCCGCAGCGGCATCCCCGGCACTCCCGCTGGCGCGCGCGCGAATGGCGGCGGCGACAGCGGAGCAGGCACGCCGCGCGACACGCCCGGCGTGTCAGAGCGAAGCTTCGCGTTCCAAGGCGCGAGCTCGCCCACCTCCCCCGCCAACACCGCCGGGTTGTGCGGCGGCGACAACGGCGACGACCCGCGGACGCCCGAGATCGGGACGACGCGAACGGTGGGCGACGCGGAGGGCGGAGGCAGCCCTCAGGAGGTAATGGAGATTAAGAAGATCGGTCTTAAGGCGATCCACGCGGCAACGCAGGGGTACTCGAAGGCGAACTTAATCGGCGACCGCGGGCACGGGCGCATGTACAAGGCGGACTTCTCGAGCAAGGCGCGCGTGCAGATGGCGGTGCTGCTCGAGCTGTCCGGGGAGAAGCTCGACGAGCCGGAATTCGCGGCGGCGGTCAAGGCGCTGGGGGACCTGTGCGTGCAGTCGAACCGCCTCGTGGCAATCATGGCGTTCTGCGCGGATAAGGGCCAGCGGTGGGTGGCCTATGAGTATCTGCCAGGTGGCAGCCTCAAAGACCACCTGCACGGGGACCTGCGCTTCGAGCGCGCGCTGACGTGGCAGAAGCGCGTGCAGATCGCGGTCGACGTGGCCGCGGCGCTGGAGTTCCTGCATGAACAGTGCGAGCCGCTGGTGATTCACCGCGACGTGTCGGCCGACAACGTGGTCCTGGACGGCGAGCTGCGCGCGAAGATTAAAGACGTGGGCATCCACACGCTCGTGCGCGATTGGTCCGAGGGCCGCGCCGTGTCGCCGTCCGTGCTGGGGTCCATGGGGTACCAGGCGCCCGAGTTCCGCGTGAGCGGCGAGCAGACGGCGCGGTCCGACGTGTTCAGCTTCGGCGTGGTGCTGCTGGAGCTGCTGACCGGCCGGAAGCCCGTTGACTCGTCGCGACCCAAGGGGCAGCAGTCGCTGCTGACGTGGGTGCTGCCGCACCTGGAGAACAGGCTCGCCGTGACGAGCCTGGTGGACCCGTACCTGCGGCTCAACTCCACGCTCGACCCCAAGTCGCTGCACCTGTTCGCGCTCGTCGCCGCGCACTGCCTGCAGCACGAGCCCGAGGACCGCCCGCGCATGGCGGAGGTGCACAGCCAGCTGCAGCACCTGCTGCTCTCGCTCTCCCCCGACGGCCTCCCCTCCCCCATCTCCCCCAACGCGGCCTCCGCCTCCCCCCTCTCCCCCGCCTCCCCCGCCTCCCCCATGTCCCCCATCCCCAACCTCACCGCCGCGTCCCCCTGCACGCATGCTCCGGTGAGTGTGGTCCTTTGAACTTGCAATGCTGCACTCGCCCTGTGCTTGCTTGTGCTTGCTCATGCCTGCCTCTCTGCACTCTGCACGCATGCGCCACATTTCACCTGCTGCTCCCCTCCGTCTCACTCCCACGCCCTCTTACACCCCTCCTCATCCCTCTCCACCCCTTTCTCACCCTCTCCAGAGCCCCGACGCGGAGAACGAGAGCTGCTCGGTGGCGGATTCAGGCACCACGAGTGGCACACACGTGTCGCACTCGGCACGGCGCTACGACCAGAAGCGCTGGGTGCAGGTCGCACCTGGCCCGGGCACTGCCGTCAAGACCCACGCTAGTGCCGTGACTCCCGCTGCCACTGGTGCTGCTGCTGGTGTGGCGAATGTGCGCTCACCCCTTGCGCCGGTGATCAACCTGTGAGGAAACACGGGGGGTGCGACTCTCCACGTGTGACTGACTACTGCACGGGATGGCATGTGGTGCCAGTCGTTGCAGCACTAGACCCTCTGACACCCTCATTTAGCTCTCTAGCCAACTCCTAGGATCATTCTCCCCGTGATCCCCTCCCCCCTGCTCCATGCCTCTAGTTAATCAGCTATGTACTAGAAGGTTAGATGAGTGTCAAGGGCCAACCCAGCCCTGCAGTTACGGTAGGAGTAGAAGTACTGTGAAACATGTGTTCTGATTGGCGTCTGACATTTAGGTTTCCGTGATCCATGATCCATGCTAACAGATGTGTACTACACCCTCCTTGGAAGTCGTTTCTTGTTCTTCTGAACTTAGTGCGACCAGGTGTAGATGCAACTCACTGTACAATGACGACAACAGCAGAAGCAGACAAAACAAATGTTGGTAGGCAGTGTCATGTTTGCGCATGGGTAACCAGAGGAGTCAACTCTACATCCCCTGTGTCATCTGCCTTGCTCTCTGCTGCAGGGGACAGTGCTGATGCTGCCGTTGTACTCCCATGCTCTCCCTTATTCCCCCTGTACTCTCCCTTAGGTTCACGGGATAGCAGCACCATTAGCACATACCCAATTGTGACTATAGCGGACCAGACTATAAAGCGGATGAAGGCGGAGGTGTCGAGGGAGGCGAGGAGCACCGTGTTGACGAGGATGGAGGCGGAGGGCAGCCACGGGCACAGCGGCACTGAAAACACCCGCGTGGCCTCTGCTTCCCTGCAGCACTGGGGGGCGATGGAATGTGGGATGGAATTAAGGGGGAAATGTGGAAAGGAAAGAGGGAAAGTGGGGGGAGAGTTGGGGGGGAATGGGGGGAGATGTTGGGGAGAAGAGTGAGTAGGACGAGGCCAACAGACAAGGAAGAGTTTGAAGGGGATGAGGCAAAAGGGCTCTGAGAGAGTATTTAAAGCCACCACGTGCCTGCACCAGTAGGGAGAGGCAGAAGAAGGGGAGTGAGTGGGAGTGAAGGGTAAGGTAGAAAGGGGGGGGAACAGCTGTCATGAGAAATAGAGTGCCATGCGTGGTGCAAACAGATGGACTGAGAGCAGAGGGACGCACGGCAAGGGAGGCGGTGGCAGCAGCCCAGAGGGCGGCGGAGAGCAGTGCGGGTGCAGTGTGGCCGGGGAGCACTCTGAACGCCACTGCCACGCCTGCTGCCCCTGCCACCATCACACCCAGATGCATCAACACCACCCCCATGCCCTCCCCACCGCCCTGCTTCTGTCTTTGGCGTCTCTTAAGCTTTCCCTCAGTGGGTCGTCCATTCTCGTTCTGCTGCTGCGCAGCTTGCACTTGATGTTTTCGCGGAGACAGCACAGCAGGTGGGTTGGCCTCATAAGGTCGGGAGTGAAATTCATTTGCCATCAAAGGCACTCCATCGTCTCCTGCTGCTGTCGATTCTGTTGTGCCTATCTCCTCTCCTGCTCCTTCTGGTGCTGCTGCATGCGCAGCAGCGCCATCAGCAGCACAGGCAGCGACAGGTGTGGGGCCGAGTGGGGCCGGCAGGGTGACGCGGGGGTGGTAGCGGTGCAGCAGGAGGGCGAGGGCGACCATGAGGAAGATGAGCAGCGTGCCGATGGACACCATGCTCGCTAGCGTCTCTAAATCCACCAGTAGCGCCATCACACCTGTCGCCACACCTGCAAGAGAATAGAGCAGAGGAATGGGGTTCAGGTGAAGTTTACCTGTCCTAAGATCCGAAGTGATGGGATGAACCATGAAGATGGTGTGATTGAGCACCTAGCATGCACTGTGGGCAATCATGGTGACTGCTGGCAAGATGCAGGGGCAGAGAGTGCTCGCACGCACAGCCCACCGCAGGGACCAACGAGACCATAGCAACGCACCAAGGACAGCTGTCGCAAAGAGAGGCGTGCGCGTCACAGGTGACACCGAAGCAAACTGCTTCGGCAGAAGCTCGGCCCGAGCCACAACCAGCACGATCCGAGCCTGACCCATTAGCCCCACCAGCACCGCAGTCACTATGGCTAGCAGCGCTCCTGCTGCCACCACGCCTGCCGCCCAACCCCACCCCGCCAGCTGGCGCAATGCAGAGGAGAAGGGAGCGTCGGCGTCGATCTGAGGGTAGGGCACGAGGAGGCAGAGAGAGAGCGCCATGAAGCCGTAGATCACAGCCACCACAGCCACCGATCCCACAATCCCTATCGGAAGATCAACGGCCGGATTCGCGACTTCTTCTGCGAGTGTGGTAACCGCGTCGAAGCCGATAAAACAGAAGTAGACAAGCGCTGCTGCATCCAGCATGCCTTGCATGCCGAACGGAGCGAAGGAGGCAGTGATGTTTTCGAGGCTGCCTGCTGTGAAGCCAGCAACGATGATGATGACAATGGCGAGCATGCTGAGACCGGAAGCAAGGAAGTTGAAGTAGGACGATTCCTGGGTGCCGTATGCCACCAGCACGGACAGAGACAGGATGAGCCCCAGTGCAACGAAATCCAGGGTGATTCCCCATGCTGGCACGGGCAGCCGGAAGAATTCCGGGTCCTGCCCGAGGAACCCTGCGAAGTAGGCGGAGAGGCCGCGGGCAGCAGCGGCGTTGGAGAGAATGTACTCCATAAGGAGATTCGCTACTGTGATAAAGGCTGGGAGCTCGCCTAGCGTGACCATGAGGTAGGAGAAGGCGCCGCCCGCTACAGGCAGGTGGACGGCAAACTCCGTGTAGCACAGGGCGGAGAGGAGTGCTGACGTGGCAGAGAGGAGGTAGGAGAGGATGACAGAGGGGCCGGCATGGTCTCGAGCCGCTACCCCTGTGATGACAAACACGCCTGTGATTGTAGTAGCGCAGGGGGGCGAGATGGGGGGGAGCAGGTGACAATAGCGAGAGGAATGGGAAAGGAAATATGGGGAGTTGAGGAAGCTGGGTGGGACGGGAAGGGAGAGGCACATAAGAACGTGCGATTTGGAGAAACTGATTCAAGGTGCTGTATGATGCCTGCTCATGCACTACAATGCTATACGGTGCTTCACGGTGCTGTACGGTGATGCACGGACCCGCGCCAATGATGCTGGCGACCCCCAGCGAGATCGTGTCCGCCCATCCTAGCGACCGCTTCAGCGTCGCTTCTCCACCACCCCCGCCACCCCATTCCGCCGCCTCCGCGCTCTCCGCTTCCCCAGTCCTACCGTCCCTGTCCTTAACCGTCGACTTGCGATCCGGGGATCGCGGCGAGTGCCACGTGTCAACTCCAGCAGCATCTGAGCTGGCGAAGAGCGTGCTGACCTCCTGCACGCGGAACACGCGCGAGCGGAGCCGCTGCCATGGCGTGGCTAGGTCCCGCTGCGAGGGCATTGCTATACAAGCACACTGTCGCTACCACCACATCGTTACGTACGTTACACTTGCCATGGCGCAATGTCGTTCTTGGCGTTGCGGAGGGGGATTATTTGGTGCTTTACAGCACAGCTGAAATTGGTTCGTTAGAAGCTGAGCTTGGGAATTGTTGGGCTGATTCGAAATTGGCAGGCAAAGAAAGCAATGGCAGTACTGGAAGTGTTCCAAATGAGAGCCGGCTTTCATCCCAAACTTGGCTTTTGCAATGCCAATCCGTATAATGGATTTTGGGAATTAGACATTTGGGGAACTGTCAGTGCCGTGTCAAAAGAATAATGCAATTCATACAAAAGCAGCACACTGCATACGCTTACTATAATATGAGAATACATCCATTGCAAATCGGATGTAAATAACATGTGAATCGCCTTTCGTGGAGGTTACAAAAAACTAGAGCATAGTGGCATTTCTGTATCTCCGCAAGTGGAAATGATAACATATCGTAGAGAACACTAATACTGCATACGGCTTGGTTCAATGGGCCCCCCTTACATGTCCCATACCAATAAAGGCTCCTTTTTGTTGTGAACTTCCTCATGTCGAGAACGTGAGTGCTGTTACATCCCGTCATAAAACCATCACCGCATTATTGGCAGCCACGAGTTTTGCACAATCCTGCCTTTTCAAGGTACGCGTTTGGTTTGTTGGGATTCGCTGCGAAGTGTAACGAAAGAGAGCGGTTCAGGTCCGAACGAGTCTCGTGGTTCCGAAATCTATCTGACGAGGAGGGTAACCTGATTTATTGGAGTGAATGAATAATTGGAGCTGTCAAGCACAATGCGATTCGCAGCCAATTCCTTCATTCCTTCCCTGCTTGCATCTCACATCACAACCATTCCATCTTTCTCACTTTCACAAGTGTGCCCCGTGCCCACTGCCCAAACCAATTTTCCTGAGCACTCACTCGCTTTCTTCCTTGATTCGACGACTCCCTCACAACTTCTCCAGCCACTATCGGTCCTACCCAGAATTGGAATCTAAGCTCCCATGGAGATCAATGGAATCTCAATAGCCATTCTTGCCAGGATCTGCGAAGCTCGAGGCTTCTGAAAACGCCATCAACTGCTCCGCCCTTCCCGGATATTGTTGGCTCTCGCCTTCCTCTCGGAACAACGGGGGATATCGTCAGCAACGCCACCATCGATACTTATTACGTTCATTACCAGTGACACATAAGCTTCAAGTAGCAGCAACGGTTCTTGGCGGGCCAAGTGGATAGATAAACGGCTTACAGCGTGGCGCGCACTGATTCGCCAAACCGTGCGGCAGAATCGGCGTGCGAACAAACAATTCTGGTGCTCGAAAGGCGCGGACTGCTTTCTTGAGAAGTACAACTACCTGAAAACGTTTCGCCATGTCGGCTTCCACAGCTGAGAAGAAAGGCGTAACGCCAGGGGCTTGGTCTTCCGGGTTGCTGGAATGCCACAAAGACGGCAAGACATGTAAGTCACTCGCCAGACTCTCGTACGCAACTGCATATCCGACTGCTCGGAGTGGGTGCGAGCCGCGAGCCGCGAATATCTAGTCGAACCTCTCAGCCTCTCTGCTACCGAACATCGTCTCCTCGAATGTTTTCTTGTCTCCTGTTGCTCGCGACGATCGCCAGCCTGTACAGCAGCCCGGCAGCTCGCAGCAATCGTCAACAGCTCGTGGGAATCGAGCCGCCAAGCGAATACCTTGTATCCCCCGTTCCGTTCCGTATCTCGCCTGCTTTTTTCTTTAGACAGCGACATAAACCTGCTGTTAACAACCCGTTCCGTAACCCCTTTTTACTTTCCAGCTCCCCTCCAGGCCAATCGCTCTCGAAAATTCCAGGGCTGGTGTACCTTCCATGACCATCCTTCTCTTTCTTGATCCTCCTTTTCTACCTCCTCCCTCCTGGAATCACGTGTCCTCGCAGGTCTGTGCGCGTTGTGCTGCCCCTGCGTTCTCGCTGGCCGCATCGCCGAAATCTCAACTGACGGCTTCACAGGTTCATCCTCCGCTATATTACTCCCCTTTTCTGTTTAGCAGCAAGATGCCGATAGATCTCCGTCAGTACCGTCCGACTTGCTTCTGTGTCTTACCAGAAAGGTTGCTGCAGTCAGGTTGCACTCCTCGACCAATAATCCTGCAAGCTCCCTCAACAGGGTGTGGCATACTAGTTTGTGTGCCGTAGGAGCAAAGTGGCAAGCCAAAAAAGCAGCCCCTTGGCTTTGCGTGCCCCAAAGCTCTCTTTCCCCCTTGCACCCCCCTGATTATCTTCACATTCCACCCTTATCATTGCAACCAACATGTTCTGCTGCACTCTGTCTACTCACACTTCTTTCTGGGGCCAGCATTCTTAAACTACAAGCACTTCCCGTTCAGCTCACGAGGCCAATTTCCCGTCACATACGATCATGCTACCTTGATGTGATCGTACTTCATGTTCGATAGTGCACCTAAAGCTGTTCAGGGCAAAACAAGGCATCAACATGGAGCTCTATGAGTTCATTGCCCTATCTGTTCTGACTGGCAGCGGTTGTTCCCCTTCCCTCATTCTTTCTCGCTTCTCCCTCCCCCTTCCACCCCACCACCCTCAACCCTTTTTCTGCGTCACCGAATGTGCGGCCACTGATATTTGCGTTGCAGACGCCACCTTTGCCTGCTGCTGCTGGGCATTGATCCAATACTTCACGGTCGGGATGTGCGGCTGCCTCTACTCCAAAGGTGACACCTCTCCAGCCTCCATGATTTCCTCAGCTACTTCGCAATTGTGATGGACGCCCTCAATACTGACTAGTGCCCCTTCCCCATTAACTCTTGCAGGCTTCCGTGGCATGCTGAGGGATAAGTATGGCCTGCCCAGCAGGCCCTGCGTGGACGCTGCACTACACCTCTTCTGCCCCTGCTGTGCCTTTGCTCAGGAGTACCGAGAACTCAAAGCCAGGGGGTGGGACCCACGTCTAGGTGAGCTTCCTTTTCAAAGTGAACTGTTGCTGTCAGCAATTTCAGTAATCTTAGTGCCCAGTGACCTGAGAGAGCCAAGTCCAGTCTGACTTCTTTTGTCCCAGGAATCTGTGAGAATCTCAGCTCCTAATGTCTGTCTCTATTTGCAGGTTACACAGGAAATGTCCTCAACTTCAGTTCACAGAAAGTGGCTCCTTCTCCTCAACGAATGGAATGAAAACCGGTTGCCCTTATCTAGAGTAGCATAGATTATTATGTCATGTTGCCCTTTTGCCCCCTTTTTGTCTTATTGTATGTATTAATGTTTCTTATGTTTCAATAAAGATTTCCTAAAGCTGCATGAACTGCTGTGCCTATCATTGTGCACAGAAAAGAACAGCCTGTAATTCCACAACCAGCTGGCCATACAAATATTATTATTGCCTTTTTGGACTCTTGACGCTACACAAAACGATTTATACTGTAGTGTTATGCGAGTCAGGTTGTGGTGCGGTCTGGTCAGGTGAACAGATTGTCCCTTTCGGCTAGCTTGCCTGATCATCATCAGTCGTCTTCACCTCGACATCTCCATCAGCAGATTCTCAAACTGTCAGAACACTCGGGTATCATTTTTTTGACTGCTGTCCGAAAGTGTGACGCTGATGGCTCCCCTATTGTCGAGGCGCTCCAAATCACCACAATTCCAAGGTTCCCCTACCAACGTTGCTGCTTGCAGCGACGGAGGAAGCATCCGGTACGATGTTAAGAATCCGACGACGGAGAAATCAAGAAGCAATCGGGAATGACTCACATTTTTACCGATGTCTAACCCGACAGTGAAAAATTGAAATCTCAGGTCTTGAGTCTGTACTCCTGCACTATCAGGATCCGCTTTCCATGAAGCCTTCAAACCTTCGTTGCAAGCACACTCATTTGCAAGGCTGTCAGCCACAGGTTGCATGAAAGCTTACGCAAGACTGACCTCTTCGTGTGGAATCTTTCCATGGATGGCCTCCCTGAGTGGATAGCCTTTGACGGCATAATCAGGTGACGTGGTCTATAAGTTACGTTCCTTCATTGTGTTCGCGCATTTCGAGGATATATTGACTCTCGATCCCCTCAGAAAATTCGGGTTTCATGCTCAGTATGGAGATTCAAACTCACGGCGATGTTTACAGCGGAAATAATACTACTCACCAACGATGGCGTCATGACGATATTGGCAGGGATAAGGATTTTTCTAATGCTGGGGACATCATCACACCAGGACCACCTCCATCGTCCTCTCATCTGCATGCTTCAGTACGTTCAACTTCTCACTGTATCCAGCCATTCATCCATGCCGAGTCTTGAACCGCTATCTCTTTAACCATGTGTTGCAGTCTCTGTCAGGCGCTGGTGTCCATCCTTCTTCAGTAAATATTACGGGTGTTGTCAAACCTTACTCGTCCGAGAACCATGGACGTCATGTGAATCACGCAAGGCGGAAGGCAATCCTAAGAGGAAATGTAAGGTTTTCTTTCAACCATGAAGTGCTTGGCTTTGCATCTTCACATTAGTATTCCTCAGTGTCTTGCATAAACATTTACAACGTTTTTTGTTGCTCCTTGAAGGGTCGTGCTGGCTTTCTGGTCGTTGCCAACGACCGTGATGAGGAACGAAACATGGCTACTGATCCTATATGCTTCTCCGAGTCATCACCTAAACAAGGACCTTCACTTCCTCTCTTTAAAAGCGGCCAGTTGTCTGATACGTGGCTTAATTCTGGAGGACTGCAGAAAGACGACCTCCTTCAGCCAGGAGGGGAAATGATTGCAGATGGAAGAAAGGTCCAATTTCTGCAGCAGGAGAACAACTTGCAGTATTACTCAAAGCATCACCAACCCTCTGGTTGGCCTGCAAGTAGCTTCCCTTCGAATGAGAGCTCTTCCTCCCAACCTCATGAGCATACAGCACAAGATATGCTGTCCTGCACTGCTTCCCTTGACTCTGCTCAACTTGCTGCTCAAGGAAAGTCCCTTTTTCATTTTCTAGAAGACAAATCTGCTGCTTATGCTGGAATTGGAAGCAGCATCCCCCAGCACCAGGTGGACCAGGCAGCACCACAGTATGGTGCACAGCTGGCATTGGAGCGAGTTAGCTCGGCCCCTGTTCCGATCCTTCAAGAAGGATTCCACGGCCATGCTTTTGAGGACTTTGACGATGGGTTTGCTGCAGGTCTATGGTCCAGCCACCCTCAGCAGGGAATCTTAATGGATTCTATGCAGGTTGATGGGAGTCAGAATGAAGCTGGTCACGAATCGGAGTTGTTAGCTATTGCTGCTCTACCTGGGTCCAGCTACATGGCTATGGTGACAGGAGAAAAGGACATCCGGGATGCTGATTGTACTCACTTGGGAGTGCAATTACCCCCGTTTGATGGCAAGAGCAGTGTTGTTGCTGGAGGTGGTGGTGATGATGACGACCCGAAGAAGAATGAAGCAGAGCCTGAAGCCAAGTCTGTACCGAATATGTCTTTCATTCTTGAGGCTGCGCAAGAGTTGCTGATGGAGGTCTGCCGTTGCCCGACACCATCTCGCAAGTGGAGACGAAGGCACGATGGCAGCAGCTTCGGAGATGGTACCGGTCAAAGGCCATCACCAGTGTCATCGTCTGTCTGTGGTGTGAGTGGACAAGGACAGCTGCAGACTATCCCTATCGGTGGTACAAGAGAGCAGGCACAAAGGCTTCGAGCCCTCCTTGTGGATGTAAGTTGGTATGCTGTTACATTTTTTTTTTGGTCCATTACGGTACTTGGAAATGGTGTAATGATATGTTTGTCTTTGGATGATACAGGTGGAGAAGTCATACGGAAAGTATAAGGAGCAGAATACAGCATTAGCTGCTGCATTTGATGCTGCCACTGGCACAGATGGTTCAGCTAACATGTACACAAAACCTTCACTGCACGCAATATCAACGGCGTACCGCTCTGCCAAGGATAGTATTGAGGCAAATCTTAGAAGGTTGGCAAAATAGACTGATATCTGTATGTTGCTCTGACAGGTGGAAATAATAGTTGATAAGGATACCATTCCATATTCAAGACAAATCTTGAAAGCAACATGTACCGTATATTCAGCCATTTGGAAGCCCAATGATTACACACTGAGAGGCCTTCGTTATTTCCTGGCCGATTTCAACCTGGAGGTATTTGAAGCTACTCCGTCATCCGATTTGAGCAGCAGACCTCTGCGCCATGTTGTTCTGGATGTTGTTCTGGATTCCGTGAAGCATCCTAGGCCGGCAAGCTGGTCGTAAAAAGCTTCTTTTCTCTCAAACCTCTAAAAGATCTCCTTATTGGCCAGAGCTTCCTGCACGGAATAGGATTTGTCTTGGCTCAAGGAATCTCTCGTATCGCCGCAACTAGGTCCGCCGCCAGGGAATGCGTTATAGTACGAGTCAGACATAAACTGGTCGACATTCACTGGCGCGGTGTGCGCATGCCGAGAGACTTTTGTGAACGCATGGACAAGTCAAACCTTTAGACTCTACACGTACTTCCTCAAGATTCAAAATTGCATCGGCCATGGCGGTCGGCGGCAATAAAAGTGGTTCTGGGGGTACCACTCGATTCGACCGGCTTCTGATTCTCCTTGATAGTACGAACGGCATCCTTCCAATATTTCCACCCCGATGATTCCACTAGCTCACGAACTGTTCAGTTGCACCATGTCTCTTCCCTGCTAACTTAGCATTACTGTACTTTAGCGAAAGAGTACATTTTCTCCGTTTTACGCCTCCTGCTCCGTCCTGTTTCACGCCCTTGTTGGTCTTTTCCTCTTCGCTTTTGGCGATAAGCTCACCAGTTCCTCTTTCATTTTCCGTGTCGAAACTCTTCTTTCAGCTGGGGAAGCGGCCACGACGCGCGACACAGCCGCGCGTCAAATTGGAGAGTTAGCTAGCCTCCACAGAGCGGATTTGCATGCTCTCATTCGACGTGTACGATCCCCAATCGTCTTCGGATGCATGTGCTTTTGGTTTCCCTGCATTCCATTCCTGCTTTAACCTATGCCAGCTATTTCCCTGCAGCTTGCTGTATCACCCCCACGGCCCACCTTCAATGTTGCTAGTTGTTTCCGCATTCAAGTTCTTTGTTACTCTAGAACCATCCATTGCTTGTTTACAAGCGTTTTTTCTTTCAACTTTTATCTCCTCTTCTGAACCCCTCCGTACAGGTGAAGAGGTTGCTGAAGAGCAGCAAGTGGGACACGCGTGTGGCTGCAGCCAAGGCGTTAGGGTACATAGCTCGGAACACACCACATCCCACAGTGCAGGACCTGCAGATTGCTGCTTCCACTGTATCTGGTGATGAAGGAGCAATAGCAGCACGTACTGGCACTGCTTCTGCAGCCGCTGATGGCGAAGGTGCTGCACCAGCTGCTGTAGAACCTACTGCTGCGGGTGGCGGCTTGCGCTTCGAGGGGTAAGACGTCTGTCTTTCTGACGGACAGAGTCTTTAGTGTTTGATGGTGCAAATTCATATGCTGCTGGGTATGTGTTGAAGAATGAAACCTGAATGTTCCAAGCACCGATGTCTTCATCCCGCTGTTTTCTTATTGTTTTCCTCTATGACGTCCCTCTATGTGCCTCGCGTGTTGCAGCTTTGACATTGGTCGTGTGTTGGACAATGGAGCACCGCTTGTGGCATCAGCTGGCAAGGTAACGCTTGCTGATGATGATTTATGGTCATAATGCATGGAGGTGCGTGAATCATGGTTGTGTTGCGTAAGTATTGGTGATGCATTGCTGGTGGATCTGGGTCTGCCATGACATGAGTTGGTGGAATCAAGCAATGAGGCATACCTTCTCTCTCCATTCCCAACATCCTGCTCCTTCCATGCCAAAGCCTCTCACACACAACACCACATTACACGACATGCTCAACTCTGCATTGTGCTCAATGTCACAACATCGCTGAATCTACACCTGCCCGATCCTATGCTGGCCCAGGAATATGATATTGCAGCAGTTGGGCGAGGGGGAAAGGAGGCGATTGCCAAGCAAAAGCAATCCCTACGACGGAGACTAGGTGAGACAGTAGAATGAGGCCATGGGGCAACGCATGCCTTTCCATGCACCACTTAAGGCGTAAAGCTTCAGGGTTATAGCTCCATGTGACGCACATTGCTATTCTGTCTACTTTCCTCTTCTTTGAACGGCCTTTGTCATTGAGTAGTGCTGACTGTACTGCAGAAACTTAGGAATGAAATTTAACGCTTGATACAGCTACAATTAAGACGGAAACGTGTAGGTGGTGAGCTGAGGGCAGGCGGTGCGTAGGGTTGATGGTGACAATGTTGAGCCAGGCTGGCGTCAGGCTGGTTGGTACAGCCGGTGTATCAAATACAGGTCAGTTTTCCTGACGAGAGAACGAGTCCCAGCCAGCTATTCAACGGGAGCACCAGTACGAGATATTTTTCTCTTCTGCGCACTTTGTGTTGTCACAGGTCTGGACGAGTGTGAGCGATTCATGGATGTAAGCGATATCATTAGAGACGAGGATCTGGAAGCACCAGCGCAAGCAGCAGCACCACCAGCAACAGGTTCATCAAACCCCGCTGCAGCAGCTGGCGGCAAGCAGAAGCAGAAGCGAGAAGGTACAGCTGGAATCAAGCGTGGAGCGCAGGATCTAATGGCTGAGATGCTGCCAAGTGGCACCAGTCCGGGGGTTGGTGATGGTGGCAGTTCTGCTGGTTGTGGATCACCCGCTTTGTCGAAGTCCCTCAGTGCAAGGGAGAGAAACATGCTGAAGCGGAAGGCGAAGAGCATGAGCAAGGACGGGGGGAAGAGAGGAGTAGGGGCTCATGGTGATGGTGGGGTGGGGGAGGTGGATGAGGATGAGGATGGAGGGGAAGGGGAGCGGGGAGGCAGGAAGAAGATGCGGACAAAGAGTGTGGTTTCAGATGGGAAGGAGGACAATAAGGTGCGTTCGTTAATTATATTTTGGTTGTTGCATGCGACCCATGCTTTTCACCCAGGTGTTTGAGTTGCAGCTCGGGGGTATGTACAGGATCTGTCTACCATCGGTTGTATTGTCCCTCTTCCAGCCCTTCAAAGCGCCCTTCTTTCACCTATTTCTCACGTCCTCCCTATCCTTTCATGAGTTCACAGTTTTCATGCTTCTTGTCCAAGCTCCGTTTCTACCACAGCAGAACAGGTGGACCTTTCCTCCAGCAATTTGTTTACCCCACCCTTCCACCGCTCCTGCCTGCCACCCGCCCATCAGATCACAGTAGAGCAGGTGGCAGCAGAGGGGGATGATTGGGAGGAAGAGGAGGAGGAGGAGGGGGAATGGCCCTTGCAGGCGCTGTGTGAACAACTGCTCACAGACATGTTTCACCCAGGTAATGATTGCTGTGTCATTCAGGGTGAAGTTTCGTTCAGTCAAATGTCGACCTTTCGTTTCGATGAATGCTGATGTTCCGTCAGCGGTGGAAATCACGCGGACCTGTTTCTTTGCACCACGACCTGGTGTTTTTGGCAGAATATTCTTCTGCCTTCTTTTCTTTGTTTGTTCGTGCAGTGTGGGAGGTACGTCACGGCAGTATTCTTGCCCTCAGGGAGGTTGTATCCGCGCATGGGAACTGTGCTGCAGTCTGCCGCCCAATAGTTCCTTCTAAGTGGGCCAGCGCCAATGGGAAGGAGGAGAGGGAAGATGGGAAGGGGAAGATGGAGCTGGAAGTGGTGAAGGAGGAGGATGATGGCAAGACTGTGCCAGAAATGAGGGAGCTGGACGTGTCTTTGGTCAAGGCGCCGGTGGTGAGGTCGGAAAAGGAGGAAGAAGAGGTTAATGATGAAATGGAGGGAGTGAATCATCGGGGTATTACAAAAGAGGAACGTGGGGAGGAAGGATTGGGGGGTGTGAAGCGGGAAGTAAAAGAAGAGGAGTGTGTGAGTAAGCAAATGGTAGCTGTGAAGAGGGAGGCTGAGGCGGAGACTTCTCCAAAGGCAGAGGTGAAAGATGAGGCGAAATGTGAAGAGGACGATATGAAAACGAGAGCAAAGGAGGAAGTGAAAGTAGAGGATGAGATGGAAGTAAAGGAGGAACGACTGGAGGGAGTCAAGAGGGAAGCGAAGGCAGAGACGAAGGAAGGGAGTGGTGGCTGGCTAGGCCTCTCTATGGGCTCTGAGACGCCTAAAGAAAGCAATGGAGAGTCCGCATTTGGGGACAAGCTTGCTGCTCCTGCTGGGGTGTGTGTGAAGGAGGAGGCAGGAGAAGGGGGCGGGAAGGGGGAGGAGGATAACCGAGCTGAACGATCTGGATTTGACTTGAACGAGTTGATGGTCTGTAAGAGGGAGGACACTGCAGGTGTGACGAATCAAGAGGGCGTCATTAACCAAAATTCTGGAGGGAGGGCGCGTATGGGCTTGGACTTGCATCTTTCTGATGGCATGCAATCAGAAGAGATGGGAGAGGGGTCGGTACGAAATTTGGAGAATGAAGGGAGTATTGAGGGGAGTAAGGTAGAAGCCAAGACGGATAGGAGTGAAGAGAAGAGCAAGTGTGAGGAAAGTGAGAATGCTGTGGGAAAGGGGTTGGATCTGAACATGGAAGTTTCCGAGGAAGCAAATGAGGGGAAACCTGTGGATGAGGGGGAAGTGGCAGAGGAGAAGAATGGAGAAGAGAAGGAGAGTGCGCTGGTGGTGGCACAACCTGTGAGGGCGGCGGAGAGAGGTGCAATGCCGACAATGGAATCTGCAAGGAAGGCACAGTTAGCTATAGAAGCTGCCAGGAAGGCACAGGCGGATAATGAGCTGTTTTTGGAGGACTGTGCCATTCGGCTGCTATGCATCTTCGCTTTGGACAGGTGAGTTATTTGAAAATGCTGTACATATCAAATCTCAACCAATTCGGTGCATGCTTACCTGCTCTTTTGGATATTAACCCTATACAGGTTGTTGTACTGTTTTCTCCTATTCATCTCCCCTGCCCGTTCTTTCTTAGAAGAGGGCTTTGTGCCAGATCAGGTGGGGCGACGCCATGGGTGTCTCACGTCACCCCCTTTACCCCGGGTCCCCTCTGTGCCTTTAGGTTGGAAGACTTTGTGTCGGACCAGGTGGTGGCACCAGTGCGGGAGGCGTGTGGACAGGCGCTGGGAGTGGTGCTCAAATACCTGCCCTCCAGGGCTGTTGCTCGCACACTTGATGTGCTGCTGCAAATGCAGGTATGCATGGGAGAATGTAGTCCCACACACACACAGTATCAACACCGTCTCTTTTTCTGATGCTCACAGTATGCATCTCTCCACTACTGTCTGTTAGACATGCCACCATAGTGGGAGGTTCTGCTTAGAGGGGTGCCAGGCGTCAATTATCTCAAAGCCGCATGAGAGAAAGCTCACCTTTGTGAGATGATATTACCTTTGGTCCTCATTCTAAAATGTCTCACAGGTGGCGTTCTCCAAACCTGTATGCTGCTGACTCGCTTGGAGTGGAAATTGAGCACCGAGCGGCCGCCTTCAGTGTCTTGCGAGGGTGATCCTTCCCGTTCCCCATTCAAGGGGCTTACAATGCAGCCCTTCCCATCCCCCATTTGCAGAACCGATCAGAGTGGGAAGTGCGGCACGGGGCCCTGCTTGGCATCAAGTACCTCATAGCAGTGCGCCAGGAGCTACTGCCCTCCCTGCTGCCCTCGCTCCTCCCCGCCTGCATGCGCGCGCTGCAAGACTCAGATGATGATGTGAGGGCTGTGGCAGCAGAGGCGCTGCTGCCAGCTGCTAAGACCGTGGGGGAGGGCGTGGACGAAAGTGATTTAAGGCAGCTGATGCGGCTGCTGTGGGGGATTTTATCAGAACTTGATGACCTCAGTCCGTCCACTAGCAGGTGAGCAAATTGGTTGGGTGAAGCTTCCAGGTTTGCTTAAGGAGGTGAATGAGACCAAGACTACCAGCTCATTTAGCTTCTGCAACTGCTGATGCACTCCTGCGAATGGATGGAATTCATCTACGAGCTTGCGAGCCTCTGAATGTCGAGGCTTTTTGGGTTCATCCATGTTACTCGCTGTTGTCGGGGGACAGGTTCGCCGACCCACATGTGCGTTGGTTGTTGTATCCACGGTAGAGGACACCAGTTAGGCGCCATTGAGTTCAATGCGTGGCAGCAACTTAGGATTCAACACCAGTAGTTGTTGGTAGTACTTTGTGACTTTTGAGTCGACTCAAAAGTCACTTCATCCATGTTACTCGCTGTTGTCGGGGGACAGGTTCGCCGACCCACATGTGCGTTGGTTGTTGTATCCACTTGTTTCCTTCCGACAGTGTCATGACCCTCCTCGCTGAGCTGCATGCCCTTCCTCGAGTTGCTGCCCTCTGGACCGTTTCTCCACCTGCTGGTGCTTCAGCTGATGCTAAACCTGCTGCTGCTGCGGATGTTGCTGCTGCTGGTATGACTGCTGCTGCTTCTGCTGGTGGACAAGTGGAGGGCGATGAGGAGTTGGGCGAAGATGATGACCTCGATGACAAGGAAGAGGAGGAGAATCTAGCTTTAAATGGGAGTAAACCAAAGCACAACAAAGATGTTGCTGCCGGCACTGCTGCTGTTGGTGCTGGAAGGGACTCTTTGCCGCCCTTAGTGGTTCTCGTCCGTCGATTATGGCCGTTGATGCGACACACCATCTCTGCTGTCCGACTTGCTGCTGTTTCCACTCTCGTGAGTCAACCTACATGTCGCTTACATTCTTCTCCCTCGTTTCTTGTCTGTCAGTACGCTTTGCTTTCTCGTTTCCCCTCCTTGCACTTCTGTGTCTTCCCCCCCTCGTCCATTTGTATTCCATTGTTACCTCTTATCCCCCTCCTCCCTTCCCCACACTCACCTTGTTGGGTCGAGACAGGAGAGGCTCCTTCAATCCACTGGCACCTCGTCAGCAGATTCCAGCTCAACATTACCCTGGGTGGCTGACGTGTTAGTGGACGCGCTGGCATGTATTCTCCGCAATCTGATTTTGGAGACCCGCCCCACGGCTCTTGCTGTCTCTCGCCGTGTCTGGCCTCTGCTCTTGCAACAGGTACTGTGTTTTTGGCAAGCTCCCTCATACATCACCTCATCATACTGTTGCTGCTGACGTTGACTGTGTTCCTAGCTCATATATCATTTCACAACAGTCAACTCAGTTTACCCTTGTCCCGACCACATCGTTCCTCCCATCGCCAGGTACCCCCCTCCAGGGTTGCATCTCTCACTCGCCCCGTGATTCACCACTGGTGCCAGCTCATCGCCACACCGCCTGGTAGCTCCATTAACACCTTCCTCCTCTTTGCCACATCGTCACCGGCAGCTCAAGGGACAGCCAGCAGAGGCATGCGGACGGAGGGAATGGGGAGGGGAAGGGGTAGAGGGGGAAGGGGAAAGGGCAAGGGGAAGGAGTTGGAAGGTGTAGCAGCAGGATCTAGTGCAGGGAGCTCTGCTGCTGCTGGCAGTGCGCTGGGGAGCGGTGGTAGTGGGGTGGTGGTGGTAGGGGCTGAAGGCGAGAGTGCAGCTGTGCGCATGAGAGTGGACACAAGCCAAGCCATGGGGCTGCTGCTCTCCTTCTGGCCTGTTGACCAGCTGGAAGGCGGGGTAGCCCCGTTGATATCCCTCCTGGAGTCCGTGGCTGCCACACAAAAGCAGGTTGGTGCTTTGATCGTTGCTGCTTGGTTCAGGGAGCTTGAGAGGCGGGAGCTGGGGAAAATGGAGATGGAGCAAACTGACAAGCAGCAAACATTGCAAAAGCCGAATCAGCAGCAGAAGCAGCACCATGCGTCGGCCCTTAGCTCTCTACCTGGTGTTTCTTTGGTGCGACCATCTCCTCCTGTTACAAAACTGCTGACCCATTTGATGGCTCTCCTCTCTTCTCCCGATGCTGGCCAAAGCTACGAGGAGCTCTCTCGAACCTACAACAAGCTACGAGCCGAAGCTAGTGCTTTGATCAGCCATGCCCGAGCTCTGGGGTTAGCACCAGACACGATTAGTTCGGCGCTTACACGAGCCAGGCTGTGTTGGCTCGGCAGTGGCTCTAGATAGCAGTACAGCAGGAGAAGCGGGAGGAACGGGAGGAACGAAAGGAGCATTGGAAGGACGAGGAGGGGAGGAAACTCATTTTGACAGATTGAGTCCTGAGGGTGCGTTGGAACTGGCAGGGGCCTTGGCTGGGCTTGCTGGGACAGAGACAGGGGAGGTGGAGAACAGGAATGCACCTGGTGGTGTGGCTGGTGGAGTTGGGGGAGGGAGAGGGGAAGGAGGTGGAAGGGGAAGGGGAAGAGGAAGAGGCAGGGGAAGGGGAGGAAGTGAGGGAGGGAGAGGAGCTGAGAGGCAACAGGAGCCACAGCAGCAGCAAGGCATGGGGGATTTGATGGAAAGCTGCAGGCGGAGATTGCTGTCCACTGCGACTTACCTCAAAACCGTGCAGGTGTGTGCAATGCCATGTTTGCGTCCGTGCTTGTTATGCATGTGCGTCTGTGCTTGGTATGCATGTACGTCTATGTGTTCGGGGGAGGTGGGATGTCTAATTCGGAGCGAAGGGTACCGATAGTATGAATGAAATTACTAGGCATATTTTGGGATCTTTTCCTTCCCTATCCTCTCTGCTGTGCCTCAAACCAACCAATATGCACACAGCTCCGAGTAAAAGACTACCCCCTAAGCTCTCCACCCTCTCTTCTCCTACCCCTCCTCTTGCTGCATCCCTGCTTTCACACAGTGATGACAGCAGTACCACTGATTCAAGAATCACTTCACTTAATTCCTCTTCGCTTCTCTTCTCCTCTCTTCCCTGTCCCCGTTTCACCTCGTCTTCCCTCTCCCAGGCCAACATGCACACATCCGTCACAGCAACAGTGGCGACAGCAGCAGTACGAGTTGCCCCAAGTCTGCCTTCCAAGCTCAACCCCATCATACAACCACTCATGGCTGCACTCAAGCGAGAAAGGGTGAGTCTTACCTTGAGGTGGCTATCTTGATTTTTTGATTTCATTAACTCACGAATAGTTCTGTGGTTACTTGGTCTCATGTCTAACCCCTTCCCAGTCTCCCCCTCCCCCCGTCTTCTATCAGGAGGAGCTTCTGCAGCAGTGTGTAGCGAGCGGCCTCGCATCCGTCATCCTGCGCTCCTTGGACCGCCGCCCTTCCCCCAACGACAGGCTTCTCAAGAATCTATCTACACTCGCCTGCTCCGACCCCTCTCAGTGCCCACCACCCTGTGATGCCAATAGGGAGGCGGATGACCCCCTGGATCCCACCCTCGCCATGCCTGCTCCGCCTGGAGCTGGGGGACCAGCTGCAAGAGGAGCAGCTGGTGTGATTGTAAAAGGGGACGGGGCAGCAGGGTCGCTGGAAGCCATGATTGGCCGCAGAGGAGCCGAGCTGTCTTTTAGAGCCTTGGCGGACAGCCTTGGCCCAGACCTTTTTACAAAGCTGCCGAAGCTGTGGGGTCTCCTCACTGAGGTCTGGAAGCCCGGAGAGTCAGAGGGAGGTGGTAGCACAGGGAAGTGCGATGAGAAAGAACTGTTCAAAGCAGATCCACTGGCACTGGTCAACACCTTTCAACTCATCCGGTGCCTAGCCCTTGTCCTCCACACGTCCCTTATCCCCCAACTGCTCCTCCTCCTTCCACCAGTTCTCTGTTGCACTCGCCATCCCCATGCTGCTGTCCGATTCGCCTCAGCCCAGTGCCTGGCAGCACTTGTGTCTCTTCCGTCCGCAGAGCAAACTGTTCTCTCTGCCATTCTCACTCATGTCATTCCTCAGCTCACCAACACACTCTCTGAACCAGCCCGTCGCGGTGCAGCAAGTGTTGTTTCCTCGTTAGTCAACACCCAAGGCGAGATGCTAGCACCATACGCTGCACTCCTAGTCGTTCCCCTCCTAGCTCGGATGTCCGACCCTAGTCCGCAGGTGCGGCAGCTGGTGACACAGAGCTTTGCCAGGCTCGTGCCTCTACTGCCTCTGGCCCGAGGGCTGCCCTTACCAGCATTTTTGGACAAGGAAGGTGCAAGGAAGGCTCGGGAGGATGCTCGGTTCCTGGAGCAGCTTCTGGATAATCGCAAGGCGGATGATTACCAGCTGCAAGTGAAGCTGTCGGTGACCCTGAGAAGGTGCGTGCAATGTCAAGCTGGGCGTATAATCAAACTGTGTAGAGTTGAACACATGTTCACACCCTCTTCTAATCCTCTCATGCATTCTCACATCTCATTCTCCTCACACCCCCCCCCACACATACACACTCCCCCTTGCACTGAGCAGGTACCAGCAGGAGGGCGTCAACTGGTTGGCGTTTCTGCGGCGCTTCCACCTGCATGGGGTGCTGTGTGACGACATGGGGCTGGGCAAGACCCTCCAGGCCTCCTCCATGCTCGCCTCAGACACAATCGAGCGCCACGCTGCTGCCCGTGCAGCTGCTAGCGGGCCTACTTCTGCTGCTGATCGTGCTCCACCTGGTGCTTCTGGATTCGGAGTTGCGCCCACGCCTCTCCTCCCATCTCTCATCGTTTGCCCGCCCACGCTTGTTGCTCACTGGGTCTATGAGATTGAGAAGTACATTCCTCCTGGGATATTCTCCCCACTGCAGTATGCAGGCAGCGTTGCCGACCGGCAGAGGATGCGGGGGCAGCTGAGAAAGCACAACCTGGTGGTAACCTCGTACGAGGTGTTACGAAGCGACATTGATGAGCTGGCAGCCATCACGTGGCGGTACTGTGTGCTGGACGAGGGCCATCTGATCAAGGGCGCCAAGACGCGGCTGTCGCAGGCGGTGAGGCGGATCAAGGCGGAGCATCGGCTGCTGCTGACGGGCACTCCCATTCAGAACAACGTCCTGGAGCTCTGGGCGCTCTTCGACTTCCTCATGCCAGGATTCCTAGGGACTGAGAAACAGGTATGGCTGCATGTGTTACTGCTGAGATGGAAATTACACAACCAGCTTTATTGGCGATACTTTTACTGTTTTTCCCTGTGGCTTTTCTCCACCAATGTATTTTCCCTTTTCCTGTCGCTCTTCCCGCCCCCCCATCACACATGCACATCAGTTCCAGGCGCGGTATGGCAAGCCTCTACAGGCTGCACGAGACCCCAAGTGCACTGCAAAGCAAGCAGAGGCAGGCGCTCTGGCCATGGAGGCCCTTCACCGCCAGGTCAGTCCTGCGCTTGCACTTCTCACTCCGTTCTTGAAAAGAAGGGGGTTGAAAGATGGGAAAATCTAAGTGATAGAGAGTTGAAGAGCATGTGTTGCCATGTGGTTAGAGTCATGCAGGGACGTGTGCGACCAGCTACTCTTTGTTTGCTCATCATGCCAAGTTCCTCCACAACTCTCCGTTTCCTTTCTTTCTCTATGCCAGGTGATGCCATTCATTCTGCGCCGCACCAAGGAGCAGGTGCTCTCAGACCTGCCGCCCAAAATCATCACCGACAGATACTGCCAGCTCAGTACGCTGCAGCGACTACTGTACGCTGACTTTTCCAAGTCCCATGCGTCAGAGGAGGTGGTGACAGCAGTAACGGCAGCAGGCGGGGGAGCAGAGGAAGGAGGAGGGGAGCAAGCTTCAACCCATGTGTTCCAAGCGCTGCAGTATCTGAGGAAGCTGTGCAGCCATCCGTTACTGGTGCTGGACCCCTCCCATCCCCGCCACGCCGCTGCTCTCACAGCAGTTGGGGCCACGGGGGCAGCAGCAGAAGCCGGGCAGAGAGGAGGCAGCAGCAGTGGTGCTGGCAGCAGCGGAGGGGATGGTGTTGGGGACGTGCATGACATAGTGCACGCACCTAAGTTGGTTGCTCTGAGAGATATTCTGCTGGAGTGTGGGATAGGAGGAGGAGGGGAGGGTAAGAGTGGAGGGGATGTGGGAGGTGAGGCCAGCGAGGGCAATCACCGTGTGCTCGTGTTCGCCCAGCTTAAGGTGAGTCCACTGAGGGTCACTTGTCTGTATCCGTCGATGGTGAATGTATCTGGATGGGATAGGTTTAGGCTTCATGTTTCCTGACTAATGTTCGACCCTGTGAATGCTGTGAACGTCTACAGGTATCCTTGTCATCTCAAATCCTTCCGGGTGTCTACTTGCCCCCATCCCCCTTACAGTCATTCCTTGATATTGTGGAGGAGGACCTCTTCAAGAAACACATGCCTGGGTAAGCGGTGATTGCCCATGGTGGTTGTCAACTGTAATACCCCTATTCATAATCACTTCTGAATTGCCTTCAAATCTGGGATTTACATAGCCCCCCCTATTCGCCCATCTTCTTTATACCCTCCACTAGCACCTGCATTTCTGTTGAAACATGTCTCTGGATTCCAACCCCCCTCCCACGTCTATCCTCCCCCACCCCCCCCCTCTTCCCTGCAGTGTGTCCTATCTGCGCATTGACGGGTCGGTGGAGCCGTCGCGGCGTTTTGACCTGGTCAAGGCCTTCAACTCAGACCCAACGATCGATGTGCTGCTCCTCACAACTCACGGTATGTGCTGTTTCTGGTTTTACGCTAGTAATTTCTGGAAGTAGCGAGGCATGTTTCTGATGTCAAGTCCACCAGGAGCATTGATCTGTTACTCTCTTGCATCAGTTCCTTTCTTTTATTCTCGCCCAATAGCAGCATGTGGTGGATGCTATTGAAATGTGCCACTTGATAACAGAATACGTCATACCCTTCTTGACGAACAGTTGTCATTGCCCCCTCTGTCACTCGACCCTCAAGTGCTGTTCTTTCCCCCTCTCCCTCTTCACTCTCCACGGAATCCCTCGTCACGCGCTTCTTTCCTCTGCTCTCATTCATTCGTTCATTTCCCCCCCTTACAGTCGGTGGCTTGGGGCTGAACCTAACAGCAGCGGACACAGTGGTGTTCTTGGAGCATGACTGGAACCCAATGCGGGATCTTCAGGTACGTGATGGTAACCGCCTTGCTATCACAAATCTGATCAGAGTAGATGTTGGAAACAAACAACTCATCTGTTAAATAAGATGATGGCGTCACCTGCAGCAGACACAGTGGTGTAAACACAGTTAGAACTTATTTCATTGCGTTTGTTCCACATATGGTGGTGACGATGCATGCACCCTCGATATGCAAGAACATGTGGCCTGTGTTCACACACATCATCCTCTTCCTTTCTCTGCTCCATCTCCCTCTTCCCCTTTCTCTTTCCACTCCCTCCAGGCCATGGATCGAGCCCATCGCCTGGGCCAGAGGCGGACGGTGAACGTGCACAGAGTGATCATGGCGGGCACGCTGGAGGAGAAGGTCATGGGGCTGCAGCGCTTCAAGCTCTCCATAGCCAACGCAGTGGTCAATGCTGACAACGCCAGCCTCAAATCGATGGACACGTCGCAGCTCTTAGACCTCTTTAACGCTGGCCCTCCTGCTGCCAGTGCTGGTGCTAAGGTAAGTGGCATTGATAGCATTGGTCCAGTAGATGCCTTTGTGGTGGTGCATCATGGTCGTTGGGTCGGGCACAGTGAGCGGTGTCTGAAAGCTTGGCTTGCTGCACGTTGCTGCTATTTTGCTCTTTACTGACATGCCAAAACAAGTAGTGTGCTGAATATCATGTTCCCACCTTGCCCTTCCTGTGACCGTGTTCTTGGCCCAGCAGAAACCAGCAGACTCATCTTCAGATGCAGCTGTGGCAGCAGCTGGAGGAGGGAAGGGACTGAAAGCTGTGCTTACTGGCTTGGAAGATCTCTGGGATGAGTCGCAGTACGCAGAGGAGTACAACCTGGATAACTTCCTAAAACGCATATAGGTAGTGTATAACTTTTTGACTGTTGAGAGTGTCAGTAATAAGTAGATCTTGGGCACAGTACCCAGTAGATATGGATGTATGCTACGGTACTAACATTGATGCCAACATAGATGGATCATGCTCGCATGTGGGGCGTACAAATGTGTCCTAGTGAATCCATGTTCCAGTGAAGTTAAGGATGTTGGAATATGGTACTGAAGCTAACCTTCTTATTGGCCTATTATGAAATCATTCGTGCTGTAAGTGCAATTCAGGGTTTCCGTAACTGTCGAGTGTTTCGTGGCTTACCACCAGCCTACTATCAATCTTTCCCCCCCAGCCGTTCCGCTCTGCCTGCGCCCGTCCCATTTCGGAGCTGCACACCATTGGGCCTTCCTCCCTTGATCCCGTCGCCTTTCCCCCTGCGCTGCACGCCCTGAAAGCCTTCTCCCTGCTCTTTAGTCTCCCCTTTCCCTAATCAGCCTCCTTTTCCCTCCCCCCTTCCGCTAATTCCACACTTAGTCTCGGAGCGCCCTCAGGGCTTACGTCAGCATGAAGACGATCCTAGCGTCCGAGACGATGGACATTCCTAAGGACGTGAAGCTGGAGATTAAGGCGAAGAAGGTCCGCGTGACTGGGCCACGTGGCAAGCTGTTTAGGGACTTCCGTCACCTGAACCTCGATTTCCAAATCGTCGAGGAGGGGACGAAGCTTAAGGTCGATGCGTGGTTCGGCACGCGCAAGACGATGGCGTCGATTAGAACGGCCATCAGCCACGTGCAGAATCTGATCAAGGGCGTGACGGTGGGCTTTAAGTACAAGATGCGCCTGGTGTACGCTCATTTCCCCATCAACTCGAGCATCAGCAGCTCCGCCGACAACATTGAGATCCGAAACTTCCTGGGCGAGAAGAAGGTGAGCCGCGGGCGGGTTAACATGTGCGGGAAAACGGGAGCCTCAAAGAGCGACGTGCAATTGGCGGGAAAAGAAGCTTAATGGATTCTGGAAGTCCATGTTCCGTCGGCACGCGCTTCCCCCTGTTTACTCTTCTCTCACATGTTCACCCGCATGCCATTTTCCAGTAGCGATACCTTTTCTGCGCTCTTGCGCGCCTTTGACATAAGCTCCCGCCTCTCCGTCCCCACAGTGATTCTTTGCGCGCGCGCCCTGTCAGCGATAAATACTCCTCATCTTGCTTTGGATCGAAAGACCTAGTTCGATCAGTGCGGGTCAGGGAGCTAGTGACGGTGTGCTGCCGCATTGCTAGCCGCGGGTTCTTCTCGGAACAGCCCTCGCAGGCGTCAGTCGTATCGTTTAGAGACCAACCGGGCTTTCGATTGTGCCCTTCCCCGCCAGCTCGCCGAGAGAGATTCATCAATGCCCCCCCCGTCACCTTAGATGGGCACAGCAGTGCCGGGGAGTTCCGATCGTCGTCTATGGGGCACCGCGCCATGCAGCTGACGAACTGGGCGAAGCATTCTGACTCGCGCACAGGCACTCCAAGCATCGCTTTCCGAAGAACCGCTTTTCCCCTAGATTCTTCTAAAAAGAGGCAAACAGGTGCTGTTTTTCCTGGTCGCGCGGCGTGTGGCGGTGTGAGCTTCAGGGACGTCGCGCTGTAGCTAGGTGGCAAGGTCAGGTCTTATGCGTCGCGCCTCAATCGGGAACGAAGCTGCTTGGTTCGCAAAAGCCGCGCGCCGGTGGAGAGTGTGACGATTTTCGCAGCAATCGGGCACGCGGGATGCTTTGCAACGGCGGCCGGCGAAGGACGATGTAGCTTTAGCAGACCTAACTTTAGTGGACGAAGGTAAACTCGATCTATTGCGCGATGTGTTTCTTGGACGAATGCGGAGCGGAATGGATGTATCGGTGCGACGGTGGGCCTGGGTAAGGCGAGAATAGTCAGGCTTGGGAGAAAGCAGGCCTGAGAACGCGCAGGTGTTCGGGCTGGTTTGAGGGGCTGCCACGCGAGGGAACGGCAATTTTTGAAATGGTAGCAGGAGTTGAGGAGTTAGCTCGAGCCAGTGCAGTCTGTAGTGACGCGGCTTGTGGTGGAGCTTTTAGTGTGTTGACGGAGCTTGTAGTGGTAAAGTCTCGGACGCAGTCTTTAGTGTGACGGGAAGGCGATACTGTGCATGGCTGGGGATTTAACACGCGGTTTAAGGCGCGGTTTAAGACGCGGAGCTGCATGGTGCGAGGCTGGGCTGACTGAACTCCACGTGCGCAGCGGCAAGGCGATGGTGCAGCTGCGTGCCTCCATCCATCCTCCCAGGCTCCGCAGGGCCGCAACCCCGATTTTATCCGCATTAGTGTTGATAATTCGCCTCGTGGATGTGCGCTGCCTGGTCTCAGATTGAGGCGTTTTTGGGCCGAGGTGAAGGACCCTACGGGATTCGGCGTCTCAACAGGTCTTTGAAACCCTCTACGTTCGCCTTCCTCCCCCTCCCCTCCCCCGCTCCTCCCCCTCCCCCTCCAGTTAACCTCCCCTCCCCCTCCCCTTCCCCCTCACCTCCACCTCCACCTCCACCTTCCCCGTCACTCGCGCAATCTCCGGAGGGGCGCAAGGTGCAAACGATGCGCGTCAGGTGCTCTAGGCGGTTGTCGCCTGCTGTTGGGTGCGCACTTGTGCTGACGGTTCTCTTATCCCCTCACCCCTCTTGTTCTTACCGTCTCTTTTTCCCCCGTCCCTCCTCTCCTCCCCTGTCCCCCGTCCCCCCTCCCGCTCCCCCGGGTGCTGGCAGGTGCGCAAGGTGGCGATGCTGGAGGGCGTGACGATAACGCGGTCGGAGAAGGTGAAGGACGAGCTCATCCTCGAGGGCAACGACATCGAGCTCGTCTCCCGCTCCGCCGCGCTCATCAACCAGGTCAGCCCTCCGCCGCGCTCATCAACCAGGTCAGCCCTCCGCGCGCTCATCAACCAGGTCAGCCCTTCGCGCGCTCATCAACCAGGTCAGCCCTCCGCGCGCTCATCAACCAGGTCAGCCCTCCGCGCGCTCATCAACCAGGTCAGCCCTCCGCGCGCGCATCAACCAGGTCAGCCCTCCCCGCGCGCATCAACCAGGTCAGCCCTCCCCGCCTCCCAGCGCGCATCAAGCAGTTCAGCCCTCTCCGTCGCTCCGTTGTGTCGCGCGCATCGACTATGCCAGCCCCGTGTGGCCGCATTCTCCCTGGTCAACCAGCACCACCCTTCGTCCCTCCCGCACCATCTCATGGGGCGCGGCGATGCGACAGGGAAAGGCGTGCAGAACGCCTTTGCCTGTCTACAGGATGCGCTTGCAACTCGCTCCTCCTGTCGCCGCTATCAGCGGTTAGGGTTTCATGCACTGCCATCCACCTCTCACCACCCCATCCTTCGAGTGCACGGGAGGGTTCCAGATTGCTGAATCGCCACGACTCAGAGCGGACTGTCACCCGTACCTGGCTGCGAACCATCACCAGTCCCATTTCACACAAGCACGCCGCGTTTTGTTTTGAAATGGGTAGAGCCTTCGTGGTTCCATCGCTCTGCCGATTCTCCTTGTTGTCGAGTCTTGCCATTCGGATCCCCCATTAGTCAGGGCGTGGAAGTAGGGGTCCCTGTCAGGATTCCTGGTTTGGTGAATCTGTACCACTTGATGCCGGCCTTTCTCACTGGTGCGCACACGAACAACCAAGGGCAGCCGAAAGCTCTTGTAGAAAATCGATTCGCAGATTCACTGACCGCTTGCTGCCACTTGCTCTCCTCCTCCCTCAGGTGTGGCATGCGGGAAACAATGACTTTCAATTGGTTGTCCTGAGTCTGAGAGGTCAAACCACTTGGGCTGTTGTGTTGTTGCTGCGGTGCTCCCCCCGGGTGCAGGTGTGCCACGTGAAGAAGAAGGACATTCGGAAGTTCCTGGATGGCATCTACGTGAGCGAGAAGGGCAACGTTGTGGAGGAGGCCTGAAGTCACCGCTGCCTCTGAAATGGCTCTGCTGTGCCGCATGGCCAGTGCTCTCCCTCATGGGTGCTTGTTTTGTTTCACCCGATCCCTTGATGCAATGGAAGCCTTGGTCGCCAATGTTCCAGTGTTCACTGTAGGAGTGCCTTTTATGTTTGAAGTGCCAATATACAGGGGTTGGGTTGGTGCATTCATGCCACCTAATTACCTAGAGAACAGGTGCTTGACTTGACAAGTTGACACAGGTGCAATCATTGCACCTGTTGTCAACCCATGGCAAGCAAGTTGACAAGTTATCATACGTCCACAATATTCAGTAGCCACACTCAGTATGCCACAGCTGGTTATCATTACTGGCACTATGTATCGACAGAGTAAAATAGGGGCGCCAGAGAACTCTTACATATGAAGACCTGGCTAGTGTTTTTGTGTACCTCCATAGAGATAGAAAAACTACGGTAGCAATTATATTTCCCACAGTTGGAGCAATGTATCGAAGGTTCCTCTTGAATCTAAGGTATTGATTGACAGCTATGCTAATATCAGAACATGGATGTCTTTCAGCCGGGGATAGGTAAGCTTCTCACAGCCTCTGAAGCTTAGTGGACAGGGTTTCTGTAGCGGATGACGTGTTATTCCCTACCTGCTGATCGCCGTTCGATCGTCCGATCAATCCACGCTGGACTGACTATCGACGAACGTTAGCCCATTTGTGCCAGTGGCCGAAGTGCTGTGCGGCGCGTCCCGCGGTTATGCCATCCATGATTTCTCCGCTCCATGGGGATCAGTTGGTTACGTGGAGAGGAGACACTTCCTTTCCTTCCTCCCTTTCCCCGTTCTCCCCATTTCTCTGCTCTCTTGTCCCTGTCAGACTGAGACACCTTTGATTCCCTGGATATTCTCCGTCACTTCGATATTCCTTCCTTCCTTAGTTATTCATCGGGGCGACGATCGAGTCAAGCGTCGGAAGCATTTTCGTCTAGCCGAGCGCGATGGCGACTGCTCGCATCGCCGTGCTGACGGCGGTGTTTTCGCGGAAGCTGAGCGCGCAGGTGGACAAGGCGGTGCCGTGCGACGTGCGCGACGCGCGGCTCGTCGACGCGCGCGTCCATGAGCAGGCAGCGCCGGACGACGCTGCCGCGTGCGCATCGCGAGCGCTGCACGTGAGCTCTAAATCGGTGGCTCACCCTCGCGTGGTTCTGCCGCGGCCGTCGTCGTCCCTTGCGGCGGTCTGCAAGACGGACTCTCGCGCCATAGTGGCCACTCTTGGAACTCCCGCCGCCGGCGGCATGCGCGAGGCGCACCACTCCTTGCCGGCGAATGGAGCCGCTCACTTACCTCCCCCCAACGGCGTCGCGCCTCTCTCGCACGATTCAAGCGGCGCGTCGAGCAGGTTAGATCAGCGGGCGCGGTGGACGAAGCGGAAGAGCCGGCAGACGCCGCGGCAGGCGGCGTGGACGGCGGAGCAGGTGCGCGAGAGGGAGCGGCGGATCGTGGAGGAGGTGGCGCGCGTGCCGGAGGGGCGGAGCGTGGCGGCCGTGCTGGACGCGTGGGCGGGGCGCGCGACGCGCGTGGAGATGTCGAGCGTCGTGAAGGAGCTCGGCGCGCAGCGCAAGGCGCGGCGGTCGCTGGAGGTGTTCGAGTGGATGGACGCGCAGCGCGGGCGGATGCGGCCCAACGGGCACACGTACACGCTCATGCTCGGCATCCTCGGCAGGTACGCCCGCGTCGCACCGCTTCCACGTCACAGATCTGCTCAGTACGCCGTGAGCAACCGTGTGGTCGCGCGAGGAAAGCGATGGCGGTGGCGCGGTTGGCGGGCACTGGCCTCCGCGTAGTGGTAGGGCGGCGGTATACCACGCGGAGCTCTCGCTATCGCCGGTGATGGAGCTGCGGGCATGAAACCTCCGCGGGGCACACCGCACGCAGGTGAGTTGCGCGGTCTTGCGGAATGCGGGGTTGCTGGTTAAAGGCAGACGTGGGCAGCATCACGCGCGCGTCTTGTGAAGGAATGAACCGAAGTGCTGAACGCGCGTAGATCTCAATGGGAGACTGACGCTGCTGAAAGGCAATCGCGGAGCAGTGAAAGTGTGATGCGAACGTGCTTGAAAAGGACCCTTGACGCGTGTACGCGCATGGCGTATCGTCATCACTCGTCTCCCCCCGCCCGCCCACGCACTCCTTCCCTTTCCTCCTCTCCCGCACTTCCCCCCACCCGCTTTCCCCTTGGGCGCGTGCGGGGCGACAGGGCGGGCATGGTGGAGGAGGCGGAGGTGCTGTTCGCGCGGTTCCGCGCGGCGGCGTTCCGCGACAAGGTGCACGGCTTCAACGCCATGCTGCACGCCTGGCTCTCGCACGGCCACCCGCAACGCGCCTGGACGCTCTTCCACCTCATGCAGCAGCAGCAGCAGCAACAGCAGCAGCAGCAGCAACAAGAATTGGCCGCCAATGGCGGTGCCAGCGCGTCCGTCCCCACCGCCGGTCCCCTCGACTCCTCACCCCGCAAGCTCCCCACCCACGTCGCGTCAGATGCGTCCCCGCCTCCCGTCCCTCCCACTTCCCACTCGTCCTCTGCCCCATCCGCCGCCCGCGCCACCCCCGACCACTCGTCGCAGCCGTCGCAAGCGCCTGCTGCGCGCAGCGACGGCCGCGGCGACGGCGACGGCGATGGGCCCGGTGTGGCGAGCTGGGGTCCGCCGCCGGCGCCGGACGCGGTGACGTACAACACGATGCTGAGCGCGGGGCTGGCGGGCGCTGGCACGGCGGGTAGGGGGAGGGCCAAGGGGCGGGGGAGAGGCAAAGGCGCAGGCAGCAGGGGGGGAGGGGCCAGCAGCGGCGGAAGCGTCAGCAGCGGCGGTCGGCAGGCGCTGGCGCTGTACGGCGAGATGAAGGCGAGCGGCGTGCGCCCCACGGCGCGCACGTTCAACATCCTCGTCGCGCTGCTCGGCCACCACGGGCTCGTCGCCCAGGTGAGCCTCGTCGCCCAGGTGAGCCTCGTCGCCCAGGTGAGCCTCGTCGCCCAGGTGAGCCTCGTCGCCCAGGTGAGCCTCGTCGCCCAGCTGAGCCTCGTCGCCCAGGTGAGCCTCGTCGCCCAGGTGAGCCTCGTCGCCCAGGTGAGCCTCGTCGCCCAGGTGAGCCTCGTCGCCCAGGTGAGCCTCGTCGCCCAGGTGAGCCTCGTCGCCCAGGTGAGCCTCGTCGCGCAGGTGAGCCTCGTCGCCCAGGTGAGCCTCGTCGCCCAGGTGAGCCTCGTCGCCCAGGTGAGCCTCGTCGCCCAGGTGAGCCTCGTCGCGCAGGTGAGCCTCGTCGCCCAGGTGAGCCTCGTCGCGCAGGTGAGCCTCGTCGCCCAGGTGAGCCTCGTCGCGCAGGTGAGCCTCGTCGCCCAGGTGAGCCTCGTCGCCCAGGTGAGCCTCGTCGCCCAGGTGAGCCTCGTCGCCCAGGTGAGCCTCGTCGCGCAGGTGAGCCTCGTCGCCCAGGTGAGCCTCGTCGCCCAGGTGAGCCTCGTCGCCCAGGTGAGCCTCGTCGCCCAGGTGAGCCTCGTCGCCCAGGTGAGCCTCGTCGCCCAGGTGAGCCTCGTCGCCCAGCTGAGCCTCGTCGCCCAGGTGAGCCTCGTCGGCCAGGTGAGCCTCGTCGCCCAGGTGAGCCTCGTCGCCCAGGTGAGCCTCGTCGCCCAGGTGAGCCTCGTCGCCCAGGTGAGCCTCGTCGCCCAGGTGAGCCTCGTCGCGCAGGTGAGCCTCGTCGCCCAGGTGAGCCTCGTCGCCCAGACGGCCGCCCCTTGCTCGTTTCACTCACTCGCTTCCCTCGCCGCGCCCTTGCTCTTCGCACCCCTCTCCCTCCCCCCCACGCCCTTGCCCCTCACCACCCCTCATCCCTCGTGCTTGCGTTCCTGCTGGCTCTTCCTTGCCTGCTCACGCTGTTACGTGTGTGGTGCGCTGCGGTGTGGTGTGGTGTGGTGTGGGGCAGGCGGAGGGGGTGGTGGCGGAGATGAGGAGGGAGGGGGTGGAGGCGGATGCGCACACAGTGAGCGCGGTGATGACCATGTACACGCGCGCGGACCGCCCTGACGACGCCATCCGGGTATGCAGACGCCATGCCATGCCCAGCACTCACACCGCACCTGCTCACTCCCCACGCTGCTCATTCACAACCCACGACGCCACTCACACCAGCCGCGCCCACACCCCACGAGCCATCCGGGTACGCTCTTGGCTGCCATGCCTAGCGCCCACACCCAACGCGCCCACACCCCACGAGCCATCCGGGTACGCTCTTGGCTGCCATGCCTAGCGCCCACACCCAACGCGCCCACACCCAACGCGCCCACACCCCACGCACCCACACCCCACGCGCCCACACCCAACGCGCCCACACCCCACGCGCCCACACCCCACGCGCCCACACCCCACGCGCCCACACCCCACGCGCCCACACCCCACGCGCCCAGCCCATGCTCCGCCTCATGCTCGCGGCGCTGCTTGTGCACTGGTGTGCGTGCAACCGTAGCTTGTGTGGGTGGTGAAGGGAGGGGCCAGTGCTGCTGGCAGGGAGGAAGAGCACGGAGGCACTGCTGCTTCACCTGCCACCATGCACCCATACCCGTTGCTCTCAACCGCCTTCACCTTGTCCCTCGCTCACTTTCACTTGATCTAACCCCCCTACCCATGCCCTTCTCCCCTGGCCCCACCACCCCTTCATACTGCCTGCATCGGGGCAGACGTACGAGAGGGCGGGGGCAGCGGGGGTGCGGCCCTCACAGGCCATGTTCACGGCGCTCATGGCGGCCCTCACAGCCGCCGGCCGCCCTGCAGACGCCGCCGCCGCCTTTGACGCCATGCTGCAGGCGGGCCTCACTGCTGACGTGGCGGCGTGCGGGGCGCTGCTGAGGGCGCTGGCGGAGGCGGGGGAGGCGGAGCAGGCGGAGGAGGAGCTGCAGGCGATGCAGGTGCGGCACGGCGTGCAGCCCAACGCCATCGCGTACTCTGCTGTCGTCATGGCCTACGGCAGGTGCG